TGGTTGATTATGGGCTCGATCAACCCACATAACCCGATATAAACACTTAAAGGATATTCTTTTGGTATTCAGAGACCTCAAATTACTTTATTTATGTAAAAGTCTTTCTCTGAATTTGTTGATATTACGGAAAAAATTACCTATACATGCATAATTCAAAAAAAATACATTTTTCTGGAAAAAATGAAAAACTTTATTCTTTTCCAAGCATTATATACATATAAATTACACTTCAGCAGATAAAAGCTTTCAAACCATTCCATAATTGGATTTTAAAATTTAAGGCATTTTAAAATTCCGTTCAATTATTTTTTGACAAAGAGATTAAAATTTTTTCACCTTCAGAATTTCCGCCTTTATGGCCAAGTTGGTAAGGCACCTCACTAGTAATGAGGAGATCGTCAGTTCGAATCTGGCTGAAGGCATATATTTTTATTATTTTTGATAAACAAGCATTTTTTTTTTTCTTACTTATTTTCGTTTCTTTGAAGTTTTTCAATATTTTCTTCTTTTTCAATATAATAAGGGTTCAATTCTAGATATACAATGTCTAGTAAAGGTACTGCTAAGAAGCATTCTATGGACATTCCGCATGTGGCGGCAGTAGAGTTACCTCTTGTTGTTAAGGATGAAGAGAGGGCTATTTCGATGATTGGTGGGAAATCTAAAATATCTAATGCTATCAATAATAGCTATATACAAAACCATCCAGCTAGTGGATCTTCTATTGTACCCGATGAGAATATATTGGAATTGAGATTGAGGAATGATCCATTCCACCATCCATTACAATCATTAGTGACCAACCGTGAAAGGGTTTTGCTTAAAGTTTCAATTCCTAAGAAAAGTTTACCCAAAGATTACTATGAAGATCCTTCAAAATATACAATCCAAGAATTGATTGAAGAAAATAAGAATCAAAATGGACCTAACCATAAGGTTTTACCTGTTGCGATTATCAATAAGACTTTTTCTTTCAAAACAATGACTGATTTTCAAGTACTGACCAAAAATAATACATTAGTTCAAGAATTTAATGATCTAACAGGATCAAAAGCATATGATGATGTTTCCAAATATTTCAACAACCATTCTAACATGACTGATATCTCAGATTATAAAGAGCCATCATCTTATGAAAATAAAGATCATCAATTACCCCCACCCCCAGTGTTCAGTAACGTTAGGTTACCTTTTAGTTATAAATACCAAAGAAATCCCTACACATTGGTTTTGAAAGATGAAAATGGAGAAACTAAATTAGTACAAAAGAAGAATGATCGTAAAATTCATACCAAAATAATTGAATTCAATGAATTAGACGTACCTAAAGAGCCAGCACCGGAATTGATTGAAAAATATGAATCCCTTATGAAGTCTGATTTGTCACAGGATGAATCTTCCAAAACCTTAATCCAATGTATTCATTGGTTGAAAAAATTATTTGATATTAAACCATTTTGGTTAAGAAAACATTTAAAAGATATTCTACCTCCACAGTTTACGAGATACTTAAAACCAGCATTGCCCTTTGTTACATATATATATAAAAGTGGTCCATGGCGATTCTGTCATGTTAAATATGGTGTTGATCCAAAATATGATAAAAAAAACTGGAAATATCAAATTGAGTATTTCAGAGTTGCTAGTTTAAGTTTTGATGCCCATAAACAACGTAAATCTGAAAGAATTCTACCATTAACTATCAAGGAAAAAGATCCAAGATCGGATTTAAAGGTTTCTGACTATTTATTATTTACTGGTTATAAATTACCTCAAACTATTACTTATCAATTAGGTGATATGATAGATGAAGATATTCTTGATGTTGTCTCAAACACACCAGAAACAAAGTTTTTTAGAGATGTGATTGATTTCCAAGATGGCTGGATTAATAAACAAACTATAGAGACTATAAGAAGAATTGTTCGTTATAAATTAGCTCAGTTAGTAAAAGATGAACCAGTGGATCCGGCAAGAATATCTAAAATTGTGAATCAAGATTACGTTGAGAATAATGATGATATGGAAGTTGACCTGGACAACGCATCCAAAGATATTGAACAGGAAGAACAGGACGATCAAGATGAACAGGATGATGACCAAGACGAAGGTCAAGACGACCAAACTACTCAGGATATTCAAGATCAAGACGATTTGAATATTTCCGAGGACACTGTCATGAGCAGAATCGATAAGTTGGATCCAGAAACTGCTTATAAACTAAAAGACTTGGTATCTTTTGTTAAACAAGACTCATTAGCATAACTGTATACTATGTAAATTATTGCAACTTTCTAAATATAAGATGTACGGATATTCAAGACGAAAGAAAAAAAAAAAAGGTAAATAAAATAAAAAACACGTAGAGAAAATCCTATAGTTTAAACAAACTACTTTAATTATTGATTGATATTAAAACAAACATGACTAAAGCTACTGAAACCGCATTGGCTTTCTTTGCCTTATCTGCCATATATTTTGCGTTATACTCTGGTGTTATCCCAACTTCCACCTTAATTCATGATGAAATATTACCATTTTTACCATGGTGGGGGTTAGTTGCATTTGGAGCCTACGCTTTAGGTACTTTAGGATGGGGTGTTTTTACTTTTAAAGATAAAGAAGAAAAATATAAGGAGTTATTAGATCAAATTGAAGAAGCTAAAGCTTTCTATAAGACTAAAGGTGTTGACTTAGACGAATAAGCTCTTTGATAGTGTCTTTCATAATTTTTCACTTCTACTAAAGATTATTCTTGTTATTATATTGTACATTCTACAAATCTCTATTCTCTAATACAAAATACATAAAATAAATAATTGAATAAATAAGGTTAAATCATTAAAAAAAAACATGTAAAAGAATGTCATTATCTAGAGAAGGAGTGATCCTTTATGCAAATTATGATGTAGCTTTAGTTTTCTTCTTCTCTTTCATTTTCTTTTCCATTTCTGCAAATACTCTAATAGTAACTGGTACGTTACCCCAACTTTCCTCTTCTTCTTCTTTCTTTACACTAGTTGGACTTTCTTTCTTTGGTTTATTGAAATATTCTTTGGCCACCGAATCAGGTAGGTTTTCTCTTTTCAAATGACGTATTGGTGGATGAAAATCTTCTGGCCATACTCCGCCAGTTTGAGCCATTTTCTTAGCAGCCTCTCTACGTTTTTTATTCCAATCTTTAACATCTTCATTAAATAATTCCCAAACACAATTTATACATCCACTCATGCAACAGTTGTCTGGCTCTATCGGCCTATCCGGTACAGTCACACCTTTTATCACTCTAGGTTCACCTCGCATCATTCTACTTGAAGATCTAGGTGATTCACCTTTAATTCTTCCCCCAAAGACTCTTTCAATTCTTTGTTCCGGAGTTAAATTTTCATCTATATTATAATTACCTTCAAACGTGACTGAGGTTTGTTTTTTCAAATCATTGTAATCCTTTTTCGACATTAACAGAGCTTCTATTGGAGCTTGCGGTTTTTTAGGTGTAGACCGAACCAAATCATAGTATTCATATTTCTTATCTTTATTTAACGATATACTGGAGGTTGCGAAATTTCTATAAAGGTTTCTCGTAAGAGCGTGCAGTCTAACTATCATTTTATAATGCAATCAAGGTCCTTGCCAATAGGAGAAGCGGAGTAGTTAGTCAGTTTAGGAGAAACCAGTAAAGAACTCGATTCTTATTCGATATTCAAATGTCGCGTCTAGCATTCTGGTGTGTCGCAAAAATGTCGCGCTGATGACCCGAGGGCTATTTTTTGCTACAACCAATGGGTGCAAATGACGAATGTATATATTGAAAAGAATGCAGAAGATTTTCAAGGTAATAGTATATAAATGTTAGACGTTTTGTAAATCGACTGATTTCAATGCGTCTTCGATACTTAAGTAGAAGCCATCACCCATATTTGTTGGATGAGTATTTCTAAAAGAAGGAAAGTCCTTACTAAAATTTTCATTGACTAAAGATTTAATACCAGATTTTGTAAATTTAGTTCTTAATTTTTTATTGTTGCTGACTCTAGTGAAGAAGATATGGATATTGTCTTCACAGTATTTTGATAAAATTTCTTTGAATAATTGGGTAGCTGAAGTGTCTATATCGTTCATCCCTTTACAATCAAAGATGATGAATTTTATATTTGAATTGAAATCTCTGATGGAAGGTTGAGAAGGATGGATTAATAAGGTACCATATTTTTCGATTCTGTTCAATCTGTTTTTCAAATCACCCACGTTAGCAAAATTTAATGATTCGGGTATTTTGATGATTAAAATACCTTCAATTTGTTCAATGGAATGAATTAAGTTTTCGAAATGTAAAGAGTCTTGAGATCGATTATAGGAAACAAAGCTTTCTTCGATTAATTCATCCGCGTTACGGAAAATGGAGGTGTTTGGGATTCTACCCAAGATTTGGATATTTGAATGGGTGCTATACCTAATAACTTTGATAATTGCCAAGATGATTCCCAAGGTGACACCAGCTTGGGCGCTCCAAAAAACTGAAGTTAAGAAAATCAATGAGAAGGTGAATATTTCATCGTAACCAGCGATTTGCCAATAAAATCTCAAATCATGAGGAACTTCTTCCAAGACGGTTATTCCGATGATGGTGGTACTCAAGGCCAAGATACATTCTGGCAAGTAGTACAAGAAGGGTAATAGGTATAGGATCCCGATCCCAACGGTGATGGCCATAATGATTACTGACATTGGAGAAGAAGCTCCTGCCAATAAGTTAATTTTCGATCTACCTAGAGCCCCAAAACAAGGTAATCCACCGAAAAAACATACTGAAAGATTGGTTAATCCTAGGGCGACCAATTCTCGATTTGACGAGATGTTATAATTATATTTAATTTCCAAAGCTTTCGAAGCGGTAGAAGAATCAAAGTAGCCCAAGATTGAGCAAATAAACGAGGTGGCAAAGACTTCTTTATAAAGATTAATTTTACTCCATTTGAAAGGGTTATTTAAAAAAGTTTTTTCATTGACTGAAGATGTGATATCACCCACGATATCAATACCGTCCTTTTCCCAATCAAGAGTATAACTTAAAAAGGTACCGACCACCACCATTAGTAATAATTCCGGGAAGTAAACCACTGACTGGTATCGTTTGATTAATCTTGCCTTTAATGATTTTACTACTAAAACGATTGAAAGAGTAATTGAAGATATAATCAAGGTTGGCCAATGAATTTTATCTAAATGACTCCCGAGGAAAACAATTTTATCCCAAGTAGTTTTATGGGGGAAATGTTTTGATAATTCATGTAATCCCAATTCTATTGATAATTCGTTAATGATCATGATTAGCCCCATAGCACCAATGAACCCTTTTAATAATGCTCTTGATAATAAGTTATTAAGAAACCCCAATCTACAAATGCCTGAACCCAATAGAATCCCCCCAATGCAAAAGGACATGGATGCGGCGATTTCCTTATCATCTAAATTTTGAATTGTTTCAATGGCATTACCATAGATTAAAGCAGTTGAAGGAGCCGGACCTACAACAAGCACCGGGACACTACCCATGATTGAATAAACAAACGCTCCGGCTATAACACTGTAGAGACCAAGTAATGGGGGCAAATGAGCCAACGATTGAGTGATTGACATTATATAAGGAATCTGGAAACTAGCCATTGAAACCCCTGCTAAAAAATCTCCCAACAAATTGTTTTTCATGGAATAAGAAGGTAACCATCTTATTATAGGACAGTAATAGGAGATATAAGCCACTAGGTTGAATTTGGATTCGTCATTCACCTTCATGTAGTCTAAGTTGGATATGATCAGTTGATTATCACTTGAATCATAATCATTCAAGTTTAAATTGGTTAATGAATGATTTGACGGGACCGATATAAGCGGTCTGGTAATCGAGTTGGTGGACTTGGTTGCTTGAAGCCTTGGCCTGTTCCGGGGCGAGGCCCTGAGCAATGAGGTGGTTTCGTTGGGCATGGCCATGTTAGGTTCTGGAGACTCTGACCATGAGTTTTCAAGCTCCGTTGATCAATTTGAGATCAACATTAAGGAGACGGAATTCTGAAATGGATTCCGTGAGTGGTGCATGGGTGTTGGACTCTGGTTAATACACTACACTTGAATTAGTAGTATTAGTGTACTGTTTATTGGAGCCTTTTATTCTATAGATCGAAGCTTATAGTCAAATTAATTATTATCTTATTAGAATAGATCTTTACTATTCAAGTATTTATAATATCCTTTACTTATCGTGGTTAAGATCGAGAGCAAACTGTTATCGTGCCTACTAGATTATTAAGTAAAGTGTTCGTTATACAAAAGGGGTTGGTGATGTGGCCAATAATACGTCTGGTGCACGGGTGTATACATTTGCAGCACCAAGATCTTATTCCATATCTTACTCCCTTCCATATCTTACTTATTCCATATCTTACTTATTCCATATCTTACTCCCTTCCATATCTTACTCCCTTCCAGCAGCCAATCATCAAAGGAAGTACTATTGTGCACTGCGATACCTCTACTCACGCCAACCTCGACTTACTCCCGGATGTTAATCCAAAGGTGGATGTTCGTGGATACCGTGAACACTGTGGATCTCTACGGCACCCCAACCAAGGCAACGAAGACTCACACGTTGGTTGCAAAATAATGAATAAGGTGATCGCCAGAGATTTCTTTTGATTTCACAGCCGTTGGGGCGTGCGCCTGCACACCAATGACCTCCCAGGTGTACGGAGGCACTGCCCGGGGAACCAATCCCACCACGTGGGTGCAAAAAGCTCGTCTGTTCCATTTCCCAATTCTTGCAGTACTCGTAAAAATGCGTTTTTGAAAAAGATCAGATATACGATTTCAGCCTTACCTTTGTCGAGAAGCTTGATTTGATTCCCTAACTCTTTCTATTCAACCGGCACCGCTCCAGCTCAACACCAGTGGTTGACCCAAGTCAATCAAGGATTCTCTTGAAGGAAAACGTGGGTCTGCCATTTGATTGTCTTGATAAAATTACTATGTAGATTTAATGTCTTGGTTTTTTTTCTTACTTGGAGCTGCTAACAAAGTGAAAAAAAAAAAAAAATTTCGCAGCTTTAGCTGTAGAATTGGAGAATCATCTTGGTGCATAGGCAATTTCTTCAGGGCAATTTGTAAGGGCAATAACTGTTAAATTGCAGTTTGGTTATAAGAATTGGCATTTGAATTGGCATTTGGATTGGTAATAAAGAATTGGCAATAAAGAATTGGCATTTGAGGTACTGCCCACGAGTAGTTATGCTAATCATTTATAAATGAAGTAACATCTTTGCAAATTTACCAAAAAATCATTTTCCATCGATATCGACAAAATGGCTTTCTTACATGACTTTGACTATATCTTTGCGATTGCAATGATCTTTGCCTTCCTTGATGCATTCAACATCGGGGCAAACGATGTTGCTAATTCATTTGCGCTGTCGGTTTCGAGTAGAAGTTTGAAATACTGGCAAGCAGCCATATTGGCATGTATTATGGAATTTTTGGGTGCTTCTTTGGTTGGTTCAAGAGTTAGTGACACCATCAAATCTAAAATCATCGACGTTACTGTTTTTGAAGCGGACCCAGCCGTTTTGATGTTGACCATGGCGTGTGCCTTGGTTGGTTCTTCTATTTGGTTGACCATCGCCACTGCTATTTCCATGCCGGTTTCCACCACCCATTCGATTGTCGGGGCCGTTATTGGTGCTGGGATTGCCGCTAAAGGTGCTAACAACATCCACTGGGGCTGGGAAGGGGTTGGTCAAATCTTTGCTTCTTGGGTTATTGCCCCTGCCATTGCCGGGGCGTTTGCTTCTTTGGTTTTCCTTTTCTCCAAATACTTCGTTTTAGAAGTTAAAGAGTTCAGAACCTCTTTGAGAAATGCTCTTTTACTTGTTCCCTTCTTGGTCTTTTCTTGTTTCTGTATCTTGACCATGTTGATTGTTTGGAAAGGGGCTCCTTCGTTAGGTTTAGATGAATTACCTCAATCAACAATTATTGGTTCTATCTTGGGTGTTGGTGCCGTGGCATTGGTTATCTTTATGATCTTCTTATACCCTTACTATAGAAGAAAATTGGTTCACAATGATTGGACTATTAAATGGTACCATATTCCAAAAGCTCCAATGTTTTACTTCATGTCCACCGATAATATTCCTCCAATGCCTGAAGGTCATGAATTAACCATTGATTATTACAAAGGCCGTAGATACGAAGATGAACCATCCACTCATACAAATGATTTAGAAACTAGCCCCGATTCTTCTGTTCATGGTGATAAACATTCCATCACTTCTATTAAAGTCACTGAAAATCCTTCTATTCTGGAAAAAGGTGATATGACTACTCGTCAATACTGGTGGCATTTGATTAAATTGGGTCCTAGATACTGGCCAAAACTTGTTTGGAAAGTTTTAATCCACGGTATTGATCAAGATATTATCTCCAACCAAGTTTTTTCAAAAGATGCTTTGGCCGGTGATTTGAAAAAAATGCATCAATCTTCTAAATACTACGATAATAGAATTGAATTCTTATTCTCTATCTTACAAGCAATCACTGCTTGTACTATGAGTTTTGCTCATGGTTCAAATGATATTTCAAATGCCGCTGGTCCTTTAAGTACCGTTTACACCATTTGGACTTCAAATGAAGTTAGTTCTAAAGCCGATGTCCCAGTTTGGGTTCTTTGTTACACCGCTGCCGCTTTATGTATTGGTTTATTAACTTTTGGTTATAGAATTATGGCTGCTTTGGGTAACAAACTTATCTTACAATCTCCTGCAAGAGGTTTCAGTATTGAAATCGGTGCTGCCATCACCGTGGTTATTGCTACTCAACACGCTATCCCAGTTTCAACTACTCAATGTGCCGTGGGGGCCACCGTGTTCGTTGGTCTTTGTAATAAAGATTTAAAATCAATTAATTGGAGAATGGTTGCTTGGATTTATGGGGGTTGGATTCTTACTTTACCAATCGCCGGTATAATAGCCGGGGTCTTAAACGGGATCATCCTTAACGCTCCTCATTATGGTGGTAATTACCAATTAAGCTAGGGTTAATGTGATTTAATATATATTTAGGTGTATTTTTATCTGTAGTATACTTTTTACGTTCTTGTAAATTACTTATATTCTCAAAAGAAATATAAGTCATAACTCAAAATATGTCTCCGAGTGAATCATCCACAGGCTTATTCATTCATCTTGTAAGTAGTACAATTAACTCGAAAAAGACGAATTAAATACAGTACTGGATTTTTTTTTGCAACAAATAATTTTATCGCAATCTTCAAAATTACTAACATCCAAAGTCTTTTCTAGAAATCTAAGATGATCTTCCGGAATAAGCATATTGGTGCCATTCGTCATTGAGCAGTAGCATTGTAAATCGTGTCAAGCGAGAATGGATTCAAATTTTAGCTTGCTAGACTATCTAAATTAACCCACTGGGTCATTACATAGTGACTCAGACAAAAAGGAAAGTAATGCTTTTCATTGGCCTGAAGATATTATGTAAGTATACTTTTATGTCCGAATATGGTGCCATGTTATAAAAGCTTTTTCCAAAGTGCTAACTTTTCTGATGCAAAACGAGCTAGCTTGAAGATAACTAAACGTGAAACATTGCAGAATGGGTTTCTTAATACATGAGGGACAATTTGAATGAATCTTTCATTAAGTATGTACGTTGTAGAACTATCTATCAGTAAATTTTAAATAGAAAATAAGATTAACCGCCTATTAATATATATATGTCTAATACATACCGTATTTCGAATTCTATGGTAGTTGCATGGACAATGGAAGCTCTGATTTACCAACATAATTAGATAAGTTTGAGCCAAACTAACTAGGTCTCTACGAAAGGATATTATCCAATCGCAGTTCCACCTTGTAGGAAATAGTAATATGGTATCTCGAGTCAGTGGTAACTTTTCCAAACCTTATAGGTGAAAAAAAAGTGAACTCCAGACCAATTAAACGTAGTAGAAACTATTACTTTCGAGCCAATACCTTAGCTAAAGACCAAGGATTATAAAAGTAAGCGAATTTGAAAGATTTGCTTAAGTTTTCCAGGTATATTGTCATTTAAAAGTAAAAAAAAAAAAACAACATAAAATTCATTCTTCATTGAATTTTTTGGAATTTTTGAAGCTCCGCTATTTTTCTAAAATTATTATTATACTAATAAATTTAAAAATGACTAGAAAAATAGCTAAAATGAAAAAGTTTTTTTTACCCAAAATCAAACTACTTTCAAAAGTTATATTTTTATAAAAGCAACAGTCCTCCAAACTTCAACGAAATGGAGGGTTGGCCGAGTGGTCTAAGGCGGCAGACTTAAGATCTGCTGGACAGTTGTCCGCGCGAGTTCGAACCTCGCATCCTTCATTATTTTTTTGTTTTAAGCTCTTCAAATATTTTGTTTACATTTTCAGTTCAACTTCATTTTTTTTTACTTTTTTCAACTAATACCTTACGAAGCCAATTATACTTTAGATTAAAGCTCAATGATAAAAAGCATTCCACTCCGGAGAGCGTCACCTGCTGCATCGTTAAATGATCCAGTTCAAACGTCAGAAAATCTGCAGATTGCGATAAATAATGGAAGTCAATTGACAATTTTAGATCCAAAATTACCTTCAATTCATAAAACTTTGACGCTTCCAGCACCAGGGAAAGACCCAATTCTCGATCCTTCGGATTTATTCGATATAAGCTCAACTTTATGGCTAGAACAATTAGAATCTTTTGGAATACGGTCATTGAGTAACCTTTTAGTAGAGACTTGTGACCAGACATATCATTTATCAAGAATTTTTGAACCACAGATCATCTCACACAAATGGTCTCCCTTAAACCCATTAACAAAAGATTGTTATCTTGGGATATTGCTCAATACTTCTGAGCTTTTCATACTAGAAAGACAAACTCTTGATTTAATCAATTATAGACCGGCTTTTAAGATCTTTAATAACTTGTTAGATCAATTATATTTATCCAGAGATAAAATTGCAGCAGATGGGAAGATTAAGGTGAACAATGAACAATACTCTTCACTAATGATAGAATCATTTGAATTTAGTCAAGTAATGATCAGCGAAGGTGAGGCTATCCCGCTTTTAAGTATTGGAACGGGATCAAATGAAATTTCTATTCACCAATTAAACAAGAGTTTTACAAAGTTATTAACTATTGAAAACCAACCTTCTAAAATAGTAAAACAGGTATGGTCTAAATGGAAAAAGTCTAACAGCAATAATTTTACTAGTTTTTTATCGTTCATATATGCTGATAATCGAGTGACTACAGCAAAATTGTTTTTTGATATATCGACAAGTGAAATTAGCATTGGAAGGCTAAGTAAAGTTTCACCAAATAAGTCTAGGTTCGAAGTTCATGAATTAGCTTATACAGAGAATGACCAACTAATTGTAATCTCATCAACTTCGATGAGGATTTTTCAATTATCGAAAGAAAATGAAATGGTCATCGACCATAAGCTTCAACACAGATCTAGAGTATCAAATGTTTTGCAATTTAATAAGTACGAAACGCTCACAGTAGATCTTGCTTATGAAAATGGTAAATTCGAACGTGTGGAAATAACAAATAAAGTTGGGAAATTTTCAAGTAACTCTACATTAAGTCCTAAGTTATTCCAAGCATTAGTGAATAGAGAAATGTACCGCTACGAAATCCTAAAATCCAAAGCCGGAGGTGATGAAAATGGGGAAGCATCAAGTGATCAACCACCAAACCTGGCACAAAAACCCTTTTTGAATGATTCAGTTAGTTTACGGTACTATAACGCTGGGACTAAATTAATGGAGTCAAATGGAATGATTGTTACAGTTGGACGAATCATTCCACAGAATGTATTGAATTATGTTATTTCGTCACAGCTTGAATATTCGGTAAATTTTACTCCTATAAAAGATATATATCCAGATTATGATTCAAAAGACAGTTTGATCTATAGCACAAGCACCAATAAAATGAATTCATTTTGGTTTAACTATTACAAGAGAATCCCCATTATTCCAACGTTTACTAACGAGAGAAATGTGGTGAGCGATATTGATGAATTCCTTTCAAAAATTCAAAGTTTAAAGATGGAAGTATTTGGTTCATTAAATGAAAAAACCATTAACATTAAAGATTCAGTGAAGGGCACTACATTTCAACAATTTTTATTCTCGAACTTTACTGCTAATGCTGAAGTTTCAGACTTCCAAAAAGCGTATAACTTCAATATAATTATACTCAAATCATTGTTTTTTTTAAGCTCTAAGCAGATTAATAATGAAGAAATTAATAAGATGATACACATCCTAAAAGAAGAACAATTAAAAATCGAGATGGCTATAGTTGACTTCATGATAGGTTTAGTTTTGAAATATTTCACGAACTTGAAAGAACAACTGCTAACCGAAGTTGATAAATTCTTGATAATTTCATACGTACTTCATTTACAGAGTCAAGGAGTAAGTGTCAAAAATATAGAGAGTATACCAGAAAAAGCCGAACTTCTTGTTAAAACTGATTTTTTTGAAGAAGAATTTGAAGTCTCCAAAAACGATATTATAGCTGACGACGAAAGAATCCTTAAGGTTGTTACATCCAAGTCTGGTCATAAATGGTCAAGATGCTCACTAAGTTTATATCCATTATTAGAGTTGAATAACCAGATGGATGAAATGAAAAAATTCAATTATACAGTAAAACAAACTAATACGGGATCTAACGAATCCATAATCAATAACTTATTAAGTTCATTAAATTTCTGTATTTATACGGGGAATAAAACTTATAATGTTAATTGAAAATAAATAGTGTAATATATACTTTTTTAAATATGTAATTATCAGTCATTTTTTTTCAGGTTTGGATCAACTATGAAAGATCCAGGAATTGGTTTAAAGCCTTCGTCCTGGTCAGCAAAACCTCCACCTAAAACCTTACGTTCATCATCTTTATTCCATACTAACTGAGTTGAATTCCAATTAATCAATTGACTCAATTGATTTGGAGGTGGGTCAGACACTTTGGTGATAAGATAAGCTACGCTTGATTCAGCAATTCCATAAACAAACACACTTATCCAAGGAAGCTGATAGATTATGTAGTAATAACAAAGACCGAAACCAAATAAGACCCCTTCTCTTGATTTCATCCATTGATCCTTTTCGATTTTAGTAAACTGAATTCTAATAAAATAAGGTAATAACAAATCATGAATCATATTTCTTGAACCCCAAAAAATACTTAAGAATAAAGAAGTATAATGCTTTGGTAATAATTGCAAGACAAAAAAAATTATTATTGCTGATATACTACCAACTTTATCATTAAAATTTTGGAAAGAAATCAAACCAATTATAATAGTACCAATTTTTGGAACCTTACATAAGATGTAAATCAAAATATTGAAAGAACAATTATATAAATATCTTTTAACAAAATTTGAGAAATCCCCTGATTTCTGATACTTTAATTGAATCGTTTTAAACCATGATTGTTTAATTTTCTTACCAGTTTTATTATAATCCAAGTCGGTTAACTTTAATGAAATATCAATCAAATTATCATGATATTGATGCTCTTTTCTGTCTGGATGTTTCTCAATATAAACACTATCAATAAATTTAAGACTAGTTAAGAATAAATCATCTAATTCCGGAGTGAAAAATCTTATCGCTGATATGATGAAAACTCCTATATTCAAGACATTTTTCTGGAAATATTCCAAACCACTAACTATATTCTCTAGATCTTGATCATGTCTAAATATTAATGCCAAAATCTGGAAGAAAAACCTCACGGTAAGTATTGGTGCCCATAATATACATTGAAGTATAATGGAATACTTTAATTGATTAAATGCTTGCTGATAATATTTTGATTCAAAAAGTTTTGGGTTTTGTAATGACCTATAAGCTCCCAACAATGCCAATTGAATTCCTCTGAGTATAGCCACTATCGAAAACCCAGGAGGTGGATTGGATAAGAATATAGGTGATGCCATCGTCACTTACTGTTCAATCGTCCAATCGGTATCTTCGTCTGATTCTTCTCATCCCAAGATCATTAGCAAAGAGTCCGTACACCAAAATAATCCATGCACCAAGTACTTGACGTACAACTCTGGAACAACCTACATATGTTAAGACTAGTGATTCAAGAATGTTAGTTTCTTCTTCGTCTATCTTGAAAGCCCATTTCCAACTTATGCTCTTTTGAAGGAGTTGGCAGAGAGTTTTTCTCTTTTTCTTTGTTTTAGCACTTCTAAAGACTGAGCTGTAAGGGAATCGCTACTGACCGGATAAAGCCGTTGAAAGAGATGATGAATGAGTTGTTGAATAAGTCACATGGAGACGAATACTCTATCGGAGCATTAGCTATATTTCCTGTGCAGAAAAGGAGTCATTTATTTGTCCATTGCAAACCGCATTTCAAAATGTCATGTTGACCTTCACACAATCATGAAGTCTTGCATCGACACTATATATCGATGCTAAGTCGATGCATTTAGAAGGATACCTTCGAAACGGCGATGGAATCAATAATTATGTCAATTGACGTCTTGCTTTTCGCAGCCTAAGCAGAGCATTTTTATGTTTCGCTGCAAATGACAGTAGATGCTATTTTTCCCGTAGAACATTTGCTTCGATCGATAATCAAGCACATGGATACATCAAAGCTATAAATGTGCTAATCTGAATATTAACTGAGATGTTCTCTTGTGAACTGTCCCTACATTTAAACCACGATTCAACTGTGGAGATCTCCCAACAGGCTATAATTAAAAAGTGGTCTACTTGTAGCTGGCAGCGAATATGCATAACTTGACGTGAAAATACCAATGTGGACAAATTAAAGGCTCTTTATCACTCAAAGACGAAGCCTTCTGTGTTTCAAACGAAGGGTTTGACCGATCAAAGCATCTCATTTCTTAAGACACTAGAGCGTCGCTGTACAAGCTTTTCAGCCCTAGTTGTCAAATTTCCGTGAAGCTTCGCAGTAGGAGGGCTCTCGCTTAACTATTTCCATAATTAGTGCCCTTCACCTTCCGCCATTGTAAGCTGCTGTGTTCTGTGGTTTCTACTAGCCATGGTAACTGGGTGTTTGCGTCTCGGAAAATGATAACCGGGTCCACCATCAAGTGAGACCACCCCAACAAACCCTGGGATCAGATGCTCTTCTCTGCGAAATTGCCGTAGAAGGCTTTTTGTATCGGAGTCTTCAGCAGTTGCCTCAGACAAAACTGACTCCTGACCAGGCTGGAGGCTCGGTAAATGGAAACCGATGCACTCCGAAGGAAATCAGAGCAAAGATAACGGGCATTTGGCAGCATTTTTTTTTTTGGCAGCCACAGACACTGACTCTGACATGACTCTGCTGACTGAGTCAGCGGACGAGGGGGTCTCCTTATCAGTATATAGATAGTATATATATATATAGATGTATTAGTATTCGAAAGAAGGATGCAAAAAGGAAAGGAAGTCAAGAGATAATGGCAGAATCAGTGCAAACAAATCCAAAAACAACGGTCAAACCTCCTTTTATTCAAACCAGTTTGACAGAAGTCACCGACCAACTCCCAATTGAGCCTCCTTGTAGAATATTTTTCAAGAATGAATACGAACAACCATCGGGCAGTTTTAAATTGAGAGGAATTGGTAATTTGGTGGCCAAGTCAGTTGAAACTGCGCAGAAATATCATCCCAACAAGTTTATACAAGTGTTTGCATCCAGTGGAGGGAACGCAGGTTTAGCAGCCGCTTATCTGGCTAAGTTTTATAATCTTCCATGCATTGTTTGTATTCCAGCTAGTACCAAACCAGAAATCATTGACTTATTGCATGAATTGGGTGCCAAAACCATAATGAAGGGTGAGAACATCTTGCAGGCCGATAAGCACTTGAAAACTTTGATTGCAAAATGTGATTTAAATAAAATATATCCAATTTATTGCCATCCTTTTGATAACCCTTTAATCTGGCAAGGACATCTGACTCTTGTGGACGAGATCTTACAGGAACAGTTATCTCCACAAGAAACTGCAAAATTAAGAGGTATGGTTGCTAGCATTGGTGGAGGAGGATTATTCTGTGGAATAATGGATGGTATAAAGAAGAATGATCAACAAAACACGGATGTGTTATTGGTAGAGTCAAAACAAGCCCCTACATTCACTGAGACTATCAAGGCAGGTGAAATCATCCAATTGAAATCAGTTAAGAGTTTGGCTACTTCTTTGGCTTGTTCCCATGTCACAACTAAATGTCTTGATTACTATAATGACCAATCGTCAAACAAAACATTTGTGGAATCGATAGATGACTTGGAAGCCGTGAAGGGATCCGTCCACACTTACAACCACTTCAACATTGCCGTTGAGCCCGCCTGTGGTGCTGCCATGTCGGTGGTTTTCAACCAGTTGAAGCTACTCAAACATTTCAACTTGTCAAAAGACGATATTGTGGTGATTGTCGTTTGTGGTGGCAGTTGCACCAACAAAGCCGGCATCGAAAGCTTCAACAAACTACTTAGGCTGCAAGTCAAATTGTAAGCTCATGTGTAAGCTCATGTGTATATTATATAGTGTATTCTAATAAATCATTTAAATCGTTAGTTCAATTCGTTATCTGAGGAAATAGACTGAAAAAAAAAAAAAAAAATCTTCGAAGCTCTACCATAACTTGTCACTGATTGCAATACACTTAAATGATCCGACATAATGATATGTCTAAACTGTATTCTTCCCAAAAGCCGAATCCTTATAGTCATCCTTATACTCCTTATCCGATTCAAATCGAGTTGATGCAAGCAATTTATGACACCATCAATAATGACTTCAAAATTGGTTTATTTGAAAGTCCAACCGGTACTGGGAAGACATTATCTATCATATGCTCCACCATGACTTGGCTTAGGGATTATAAGAAGAATCATGTTTTTTCGTCAACTTCATCTTCTTCAAATCCAGCTATGGACGCGTCATCGAAAGCGTCAGCTCCCTCCTCTAGATCATCAAGTAACTTAAAAGAGCTCAATTTTAGTGATTCTAGTAGTGAAGAGGATTCCAGTGATGAAGAACCAGAGTGGGTTAAAAAATCTTATGAGAAAACCGTCATTGCTAGAACAAAGGGAAGAGCTGAAGAGTACGAAATATATCTAGATACCGTTTCTAAAAGGTATAAAAAAAGTACAGTTCACGATTTATCAAGAGATAGGACCATGAAGAAGATGAAAAAATTGAAAACAGACACTGAAAATGCCGTTGAAGATGACTATTTACCAGAAGATTACTATAGTGATAGTGAAAACGGATTAGTAGGGCAAGCGACGAAAGAAAATAATCAACTCAGCAGCGAGATTGAAAAACTATTATCCAAAGTAAATGGCTCTGGTCAAGACCAAGTAGAGCCAATAAATGAATGTCCGGTATCGATATACTTTTCATCAAGAACTCACTCTCAATTAACTCAATTTTCACACCAATTGAACTTAACAAATTTCCCATCTTCATTAGATAATATCAGTGAACGTATTAAATTCCTACCTCTCGGATCAAGAAAACAGCTTTGTATCCATCCAAGAATTTCGAAAATATCAAATTTGAATAACCTAAATGATGCCTGTGTAGATTTACAAAATCTGACATCTTCTAATTCGAAAGGTTGTGAATATTTACCAAAATTAAATAATCCGGATTCAAGCAGTATCATAAAAGATTTCACTGATATGAGTTTAACTAAGATTCATGATATTGAAGATTTGGCCCAATTAGGATCTGAATTAAAGGTTTGTCCCTATTACTCTGTTAGAAAGGGAATTGAATTAACCGAAATTGTGGCATTACCTTATCAAATGTTACTTCAAGATTCAACAAGAAAGATCTTAAATCTAAAAATTGATAATTCGATAGTCATTATTGACGAAGCTCACAATTTACTAGATACGATTACTGCAATGAATAGTTTATCAATTACATCCAATGAACTCAGTGATATAATTAAATCTTTAAAGTTTTATCTAGCTAAATTTCTGAAGAGATTAAACAGTGGTAATAGAATAAATATCATGAAGTTAATAAAACTATGTCAAATTTTAATCAATTTCGTCAATAAATCATCTCCAGTTGCTGGTAGAGAAATATCCACCCAGGAGATTTTCGATGGTAATACTGGGGATTTGATCAATGTCCATAAAATTGAAAAATTTTTGAACAAATCCAAAATTGCTTATAAAATTGAAACCTATATGGAAAAATTGAAAAAGCAAGAATCGAATAACACCACTAAGACCTCATCTTCATCGAATCCATTACTTTTCAAGATCACCCAGTTTTTGATGAAACTTAATAATCCTTCTAAAGAGGGAAAGTTTTTCTGGGACACTGCTTCAAATACTATTCTGATAAATTATATGTTGCTTGATCCAAGTGAAATTTTCAAGCCTCTAGTTACAAGAAGTAAGTGTGTGTTATTATGTGGGGGAACAATGGAACCTATGAATGATTATACCGATTATTTATTTCCATATATTCCCAATAATAAATTGAAAAAATTCAGCTGTGATCATATAATTCCTGATGAAAACTTAAAAGTATTCCCTATAACTCACTATCAACGGACCAACTTCGAATTTTCGTTCGACAAGAGAAACAATCCCAGCATGATTGAAGCATTGGGGAAATGTTTGGTAGAATTGATTCAGAGTATTGCCAGTGGGGTTGTGATTTTTTTCCCAAGTTATAAATATTTGAACCAAGTTCTTGACAGTTGGAAACGAGTCGGGGTTTACGATAAAATGAATAATATGAAAACCATATACGAAGAGCCAACTGACTCATCAAATGTTGATTCGACATTAGCGTCATATTCCTCAACAATCAAATCTAACCACGGAGCCATTTTATTCTCAGTCGTTGGAGGAAAAATGTCTGAAGGGATTAATTTTTCCGATGATCTTGCTAGGTCTGTGATCATGATTGGTTTGCCATACCCCAATGCATATCTGGGAGAAATGATTGCCCGGAAGAATTTCATTAAGGAGACCACCATTTCAAGGGGAGGAACTCCAACTGAGGCCAATTCCAACGCCCAAAATTTTTATGAGAACATATGTATGAGGGCCATTAACCAAAGTGTTGGAAGGAGTATTCGACATTCCAAAGATTACTCGACCATTTATTTAATTGACAGCCGATTCCAACAGGCTAGAATTCAGAACAAACTAAGTGCTTGGGTTAAAAAACGGATTATTAATAATAAAAACTTAAATGAAATTCTTGATGAAACTAATGAATTTTTCAATTCAAAACTTGTAAATAGATCAATCTAATTAAGTAATTATTTATTCATTAAAATGCATAAGAAACATCACTTCGAAGTACCCATTTTTCACCTTCGCTTACCAATTGAGCTTCGTGTTTCAAACAATCATCTCCATGTTTATGTAGCAATGCCATACCTTTCGTTGGATGGATACTCACGGGTTTGGCATTGCGTTCAAATTCAGGATAGAAGATCGTATCACCACCTTTAAATTCATCGTCTCCGGTCAAATAGATCAACAAAGTCCATTTGGTTGTAACTTTCGGAGTATCCTTGTTGAAACCCTCACAAACTACCGAATCATCATAATGTTTACCAAAATGATGTCCTTTCCTATACCTATAGATTCTCAATTGAGGATTCAAGCCATGGGCGTCTTGGAAAATAGATTTGATTTCATCCAATTCTTCATCCTGATACCCAGGGTCCTGTAATAAGATGTCTTTCAAATACGTCCATAGCACCTTGGACGCCTCGATATCATTCAAAGATATACGGTCATTAAACCGTGCAGCATAATCCTTAGACTTGATAAGCGGGGTCGTTTCCAACGTTAAAGACCCAACAAACGACTTGATTAGTTCATTACAAAACTCCGAAGTGAAAAAATTGTTAATGGTGATGATTTGATCCGATATAATCGATTCGGGCCCTGGCTTGAAAAACAGTTTTGCCAACAGCTTTGGTAAGTTGTAATAGCTCTCAGGGAACTTATACAGTGCCTCCTTGGGCTTCGTAGTAACCTTGGACTTCTTTGGAGCCATAATGCAATGAAGAAGTTGAAGTAGCAAAGCTAAATGCAGGATAACGATGATTTTTTTTTCCATACTTTTTTTGTCATTTTGAAAAGAGAAAAATTCAATTGACGTGTTTTTTTTAACAACCAGATAACAGAATTAAGAAGCAAACATGAGAATAGCCACGTTGATACCTCTACTAGGGGTCATACCGATGATAGAGGCATTCAAGGCCTCCCCGTTGGTATTGGCATCCCACAAGTTGGTGAAAGGGTTGAGAGATGAATTAGAACATGGCAATTCCCAACCGCATAGCGAAACTAGTGTTACTAATATGTTGAAGAAGCTTATGACGGAGTGTTCCTCCGATGCCTACTTGTTGGTGAACCAACCCGGGTTGAAGTACGAGGATATGGTTGGAATACACGAACAAAGATGGCCCTTTTTACAAAAATATCTTACCTTGGCCAGTAGTGTTGTGGGGATACCCTGGGTCAAAGGCACGGTTGATTTGAATTTTGTCGAGAACTACTTGATCAAGAACTGTGAAGCAGAAACCATCACCGTATTGCACGAAGACGAGGCCGAGGTGGGCAAGTACATCGACACCAGGAAAAGAATAATCCGGGTTGAATTAAGTGAAATCCCCGAAGATATCGACGAAGACGAAAGAGGATTGATCTTGAAAAGCCACGACGAACTAGTCAGACAAATCTTGAGGAAAGTGCCTTCTCCTCATTACACCATTATTCTCACCTCCAGTACCACCAGCAGCTTCCACCCTATCCCACCTCTGGTGGTTGAGTCAAAACCAGAAAAGTATGAAATGTTCAACGAAATCATTAACCACCCATCGAGACAAAAGGAAGTCGAGAGAAACGCCCATAACTACCAGAACAAGGCCCCCGAATGGAACCAGGACCGGAACACCGTTAATAGGTATTTGAAAAATAGAAAGAACGACGAGGTTCACTTATTCAGAGGTGAAAAAAGTATGGAGTTATGGAAACAAAATGAAAAAATCGTCAGCACCATGCTAGTGATGATTGTCAGTATTTTCCTCATGAAAATCATGAAGCTTGTCAAGTACATCCAGCACAAGTTGAGCGCAATGCTCCAAAAACCAAATCGCAAACAGGGACTCCTTGATAAAAAAAGTCATTAAACCTCTCTTTATACGTATAAATATATTAAAATTGCAACCAAAACCAACCTGTAAACCCATACAACCTGCAAAATACCCGACACAACCTGCAAATTCACGGTAATCTGCAAACCGCCGCAACGCAAACTGCAAAAAAACTTTATAGACCAAAAAAATCAGCTGTTTTTTTTTTTTTTTTTGTTTCTGTAAAAAAAACAACAGCAGAAAAGTTAGGTAACTTTTCATTGAAAGAATTTCAATAATAATCAAGTAATAAAAGGATTTGAAATATAATCAGTATATAATCATATTGGTATCGAGATATATTCCCGCTAAGATATTCATATTGCAAAACGAGAGATTTATTTAAATTGCGGTGATCATTCAGAGCTGTTTTTTTATTGCGATCAGATGAAGATATAGATTTATCAGTTAGTTTTATACATATATTGACAAGATGTCTGAGTTTCTACAATTTAATAGTATACCATCGGGTAATCATAAGGGGAAGAAGCACATTGTGATTGTGGGTGCTGGGATCATTGGTGTTTGTATTGCTTATTTCATTATCAAGCACCCAAAATTCGATCCGGCCAAAATCCATATTACAATTGTGGAAAGTAAAAGAGTGGCCGGAGGAGCAAGTGGTAAAGCCGGTGGATTATTAGCATTATGGGCATTTCCTCAGCAGATTGTGCCTCTTTCTTTTGAGTTACATCAACAATTGTCTGATCTATATAATGGAGAAGAAGAGTGGGGGTATCGTCGATTGACAACGGTTTCATTAGAAGGAGATATCAGTCACTTGCCTGATATAAATGAACTTTCCAGTGATGACGATGATGACGATGATGATACGATAAACTATGAAAAATATCATGATGCCCAAGAAGAAACCGATAGTGGTAGTTATAGAAAATCCACTAATACTGATACTGATTCATCAACCGAAAAACCACCCAAGAAAACTTCTAGAGCAACCCGTCTGCAAACCGCTAAGAATAGTAAGGGTTTGAGCGGGAGTAAATTACCAAATGATTTGAATTGGATCAATTCTACCTTAATTGATCTGTGTCTGTCTCTTGGTGGTACCGATAGTACTGCCCAAGTGCATCCTTATAAATTCACCAGTTTTATATTGAAAAAAGCAGTTGAAATGAGTCAAGGTTCTTTAGAATTAATCTTGGGTAAAGTAAACCAAATCAATTATTCAATGGAAACCGGAGTTGCCACCGGAGTAACTTATGAACCTACATCTTTAAAACAACAAGAATCAAAACCTTTGGTTGAATTAAGTGGTGATCAAATTATACTATCAGTTGGTCCTTGGACTTCCAAGATTTTACCCGACTGTCCAATATCTGGTTTAAGAGCTCATTCAATTACAGTTGCTCCATTTAAAGATCAACCAGTTAGTCCCTATGCAATCTTCACCGAATTTAAAACCGGCCCAATGTCCTATGTATCCCCGGAAATCTACGCAAGACAAGATGAAGTGTACGTCTGCGGTGAAGGTGATTCAACCGTTGATGTTCCAGAAACTTCTGATGATGTGGAGGTTGTTAAATCAAAATGTGATGATTTATTTAATCAAGTTGGTAAAATATCTCCTAATTTACGTAAAGGTCATATCTTGAAAAAACAAGCTTGTTATCTCCCAGTATTGGATGTTCCCTCCTCCAGTGGTCCTTTAATTGGTGAAACAAACGTTGATAATCTATTTTTATGTTCAGGTCATTCTTGTTGGGGGATCAACAACGCCCCTGCCACCGGTAAGATCATGAGTGAATTGCTATTGGATGGAAAGGCAAAGCTGGCGGATATATCTGCTTTGGACCCTTCATTATATTTCGATGCAAGTATATTACTAAGTGAAGATGAAGAAGATGAGGTTGATGATGAAGATGAAGACGAAGAAGATAATGAAGAAGACGAAGAAGATGAACTAGGCGACGAAGATGCTTACGATAAAGATGAATAGTTCTCTCTGCATTTAAATACGTATATAAGCTTATGTATGGATTATCACAACTAGTCTCGCTATTTGTAACTTTTATTAGGGCGCAAAATTTTTTTTTATGAAAAAGACTTTTGCTGCTAAAACTAACCGCCAACGACACCACTGCCATACAAGATGGATCCAGTTTCAGAGAAAGTCCCAGTTGATGATCAGTTGCCTCAAAGGAAAAAGAGAAGGTCAAAGGGAGACAGCGAGGCTACGAAAGAGTTGGTTTCGAGATTTACGGTTGATTCGAAGGTGGATGGAATGAAGGATGAAATGAAGGATGAAAGTTTTGATACAACCTTAACCATTGGTAAGCCGTATTCATCGTCAACACAGATCCATGGATTGCCGATGATGAAACCCGTGAATAAGATTCTCAAATCATCACCATTGAAGAATAACGCCATAAGTCATGATGAGGAAGATCTTGAGATGACCCAGGATTTGATTCGAATAAGTAACGAAATCACCCATAATAACACCAACCCATTGAGCTTGGGTGATTTTGATATGGATCAGGAAATATTACAGGATTTCAATCTACGGTCGTATGTTGAAAAATTCGACTTTAACCCAAATGATAATTTCATGCAATACTATATTAAAGTCAATGACAAAATCAACCAGTACGAATCCGAACTCATCAAGCAGTTGATGACAGAAAGATTCAAGCTATTGAAGAGGTTTGAGTCTTTGAATGATATTGTCAATCAGTATAGTCAATCATTGATCAAATGCGATAAGGATTTCGATTCCAAGATAAATCAATTAAAACTGGTTAACGATATCTTGAATAGTTTATAGTTTATAATTGTCATACATAAATAAATGATTTAAATATTTAAACGTTTTTTGGTTTTTTTTGGTTTTTTTTTTTTATTTTTTAAATAAAAATTAGATGAATTACTATACAATCGAAATTAAACAAGTATATACAGAGATTTAACTAATTTAGTTTCTTTTAGCAAAACGTCTTGGACCTCTTTGAGAAGAGATGGCAACGGTTTGAATTGGAATTTTGAAACCTAAAGTTTTAACTAAATCAGCAGTTTCAGAATCAACTTCTAATTGACCGTTGGTGTGAGATAAGTCCAAAGCGGAAACTTCTGGAACATATTGATCTTTTCTTTCACGTTCTTCTTCTTGTAATTTGAAAGAAATACCTCTGACTGGACCTTTTTGAATACGTTTCATCAAGTGGGTGGTGTAACCAGCAATCTTGTTTCTTAATCTTTTAGATTGGATTTCAGCAATTTCATCAGTTAATCTTTTGTTGGTTTCGAAATCCAAGGTTAATTTTGGATAGAAACGTTCAATTAAAACTTTTGAAGCTCTTTTAACGGTTTTAGTTCTAACGCGACCCTATTCATAGTTAGTATTTTCATCCTTTGAAGGCTCTACAGGTTCTACAGTTATCAGAGGTTCCGCAGTTCAGTAGCAAAAGTCATAAGTTGATATCAGTTCCCCTGGTCAGTAGTTTCATATGTTATAACGACAACTTTGAAATCTACTTGATCAAAGGTTCCCTAATAATACCATCCATAAACTAATAGCTATCTGAAAAACGGTACTCCAGTAACTGCAACCTGTGAAGGGAGTTAGGTACATACCATTTTAGCTGTTTATTGGTTGTTAATGAAAAAGAAAGGAAAAACAGATTATGAAAAATTGACTGGAACTGAAAATATATTTATTAGGATTGAAAATTGCAGTTCTCACCTAAAAAAATTTTCAATGCGGTCGTGTACAGTGAATAAATGAGCGGGAGAGCCTTAGGGCTTCGGCCGCGAGATGTTAGTGAATGCACGTGCACAAAAGTGACTCGCCAATCCGTGGTACGGAGGTTTGTAATTGTACGGAGGTTTTGGATTGAGTGGAAAAATGTATTAGATTGAGATTATCAACAAAGCTTTTACTGTGATGGCTGACTCAATAAAGCAGGTAATATTGACTATACTGGTATAATCGATAAGAGATTGAGTGTTTCAATTAGCAGGTTGATTGATTGAGGTTTTGTTTTTGGATTGATTGGATTGTTTTTTTTTCTTTTTTGGCAATAAAGTCGGTTTTAGCATAATTTTCTAATATTAAGATAGAATAAATCTAATCAACAATTAATCAATTTTTCATTTGAAGGAATGGAAAAAGGAAGGTTATACCACTGTGATGTTTGTTCATCCGATTGCACCAATCGTATACGAATTCAGTGTGCAATTTGCGCAGATTATGATTTATGTGTACCATGTTTTGCAGCAGGTTCTATTTCTGGTGATCATAAACCATGGCATGATTATAAGATTATTGAGCAAAATACATATCCAATTTTCGATAAGGAATGGGGTGCTGATGAAGAGTTGCTTTTGATTCAAGGCTGTGAAACGTTTGGATTGGGTAATTGGGCTGATATAGCTGATCATATTGGTAATAGATCAAAGGAGGAAGTTGCTAAGCATTATTATGATATTTATTTAAATTCAAAAGATTACCCCTTGCCGGAAATGGATAAAGATTTTGATGATATTCATCCATTAGAATTTTTGCAACAACGTAAAAATCGTTTGGAAAGACGTAAAAATCAACCATTACCACCTCCCAAGACTAAGCCTGACTCTTCGGTTCCATTATGTCACGAAATTCAAGGTTATATGCCTGGTAGATTGGAATTCGATCACGAAGCTGAAAATGATGCTGAAGTTCCAGTTAAAGATTTAATTTTTGATCCAGAAGATTCACAAGGTGATATTGAATTAAAATTAACTATACTTGATATTTATAATTCTAGATTAACCACTAGAGCTGAACGTAAAAGGGTTATGATTCTTAATAACTTATTGGATTATAGGAAAAATATTAGTAATGATAAAAGAAAATCAAAGGAAGAAAAAGAATTATTGAAAAAAATTAATGCAATGATAAGAATTTTAACCCCCCAGGATTTTGAGGAATTTTCTAAAAATTTACTTACGGAATTGAAATGTCGTCTACGTATTCAACAATTACAAAGTTGGAGAATCAATGGTATTACCACCATTGAAGATGGTAATAAATTCGAAAAGGATAAACTAATAAGACAAGCTCATTATCAAAGAATGGGTAATGGCTCTGCTTTGAATGCTAGAAACGCTACCTCAACTCCAATGAATGGTCTGATATCGGGTATGGGTCGTAAAATGGGAGCTCATTCTCCTCAACCATCGATGGATTTCAAACCAAAAATCAATACAAGTTCTACTAATCGTGCACCTTTGGATATAAGTCGTGCTGCTGATTTCGACTTATTATCAAATGAAGAAAAACAATTATGTGCAACTTTAAGAATCTTACCCAAACCCTACCTTGCAATTAAAAATCAATTAATGAAAGAAGCCGTGAAAAATAACGGTATCTTGAAAAAGAAAGATGCCAGACAATCTCTTAAAATTGACGTCAATAAAGCTTCAAAAATTTACGAATTCTTTGTGCAAATGGGTTGGTGTTCTCAAGGTTAGTGCACCTATTCTCTACGATATACTTATGACTTTCATTTCATATATAGACTTCCTTTTTTAATATTTCGCTTTCTCTTTTTTTTCCATTCACTTCATTTTTCATTCAATTGTATCATAACAACATAAAATTAATTTATTTACTTTACTTTAGTCGTAATCGTTCTGTCTGAATTGATTTATGTTGTTTTGATACTTTTCTCATACACGTTAAAATTTTGTTTGTTTTTGTTTTGCTGTAGTTTTTTTTTGAATTTTTGTTCATATTTTTGATCCATGGAGTTCGCTTCTTCTTTCGTCGATATAACTAAGTTTGCCTTTGCTTAACAACTTATATAGCCTATCGGTAACCGGGTAAAGGTCTATTAAACACTTTTCAACTCATATATAATAAAAAAAATGAAACTATTGTCAATTTTATCGTCTTCTATAATTCTTTTGAATTATGTCCATGCCATAAAGCCAGTTACTTCAGCTCAGTTTTATCCTTTAAATAGAAACGGTGATATTCCTACAGATCTTGAGCCTTTCCAATTGGGCCAGGATATACCATTGGACTGTATTTCTAGGAACATTGATAATGGGGAACACAAATTTGATGATAAAGACAGAATTATTTATATTCCATTTCCAACTTGTCAAGAAACGAACAAACCACTTTCATTTAAATATGGTGTAAGCGAAGATGTCAATTGCACCATTGGATTTACTGATGAGTTATATCACTTGTTCCAATTATATATTCACGAAGATTCTCCATTTAGTTGTCGTTTACCTTTAAGTAATGAACCTCACTATATTGAAAAAGGTGGGGCTTTTATTCCATTAACTTTCAACTTTAGAGGACAAATCCAAGATTCACATCTTGATATTGACTCACATTTGAACGTTCTTTTCACCAAACCTGCTGAGGAAAACACTTTGATTAGTTCTGTCGCTTGGTCATCGGGTACCAATGCTACTAGAATCGTTATAGGTGATTTTCTCACAATTAATTTAGCTGTAAGATGGTTAGATAACTTGAAAAATACTGATTCAAACACTGATAGCTTTAGGAACGTTAATGGTTTACCTTTCCCAGATGGATTTTACAAACTCCCATTAAATTCGATTCCGATATCTTATTCGATGTTCCTCTTCTATTTGGGACTTGTTAGTTTGGCTTCTGGTGCTCTTGTTTTAGCATTTTCCTACAATCTTATTAGTATCAAATTTTCGAAAACTCATTATAGAAACTTAGATAATGAGTCACTTGTTACTAAACGTGATTAATTGAATTATGTAAAAATACAAATATATAATGATGCTAAAAAAGTGTAGAATTAATTTTAAATAGAGCGACATTTTTTGATAATGGCCTTTAATAAGGTAGTAACTCTTTTTGATTGGTTTGATTCGATTGAAGGAGTCAAAAACTTTTCATTAAGATAACTGGTATACTTATTGGTTAACTCATCTTTGTCTTTATTATTCTTAAGCTTCATTTTGTAAGCAATGAATTTGTTGACTGATAATTGTAAAACTTCAGCAAAATTTTCATCACTAATCTTCAAAGTTCTAGTTGACAAATTTATGTCAATTAAAGGAGTTCTTATATCATTAGAATGATTGTTTTGTAAATAAGTAAGAACGTGTAAATATAAGTAGTCTCTATTGAGATTATCAAATTGATCAAAAATTGATAAAAATGCTTGAGAAATTTCAAAAACTTTATCCTCCGGAGTTGAAATCGTTGAATTTTTTGGAATTGTTTTCAAAATAGCAGGAATACATAAATCATAAATTGTTAATGCAATATCACCTCTTAAAACTGGATTGGTTTCTGCATTACCCAACATATTCATATCGGCTTCTGGTAGATGATTCAATTGGTCATTCACTTCATCGGCACTAACAGTAGGTAAGCTAATAACATCTTTATTGAAATCTTCATCATTATCAAGAACTTTTGAGTTTTTATTCAATTCAGCTTCTCGTCTTCTTTCATCTTTTTGTAAATCTTCAGTTTGTTCTTTTTCAGTAACTAAACCCAAAACTTGTCTTCTTGCCAACAATTTAGAAACGTAGGTTAATTCAAATTGAGCATAATTCAACCATAACTCATAAGAATCAGGGTTCAATCTCAAACCTCTTTGGAATAAAACTCTAGCACCTTTAGCGTTAGAATTATCTTCGAATTCATATCTTGCAGCTGATAACCATGCATCAATATTTCTAGGTTGTAATTGTAATAATCTAGAATAAACACTATAGATAACTTTGATGGCACCATGTTCTTTGGCTTGTTGTAAATATTTAGCCCATAATTCTAGATCACCAGGGAATCTTCTAACTGATCTTTGCATGATGAAAAGTATTCTTCTTGGTCCTGCCCAATCACTTATACTTCTTTTTTGTTTGATCAACCCAACTGACTTAAGTCTTATAAGTCTTTTCTTTCTTAATTTTTCCAAATTAACTTCAAAATCACAATATTTGAGGAAATCTCTTGGTCTACTTCCTCTCCCTTGAATTCTCTGTTCGAAATCGGTTCTTCTTCTCATAATCATAGTGATTTCATTTCTCTCGAACAAACCTTTGTCTTGCAAGTCTTCCAATTCAGGAACTGACTGTTCCAAGTAGTATCTTACTTTATCGGCCATCTTTTTAACGAAACTACTGCTAAGTTTATGCTACCGTTATCACCAGTAGAAGTTATTCAATTTTTTTTTTCTTCAACATCTTTTTTTTGATAGCGATGAGATGATGTATAAAACCCGTACACACCAAATTAAAGTATATTCTGGTATAACCCCAGATTTAGCATGCCCTTAGCTTATTCTTAACTATATAAACTCTTAAGTTGTTTGCAATTTCAAAAATTATATTTACATATTTCAACTAGCTCAGCTAATTCTACTCTGTGAATTACGCTTGACCATCTCATATAAGTTGGAAGCTTCAGCTTGGTTAATGTCATCACTAAAACAAACCTGCTTCAAGTTGGTCAACTTCGACCAATTTATTTCACCGTCATTATAGCTGCTCAAACTAGTAATCTTGTTGTCTCGTAGTGATAGAATTTCCAAGTTAACTGGAAATATAAACTTATTTAGACTTTTGATACCGCAATCACGTAGTATGAGTTTTTTCAAAAGACTCGGGAAAAACCATTCGTTCTGTTGAATTCTTAAACGTCTCATCGTAGCAATGTCCACATGAAAGATTAAGTTTGGTTAAATAAGGAGCGAACCTAAAGTACGGGTAGGGATAGCCGTCTATTGATTTCAACGAGCTTAAGTTTCTTTGTTGTTCCAGGCAGTTTTCCAAATCTAACTTTTTCAATGTCGGTAAGTTTTTCAAATATCCAAGGTTCGTTACTTTTGACGAACTCAGGCTTATTTTTTCTAAGCTTTCTGGCCAACCATGGCTTAAGCGTTCTAACAATTCATTGTCTAAATGTGAACCTTTTGAGAAAGAGTCAGCATTGTTATCGGAATAATTTTGGTTAAAATTTTGCAACACTTCGCAATGGACATTACCCGAATCCAAGTATTGGCACGAGTATCCTCGTCCGTAGCAGAGTTCATCGCCTAAGTCGATTTCTTTGATATTTGAGGGCCATAATTGTTTACTCAGAAGGTCATCAATAAAAGCTTTTGAGTATCTTCCAAACCTGATAAAGACCATTTCTAAAGACTCGGGAAGATCACTTATTCGAATATTGGATGCTCTACAGAAGAGACATAAAAGTTTCAAATTAGGTGGAACTTTGATCAAGTCAATTTTCTTACTATAGATCCCCGTGGAAGTCTTGAATTCTTCCAAATTGGGTGCTTCATTGGCTTCGCTTAACGTCGCAGTATCCTGGAATGAAAGCTTTGTCAAGCTTGAAGGTAATGGAATGGCTGCTAAATTTGTACAGAATGGATCTCTCAGATCAAAATATTCTAATTTTTTAAAATTCAATAACCCTCCATTGGCTAATTCCTTAGCACAATTACCAATGTATTCAATACAGAGCTCCTGAATATCAGGAAGTGTGGTATATATCAACTTCAAATCGTCATTAGTCAAAGCACAACCCTCACGAACTTCAAGGCTGACTTTTTTAATTATTCAAATGTATTCGCTATACTTCTTCAACTCGTTTATTAGCCAGTTTAACTTATCAAGGAATATCAGAAGAACTTTTGGCTTGATATTCTGTGAACAGAAATTGAAAAACTTTTCTATTTATTTCGATCCAAAAATCCGAGTGGTAAGCAAGGTCCGATCAAAATCGCATGGTCTTGGGTAAAAAATTAGACTCCTTATTCCTTTTCACAAATATATGTCTATATATAGTTATCCATTTGGGAGTCAAAAAGATTAAAGTTTAAAAAAAATGCTCCAGGAGGGGATTGAACCCACGACCGTCGCGTTCCTCACACGACCGTGACTTATGGTATAACCAATATCGTCGTAACACGGCTATAAGCACGAAGCGCTAAACCTCTGCGCCACTGGAGCGGATTCGAACCGTCAAGCTGGGCAGTGCGCTTTCCCCAAAAGGGGGCCACGCACGACCAAGCTAAAGGGCCAATTCCGATCGTTTTACGGAATGCGGATTGATATGTCGATATATGCTTCATTAGGTTTAAGAATTCAATGCCAAAAAAACCTTTCTTTTTAGTGTATCAAATGGCTTTTTTGTAGTCTCTTGGTATTTCCAGAGTCTTTTAGTTTGTATTTAATTAAAAAAAATAAATAGATTTGTAACAAAAAATCCTCAATTTGAGGTAGTTAGTGCTGCAGAAGAGTTTCATTTATAGCTCAAACCTACATTTCCGGACTTTCATTCCTTTTCATTTTATAAAACAAGTTCTTTTACGGCTATAAATTCTTCTTCAGGAAGATGTAAGCGTATGGTAGAGTATAGAAAGGATGAAGCTAAATACAAGAAATTCAAGACTTTGCTCTGATAACTAACCCTGTATGTCTTCAAGTAATACTCAAAAATACTTTCCACCGCTAGATAGCTTATTGAATGCAAGAACCCACTTACAAAGTCTCCAGCTTTTTTTATTAAAAGTACAAATATATTATCACGTCAATACGATGTGTTGATTAACGCTCTTCTCGGGGCTATTTTGACAACCTAAATTATATGCTTGTTGCCCATACTACCAGTTATATTAGATCAGGTTACCAGTCTTCAGAATCCTCCTAGTTGAGGACATACGACACGTCAATTATTCTTTGCACACTGAGTTTTTTTGCAGCAAAAAAAATCTTCCGACACTATAACCAACAGGATTTGGAAAAGCACAAATGTGAAGATACGTTAGCCTAGGGAAAACCGGAGAACCGTTTATCATCGCTTGAAACGTTATTATTTTTTTATACTTTTTTGCATTATTGTCACATTTCATTATAAATTCAACAAAAATTTGAACTTTCAAATGAATGCATTACCCTGGTTCAATTGATAGTACCAGGTAAAAATCAATCAATTCGGCAATAAGATTCTATAATTGATTTTGCCGATAAAGAATCTAAACTCCCGCTAAACCATTCTACTAGATAAACGGCGAAACCTATACTGGAACTTTCTCAGAAATCAAGACAACAATTCAGATGTACAACAAACCCAGCTTGGTAACGGCCCTTTGCAAGTCATTAGTCACTTCCCTAGGGTCGGTTCCATATATTCGTTTCAATCTACTCTGCTGCTTTGAAGTATTTCAGCTCCATCTCGTAATGACAGGAAAATCCGGACTCACTGAAGAGAAAACACAAATCCGCTATCTGTACACGGTTCCGATAAGCCTTAAAGCAACAATTAAAAAACGTTTATTCTAATTAGCCATCTATTTACACACCCAAAAGCCTAATCCAAGCTTTGTGACTCGATGTTTACCTGTAGACACCAAATATACCTATCTAACATTCTGATTTACAATCTCCCATTATCTGTTTCAGTTGCTAATTCATCTTAGCGGATGATAAGTCTTTTACAATAGCTCTAGCGTGAGATAACTCTAGCGTATCACGAGCAAAAGTTACGAAGCTCAAGCAATTCCAGCTCATGTACTTTTCTGCCAAACCCCAGCCGCTAAACCCTTTACCATATCAGTCATTTACCATCACAAACCGCTAACACTAAGCCGGCCAACGTTGTCTCAGTTATCTGTCCACATTGTTCAAGTCATTCTCTATTATCCCAACCCCCCAACGTTTCTTTGGCGAACAAATTTCAAGCTTATTTTAAGCCAAGATACTCGATGCCCACCTCCAAATAATACTCCCAACAGGTTTATCGTTATCGAGATAATCATCACCGGTATATCATTGGCCGGAACACAGACCCATACACCCATACAACGCCCCAATTAGGCAAAGGGATCCAGTGGACGCAAAAAACGAAACAACGAAAAATCGGCCACCGGCACGACGTTCTTATCAGTTGAAAGAATTACTTACTAAATGCCGAGATGCAAGGTGATATAAACTTGGGCATTGGAATCACAATTTCTTGTCCTTTGATATAAATACAGAAGATGAATCCGGTGTGGGTGTTGGAGAAAGCAGTCTGGGGTGAACAAGGGTTAAAGAATGTCGACGATGTACGAAGCTTTATTGAAACGAGAAACCTCGTTGGAAAAACAGACTTCAAGTATGGTTACTGCTGATGTAGTCTATATCTTATTTTGTTCCTTTGGGGTGTTTTTAATTACTCCGGGGATTGCAATGTACTATATGGGTTTTATGAAGAGAAAGAATATAGTGCAAGTGTTATTTCAAAGTTATATGACCACTGCGGTGGTGGTGATTCTTTGGTATTTGATCGGGTATTCAATTGCTAATTCACCTTCTAGTTCTTCTACCATGTATGGGGACTTGGCCCATGCTGCTTTGCATAATGAAGAGGCAAAACCCCTTTTAGAAGATGGTTCGATACCCTCAGTTGTTAATTTTTGTTTTAATGTTTTCTTCCCGGTTGCAACTGCACAAATTTTCTTGGGTGCAATTGGTGAAAGAGGTCGAGTATTACCTTCACAAATCATTGGGATATTATTCACTATCGCTGTTTATTCTCCACAAGCGTTTTGGACCTGGTCTGGATGGCTTTATAACCTCGGGGCCCTTGATTTTGCCGGGGGTGGTCCAGTCCATATTTCCAGTGGGGTTGCTTCTTTAGTTTACTCATTTTATCTTGGTCCAAGAGGACACCCTGAAGTTAAAATCGGTAAGGTTCCTCATTATAAGGGCCATTCTGCCTTAACCACCTTCATTGGTGTCACTTTGATTTGGGGTGCTTGGTTTTGTTTCAATTCCGGTACTTTATTAGCAGTCAATACTAGAACTGGTTATATCTTTTTAAATACTATTTTAGCTTCTTCATTTGCCAGTGTCACCTATGTCATTTTGGATAAGCTCATCACTGGTAAGTATAGTTTAATGGCTGCCTGTGATGGGGTTATAGTTGGTTTGGTTAATATTACTCCAAGTTGTGGATTTTACCCACCTTGGGCTGCTGCAATTACTTCAATAATCAATGCTTCTATTTGTAGAAGTTTAGGAAACTTCAACCAATGGGTGGGTATTGATGATTCAAGTCATTCATTCGTTGTTCATGGAGTTGGTGGGATTATTGGTTCAACCTTGACTGGGATTTTTGCATCCAAAACCATTGCTGGATACGATGGGGTTACTGATATTGAAGGTGGTTGGATCAACGGACATTTTGTTCAGCTTGGTCACCAAATCGCTGCCTGGACTTCAATTGTTATTTGGACCGCAGTCTTCACCTATATTATCATTTTCATTGTTGATCATATTCCTGGTTGTAAAGTTACGGCCGATGCCGATGCCCAAGAAATGGGGATGGACTTATATGAAATGTCCGAGACTTTAGATGAGTTTGGTAACAATTATGATGAATTTTTCTCAAGCTATGCTCATAGATTACGGGAAATTGCCGATGCAATTGACCATCATAAGAATAGACACGGTACTATTGAAGTATTAGAGGGTACATCAGCAAATGGTTCTGATTCAATCCATTCGGTTAATGTTCACTATGAACAAAAAGTGTAATTTTACATATAATATATATACTTAATAATATACCTTTAATGACAAGCCATAGATCTATCATCAGTAATAATTGGATTATTCCAGATATTATGACCAATAACTGCTCCAATGACAACTGCCAACATAAACCACCCATTATAAGTCATGAAAACTAACATCAACATAAAGGAATATCCAACCTGGAATCCGTAAAACAAACTTTGTTGTAATTTATACTTCTTGATAGTATTAGAATTGGTATTGGTGGTTCCATTGACCATATTAATATTTGTAACCTGCCATCTATTAAATAAATTTTTAGTGAATTCATACCCCATTCCTAATAAAACAACAGCAACAAACGATATCACAAATTGCGTAAACGTCTTGATATGCCACCATTCATATATTATACAAGTATTCTTCCAATTCCAAGTAAATATCATATTCATCGAGCACATTTCATCCATTGGCATATCGTGGCCTGGCATATCGTGGCCTGGCATTTCGTGGCCCGGCATGCTGTGGCCCATACTAGAGTGATCCATTCTTACTATTCAACCTGATCTGTTCAACCTCCGTCTAATGGATATTATCCTGGTATTTATAGTATACCTCTATCTAAAGCAAATCCCGTTATTTGCTCAAAAATTTGCTCGCAGGGCTGGAAAAAACAGCAGTTTTTTTTTCCTTATTACTACTTCTTCATCCTTATCAAACATTCAAATCTACATTCGAGATGAAATTAGTTACTAAAGAAGAAAGAGAGGCTCATTTCAATCACATTCTTACTGAGGCCGGTAAAGGGTTGTTCTACGGGGCAGTTTTATCCACTGGGATTTTCTTCTACTTGAAGAAAAGACATACTGCCAGATTCAATACCTTCAACACCAGTATCAAAACATGTATTTTCTGTATTCCAACCATCGGGATGGGTGCTTTATGGGCAGATAATGGTTCTGTTGAGTTCGATAAGTTGATGTACTCTTCCGACTACAGTCAATCCAAAGTCATGGAAGAACATCGTGAATGGGCTGCAATGTCTACTTCTGACCGTATTATCACCGGGTTGAATTCCCATAAGTATAAGATCATCTTGGGTGCTTGGGCCGGTTCCTTATACGGATCCTGGGTCTTGGTTAACAGAGATAAAATCATGACCACTGCCCAAAAAGCAGTCCAAGCAAGAATGTACGCTCAAGCCATTTCTATTATCTTGTTATTAGGTACTATTGTTTTGGCCATGAAAGAAGAAGAAATCAACAAAAGTAAACCACCTCCAATTCCCGAATGGAGAAAAGTCTTAATGCAAAAGGAAGCTGAAGAAAAAGAACTCCTTGAAGAAATCAAAAGAGCAAAAGCAAAAGCCGAAACCATCGACAATAAGTCAAATTAATAATTATTCATTCCAAATAGATTCTCCGTATAGATTCTCCATATATCTAACCTTGTTTATAGTCTTTAATTCATCTAATATCATATATCTCGACCGTAGTTTTGCAAATCCAGTTTATACTAACCTGTAATTTGTTCGTTTTCCATTACCCGTTCGGGCTCGAGAAAAATTCACACCAATCAAATCCGTCCAGATCGACTTCTACGGCTCAATTTCATTTGCAAATCGTCCTTCATCCAGCACTTTGTTCAAATGGCTTTTGCAATTGGTTTTTGCAGTTGGTTTTTGCAATCTTTTGATGGGACAAAAGTTTAGCAAATGTTATCAATAGTTAAGCCATGCATAATTATTGACGTCACCCCATAAGAATATTCACGTGATACATCACGTGAATATTATGTCACATGACAGATCACGTGCTAGAAAAAGAATAACACAAAATCTTTTGGGTATAGTTAAATTTTTTTCTCTCTTTCATTGAAGAGATGGAAGATTATTAACAAATTAATCATTATAGACAATGCCACCAAAGAATAAGAAGCAAAAGGAGGTGGTTGATGAGAGGTTTCAGGCCATTGTGCTCACTGATTCATTTCAAACCAGGTTTATGCCGTTAACGTCGGCGAAACCAAGGTGTTTATTGCCATTAGCTAATGTTCCATTAATTGAATATACTTTAGAATTTTTAGCCAAAGCAGGAGTTAATGAGGTGTATCTCATGTGCTCGAGTCATGCTGACCAGATCCAAGAATATATTGAAAATTCTAAATGGACATCGAAAAATTCAACTTTTTCAATTAAAACAATCATGTCATTGGAATCTAGATCAGTTGGTGATGCCATGAGAGATTTAGATAACAGAGGGTTAATCACTGGTGATTTCTTATTAGTTTCTGGTGATGTTGTTACTAATATCGATTTTTCAAAAGTCATGAATGCCCATAAACAAAGAAAAACCATTGATAAAGATCATATAGTTACTATGGTATTAACACCCGCAAGCCCGTTACATAGAACAAGAAGTCGTGTTGAACCTGCTGCTTTTATATTGGATAAAAATACCAATAGATGTTTATATTATCAACAACTACCACCAGCAGATGGTAAAAAAACATCAATTAATATCGATCCAGAATTATTAGAAGATGTTGAAGACGAATTTGTAATTAGAAATGACTTGATTGACTGTCATGTTGATATTTGCTCACCTCATGTACCACAAATATTCCAAGAGAATTTCGATTACCAATATTTAAGAAATGATTTTGTTAAGGGAGTTTTAACATCTGATTTATTGAAAAAAACCATTTACGCTTATATCACCGATGGGTCGGAATATGCAGCTAGAGTTGAAAGTTGGGCAACCTATAATGCAGTTTCTCAAGACATTTTGGCGAGATGGTGTTATCCTTTAGTTCCTGATTCAAATTTATCAGAAAATAATTCTTATACTTATGAGTTTAATCATATTTATAAAGAAGATAAAATCATCTTAGCTCAATCTTGTAAGATTGGTAATTGTACTTCAATTGGTACCAGTACTATTGTTGGTGATGCCACCTCAATAGATAAATCAGTAATTGGTAAAAATTGTAAAATTGGTTCAAATGTCACTATTAATAATTCATATATTTGGGATAATGCTATAATTGAAGACAATGCCATAATTACAAAATCTATTGTTGCTTTTGATGCTAAAATCAAGAAAAATTCAATCATTGGTGATGGTTCCGTTATTGGATTCAATGTTGTGATTGGTGAAAATCAACAAGTTCCTCATAATTATAGAATTATCGATGTACCAATTAAAAAAATTGATGATGATTTTGACTCGTCCTCATTTGATTCAGATTCTAATGATGTTTCCGAAACTAATATAGCATCGAATGAACCAACTCATATAAATGATACCGATATCGTGGGTGACGACGGGGTTGGTTCCTTGTATATCTCTGAAAGAGAATTAGATGACGAGAGTGAAACTGAATCAATTATGAGTGGTAGCATTAATCAACATTCAGGTATGATTTACCAAATGAATAATTTAGCATTGAGTGATGATTCAATTGCATCGATATCCAATCGTAAATCGAAAAGACACTCTCGTCATAGTTCTAAAGGAAGAAGGTTGTCGACAACTTCTGCATTATCAACAGATTTTGAAAATGGAATGTCTGATGAAGAAGAGGATGAACACTTTGATAAAGAAGCTTATGCTACCGTTGAAAGAGCCATCGATAATAATCATGATTTAGATACTGCTGCATTAGAATTGAATACTTTGAAAATGTCCATGAACGTTGGTTATCATGAAGTAAGATTGGCTACTTTACAAGCAATGATTGCTAAAATCAAACAATATGTTTCTACTGAAACTTTAAACGCAAAAGATGCTACTAATAAATTATTTACTTCCTGGGGTCCTCTTTTCCAAAGACAAGCCTTTGACGACCAAGAAAGAATCGACTTATTACAATTATTACAACAAGAGTGTACCACTTTACCAGCAGAATACAATCAAATCGTCTTATTCGTTGCAGTGAAAGTCCTATACGACTTGGACTTGGTCCCAGAAGAAAATATCTTAGAATGGTGGAACTCGGCTGCTTCAAATGCATCAACCGATTTACAACTGGTGAAAAAATTAACTGAGAATTTCATCGTTTGGCTACAAGATGCTGAAGAAGAAAGCGAAGAGGAAAGTGACGAGGATTCTGATTAACCCACTCTGATTTACCCTCATTAATCCCCTAATGTATAGTTAAATGTATAGTCATAGCCTTGAATTTGCAGTAATTAAATGTGAAAAATTCACATGCCTGGACAGTCTCATGCCACCAGATCGTAGATACACCGTTTAAGCCGTTTAAACCTCCCCTGGAGGCTAATCAGATGATGATGATGATCCAAACATCATATCATTTGTTAAGTATTTTTGCAGTAAAACTGTAAAAAACATTTTTCGCTGGTAAAGTCATCGTATAAACCGGTGTTTTTTTGTAGTACGAAGAGTCCAGCGAAACGACTAAACAAAAAAAAAAAAAAAAATCATGGAAAATTGATAAAAACACCGTGATATAAGTGGTGCCATAATTTGTACAAGTCGAGCTATCAACTGATTACTACTTAAATAGAGGTTTTCTTCTTGATAGAATAGAGACTTTGAATAGAAAAGTGGTATAAGTATAAAGAACCGACAAGGGTACGGACCAAATGAGTCAAGATCAATCAAGTGAAAAATATGATGTAATAGTTATAGGTGCTGGTGTTGTTGGACCATGTATAGCTACTGCTTTGGCCAGACAAGGAAGAAAAGTGTTGATAGTGGAAAGAGACTGGTCCAAGCCAGATCGTATAGTTGGAGAGTTGATGCAACCAGGAGGGTTGAAAGGATTGAAAGAGTTGGGGATGTTACAAGCAGTTAATGGGATTGAAGCTATACACTGTGAAGGTTATTACATTAAGTTTCGCGACCAGGCACTTGAAATCGGATACCCTGAGAAGCAAGAAGCTTTCAAGACTAATGCCGTCAAGCCGGTTCCAGGATGTGTTGATGAAAAAAACGATAAGTTATTGAGTGATTCAACAATTAACATTGAAGAATGGGAAAAAGATGAGAAAGTTAGAGGAATTTCGTTTCACCACGGTGACTTCTTATTGAATTTACGTAAGATGGTTCGTGAAGAGCCTAATGTTACTTGGTTAGAAGGTACTGTGAATAAGATGATTAAAGATGAAGAGAATGAAGAGATTGTTCGTGGTATACGAGTGAAAATTAATGATAAGAATGAAATTTACAAAGCGAAATTAACCATTTGTTGTGATGGGATCTATTCCAAATTCCGTAAAGAGTTATCACCAAAAAACGTACCTACTATCGAATCTTATTTTGTTGGTTTAGAATTAGATGATGCAGTCTTACCATCACCAAATCATGGACATGTCATATTAGGAGATCATGCTCCGTGTCTCATCTACCAAATCTCCCCCCATAAAACCAGATGTTTATGTGCATACGCATCAACCAAACCACCAAGTCAATCAAATCGTGAATTTATTGATTACTTAGAAAATCAAGTATTACCAGCAATTCCAAAACCAACACAACCTTCTTTCAAAGCTGCCATTGACTCAAGAAAATTTAGAGCAATGCCAAATCAATACTTACCAGCTTTAAAACAAGGTAGATCTCCTTTGGGGCTCATCATGTTGGGTGACTCCTTGAATATGAGACACCCATTAACTGGTGGTGGGATGACTGTTGGTATCAACGATGCTGCATTATTAGCAAAACTCTTATGTCCAAAACAGATTGAAGATTTTGAAGATTACGATATCTTGGAGAAGAAATTAAGACAATTCCATGTTAAGAGAAAAAATTTGGATGCAGTGGTGAATACTTTATCGATTGCATTATATGCATTATTTGCAGCCGATAAGGCTTCCTTGAAAATTTTACAAAATGGTTGTTTCAAGTATTTCCAAAGAGGCGGGGCTTGTGTTCTGGGTCCAATTGGTTTATTATCGGGGATGTTACCTTTCCCAATGTTGTTATTCAATCATTTCTTTAGTGTTGCCTTTTATTCAATCTACTGCAATTTCATCGATAGAGGCTTGTTGGGCTTCCCAATCGCCATCTACGAAGCCTTTGACGTCCTTTTCACCGCAATCTACATCTTCACTCCCTACTTGTGGAATGAACTTGTCAATTAATCTTAATCTTGTTTAATCCTCTATTTATTTTAATCATAGACTAGTACTTTTAAAAATTCGACGTAATTCAACCGTTTCTTTGGCGTTTTCTGTGGATCTTTTATTTGGCGTTTCAACATCTCTTCGGTGACTGCATTCCGTAACATTCACTGGTCAGAATCGTCAACGGCCATTGTTAATAAGATGGGCATCAAATTATGGATATTGCTAACACTAGTGAAATTTAGTCGTGTATGCAGATGTTTTTATGTCATTCTGTTTGTTCTGTTTGAGTAAAATTTTCACCCGTTGACTAAAAAACCTTGCTGAGCTCATGGTTGAGGCAGTGTATAAAAGGATAAAAGAGAATTGAATTCCTTATTGTAAGTCAATTTAATTGAAATATTGGTTTATTAAACGATAAGACGAAATGCTGAACGATAATGCTCCGTTACTTGGAGGCAATCCAGGGACTAAATTGAATATTTCAACATTTCAAAATTCAATTAGTAAAACATTTATATTAGCTTTGAAATCGTCGCCAGTTAACTATCTTTTAATATTTGTACCATTGGGTATAGTGGCTGGAGTGTTAGGTTGGTCTGCCAATGCTGTGTTTTGGCTTAATTTTTTTGCAATTGTTCCTCTTGCTTCATTATTGGCATTTGCAACTGAAGAGTTATCGGAACATACTGGAGAAACCATTGGAGGCTTATTGAATGCAACTTTCGGAAATGCCGTTGAATTGATTGTATCTATAATTGCATTGAAAGAAAATCAAGTTAGAATTGTGCAAGCATCAATGTTGGGTTCAATATTATCTAATTTATTGTTAGTTTTAGGATGTTGTTTTGTTGCTGGAGGTTTTACTAGAGTGCAACAAACTTTCAATCAAACCGTGGCCCAGACCATGTCGTCATTAATGGCATTATCAACTGCAAGTTTATTGATTCCAGCAGCATTCCATGCTTCCTTACCTAGACCAAAATCTAAACACGATTTCCCAAATCCTGATAGTAGTGATGGATTGATTTTATCATTATCAAGAGGTGTTGCTGTTATATTATTAATTTTATATGTCTTGTATCTTTTATTTCAATTGAAGACTCATAAATCATTATTTGAAGAACAAGCTCAAGAAGCCGATGATGGAATTATCACTACCTCATTACCAACAGATGGAGCTAATGATAAAGTGGAAGAACACTTATCAGTTACTGGTTCTCTACTGGTATTGGTTGTTGCTACTGTCTTGGTATCCTTTTGTGCTGATTACTTGGTTGGGTCGATTGACGATATAGTGGAAAGTTCAGGATTATCTAAAACATTCCTTGGTTTGATTGTCATTCCAATAGTGGGTAATGCAGCCGAACATGTTACTGCCATCATTGTGGCAATGAAAGATAAAATGGATTTGGCCATTGGAGTTGCAGTTGGTTCTTCTCTACAAATTGCCATATTTGTCACTCCATTCATGGTTTTAATTGGTTGGATCATCGACGTACCAATGTCGTTATATTTTTCTACGTTTGAAACTGCTATTTTATTCGTTTCGGTCTTCATCACTAACTTGGTGATTTTGGATGGGGAGTCCAATTGGTTAGAAGGTGCTATGTTGATCAGTACCTACTTGATCATTGCCTTGGCTTTCTTCTACTATCCTGATAACGTGTTAAACTAGTATATAGTTTTGTAAAATATTCTTACTTTCCTATAATCTTGTAGGTATATTGTTAGTACATGGTTACCCTCGATTGTACTTTTACTCCAATTGTACCAGTACAAGGGTCTGAACACCCATACAACCAAGAATAGCATCGAAGAGAATCTCAAAGGTACGTCCGAACCCTTCCCACATATCTAGAACCACCAACGCATCATCTAATGTACTTATCCTGTTATTTTTATTTTTAAACACGATTCTCCGGTCTCCAGAAAGGCTATGGTGCTCCAACACGAAAGACGGACGGGGTAATTCGCGAGTAAACAGCGTAAACAGCGTAGACAGCGTAGACAGATTACGATGTCTTCACCGTATATCCAAGCGAGACGACACCGCTACAGGCACTGTCCTAATTTCTACTCATCTACTCACCTGCTGCTCTTCCTTCTGACCTCCACCGACACCGACATTAACCACTGACACCGGCCACCGACTCTGACTGCCCACCTCTGTCTGCTACACTCGGTGGTCGACTGGTCGATGAGCTCGCTGAGGTGCCAACACGCTACCAGAAGAATTTTGCAACAATAAAATTATCATGAGACAATAACGCGGGTACCTTTTGTACGCGTAATTGATTGAAAAATTTCACCCCCTTTTAACTTTTTAACCAATTCAACTCTGGAAATATTGCAAAAAAGGTATAATGTCTAATTGTAAGGATTTGGCTTGACTACGGGGGAAGCCTTTTGTGTAGGGTTGTTAGTCAATAAACAAACCCATAAACATGTAGGAGAATACGTAAATGGAAGAACAAAAGCGAAAAGAGTAGGCAAAAATAGGTGAAAAATACAAGCTCCTTCACGTATAAACAGTTGACGGGGAATCTTTTCAAAATGAATTAGTTTGAAAAGAATCTTCAAGATATAAATATTTCCTGGATTCCTAATTTAATCAAATAGGAAAAGGACCCTAAGTACCATTTTTTTTTTTTATTTTATTTATTTATATATCCATCATGTCAGATAGAGAAGCATTAAAAATTTTTGCAAGACAGCCGGTTACTAATGAAATGATTCAATTTCTTGCTGCTACTACTAGTTCTATAATCCAAGTTAAGAGTTATCAACCAAAATACAGTCAATTGAATCAGCAAAATAATCTTTTAGTTAGTCAAGTATCTAAAAAATCCATTTCATTAGTTAATTTTATTAAAAATTTAATAAAATATTCCAATGTTCAAACTCCAACTTTAATGGCTAGTTTGATTTATCTTAATAAGTTAAGAAACTTGTTACCAGCCAATGCAATTGGTATGGAAACTACAAGACATCGTATCTTTTTAAGTGCATTAATATTGAGTGCTAAATCATTGAATGATTCGAGTCCGCTCAATAAACATTGGACTAAGTACACCGATGGTTTATTAACAATCGAAGAAGTTAATATGGCTGAAAGAGAGTTAATCGGGTTATTAAAATGGGATATCAACATTAAAGAGGATGAATTATTATTAACTTTACAACCATTCTTAAGTTCAATTAAAAAATCTCTTATCAAGAAACAACATGATGAATCTGTACAAAAAATTAACTACTATAGATTATCCAACTCTTACAGTCAAAGATCGTTACCTTTACCTTCCCCAACAACTCCAACAAGTGTTTCATCTTCAATTTCATCTCATTCTTCTTTGACTTCGTCGAATTCAAATCATTCATTATTATCTTTGAATCGCTCAAATACTTCCTCTTCTTTAATTGAAGATTCAGAATACCCAATCGACGATATAAAGAAGAGATTGCCTTTATCTTCTAAAAACATCAATACTTTAAATCGTCCTACTAATGCTCCTCGTCAATTAAAAAACATCCCCTACAATCGTCAACTGTCAAGTTACTCTGATAAATTAACTCATTTCTATAATCAAAATGAAGATAATCTTTTATTAAAAGATTCTAAAATTAATTTATCAAGGGCTGGTAAAATCGTATCATAATTTGTTTTCACTTTCAAATTTTTTCATGCTTTCAATTCGTCTCCAATCTTTTTTGAAAAAAATAAAAACCTCTTATAATGTTACCAAAGAGTTTATTTCAAAATTGATTTATTTATTTATTTGGGTTAATTTTTAAACTATTCATTTATTTCATTCGTTTATACATCAATACTTAATATCTTTAATTATCTTATTTGCAATCATCAGTGTAGAAGTTGGCAAAACAAAATGTCAACAGAAAAGATCAACAAAACATTAAAATATTCGTCTAACACTTTGTTTATTTTGTTTTTGTAGCTCAGGTCACAATAATAAACCTTCTATGCTCAATGTAATGTAATGCTCTGATGAGTCTTTTGTGTATTCTGAATAAAATTACCTGTATTAATCTTTATATACAATATTAACCTAATGTTGATGAGGATCTTCTTTTGGTGGTTCAGGTGCAACAGTAATCATGGTATCAATTCTTAAAATGGCAATACATGCTTCTAATGCTGATTTTAATGATTTGATTTTTGACATTGTTGGTTCTAAAACACCATGAATACTTTCATTAACAATTTTACCATTAATTAAATCTAAACCATAATTCTTATATTTTTTTCTTTTTAAATCAGATGGCAAAGCAGTTTGACTTGAAGAATGATAGGTTCTTAATTTACTAATTAAATCAGAAGAATCTTTAGCAGCATTTATAGCTAAAGTTTTAGGAATAACTAATAATGCATTAGCAAATTCTGCAATTGCTAATTGTTCTCTTGAACCAACAGTTGTTGCAAAATTTTCTAAATAAATATTAAGAGCAGTTTCAACAGCACCACCACCGGGGACAACATTACCACTTTCTAAAGTTCTCTTAATAACTGATAATGAATCGTGTAAAGATCTTTCCATTTCATCTAAAGAATAATCATTTGGACCTCTTAATATAATTGATGAGGAACTATGTTGTTTAGTACCTTTAATTAAAATACATTCATCATCACTGATTTTAGTTTGAGTAACTTGATCAGCTTGACCTAATAAAGTTGATTCAAAAGTTTCTTCTCCTTCTAAATTAGCTAAATTACTAACTAAAGTTGCACCAGAAGCTCTGGCAATTCTTCTTAAGTCTTCCTTCTTACAACGTCTAACAGCCATTGCACCAACTTCAACAAATTCTTTTAAACATAAATCATCAATACCTTTAGTGGTGAATATAACATTTGCTCCAGCATTTAAAATTTTACGAATTCTTTCAATAATTATATCATATTCTCTTTTTCTAATTTCTTCTAATTGATCAGGATCATCGATATTGACTTGGACTCCCATTGCCATTCTTGCTTTTTGTAAGTTAATATCTAAACAGGCAATTCTGGCATTATTAATAGTTTTAACCATAGCTTGAGAAGCAACAGTACAATTCAAAGCATACCCATCAACTAAAACAGATTCAGTTGATGATTTACCGTGGGCCTTTAAAATATTAACTGCTTTGACTGGGTACTTAACTTCACCTTTATGATTTGCAGTTCTAACCGCCATCATTGCATCAACAGCCATTTTACTGAAAAATTCAGAATCAGCACCTATGATTTTAGAACTCATCGAAGTTTTAGCAATATTGATTATAGTTTCTTTGCCTAAGTCAGTAACTGATTGTGATAATACTTCATTAATATAACGAATTGCTTCTCTCAAGGCTAATCTATAACCAGTAATAATAGTGGTTGGATGTATTTGATTTCTAACCAATTCATTGGCACGCTTTAATAACTCACTAGCAATAATAACAACTGACGTAGTACCATCTCCAACTTCACGATCTTGTTGTTGAGCTAATTCAACTAAAATTTGTCCTGCTGGATGTTGAACATCTAATAATGCTAAGATAGTAGCACCATCGTTAGTCACAGTGACATCCCCAATATCATCCACCAACATCTTATCCAAACCAACTGGCCCCAATGATGATTTGACAACATTAGCAACTGATTGAGCGGCTAATACATTTTGATTTCTAATATCATCTCCACTTACTTTCTCTCCTCCAAGAAAAAGAGTATCTGAACGAGCTGCTGAAAACATTTTATCAATCTCTTTCGTTCTAACACTGTCTTTCAACTATCGTTTCTGGATCAATAGCAAATTTCAGTAATGACTACCAATTGAAAAACACGTTAATCAACTTTTTCTCTATTTTTTTTTAGTTGATGTCGAATCGTGATTTTTTTCACTGTTTTTTTCTCTCACTAAATTTTTGTGCTTCTCACTAATAAAGGTTGGACTTCTTACCCATAAGTGTCCTTGGATAAAGCCATACAAACGGGTGCTGCTGAAGGTTATGCTTACCCAGTCAAGGAAGGCAATTCTTGCAAAAGAAGGGCTTGAAACGGACTATAATTGGCCATTTGAGCAGGCTTTTCATCGACTGCAAATTTAATTTCGTCTTCCATGACCTGCCACTCCCTCAATGTGTCCACGTTTCCTTCCAGACTTGACCTGAGCCATCTCCCATTCTGCCCAGTAGCATCTGTCTTTTACCCAGCTCTGAATTCGGCTTTTTTAGGTCTTTTAGCTTGTATAGACTTAACTTACAAGTCTTTAAAGGCAAATGCTAAACTGCAAGGTATAACCTGCAAATCAAACTTAATAACCTGCAAATATTTAACATGCAAATGGACAAGACTAACCTGTAAACAAAAGATTGTAACCTGTAAATTGGCAAACTGCAAATGAGTCGCTATAAACTGCAAAGCTCTTGGGACATGGGAGTGTCCTTACCGAAAACACCATTTTCAACAAGCAGAAAACATAAACAAAAGGGTCACTCCACTAAAACTATAATAGTATCAGTTCTTGCAATTGACTTAGTTTAAAGAGCTGGGTTTACTTGAAAAATGATGTTTAGATTGACAAATAGTTTGTTGAGAAACGGGACACGCGCTGCTCTTGCGTTCCGTGCTATGAAGCCTGCTGGATTGCTTATGAACAATCCAGCGGCAACATTAGCTACTGCTGCTAAATCGACGGCCACGAAGAAGAAAACTGCTACTGCTTCTAGTAAGGCCCGTCAGGTGAAGAAGAGTGAAGAACAAAAAAAGTTGGACGCGTTGAAGAAGAAATTGAAGAAAGAAAAGTCTACTTTGAAAGAATTGCAACTCAAAGTTAATGAAAAAGTTAAACTTAATAACCAAAAAGTTAAGGAAAGAAAAGAACAAGAAAAACTTAAGCAAAAGGAAAAGAAGATTTTGCAAAAAGCTACTCAACCTTACAGAAAAGTTTCAGCTTATAACATCTTCATTAAAGAAAGGTTCAACCAAGATAAAAATACTACTTTGAACGAGTTGGCTAAAGCTTTTAAGAATTTGGCTCATGATGAAAAAGCCGGTTTCCAAGTGAAAGCTGATGATTACAATGCTGAGAAATCAAAATTATATAAACCAAAACCAAAAATGCCGGCTTTTGGTTACGCTGCTTTTGTTAAAGAAAGATTTGCTTACCATGATGCTAGTCATTTGAAAGATGCATTGAAAGACATTGGTGAAGAATGGAAGAACTTATCTCCTCTTGAAAAAAATTCTTACAAAATCGATAAATCTGAATTGGAAAAATATAGACAAGCCCTTAAAGATTGGACCGATGAACGTGTAAGACTTTATAAAAAAGAAATTTCGGCCTAATTAACATAAAAAGTTAAATATGTTTGAATTTAATTCTCTGTTTGTTCTGTTTTTTTTTTTTTTAATTCCTCTTTTCCTTCTATGGTTCAATGTTACTTGTATCAATACTCAATTTGCCGTTCTTTGATTATAAATTTTACGTCATTTACTAAAATAATTATCGTCTATTAATATGTTTGTATAAATGAACAGGTCAATCATGTTCTCCATTGATTTTCTCTCCTAAGTTTTGTAAAACCCTCTTTAATTCATTGGGTAAGATTGGTTTCGATATGAAATCAACCATTCCACAATTTAATGATCTTTCTCGGTCTTCACCAGCAACATTAGCAGTCAAAGCAACAATGCTTGGTAACATATCAGCTTTACCTTCTTGAATAAACTTCTCTTTTAATTCAATTGTAGCCGCAATACCATCTTTACGAGGCATTTGAATATCCATTAAAATAACATCGTATTTTTCATTCTTTTCAAGTAATGCCGTACAATTTTCTAACACTTCAATACCATCTTTGGCATGATCGGCATTATATCCTAGTTTCTTCAAATGTTGTAATGCAACTTTAATATTAATCAAATTATCTTCAGCTAATAATATTCTTAATGGATACTTATCAGCAATATATAAAGAATCTGGAGAATTTTGTTTAGGACTATCACGAAGCCCCGTTTGCTCCATTGCAATACCTTTCGAATACCTGGTAGGATCCTTCATATCTTTTTTCAATTGCTGAATTAAAGAAATCACCTTCAGTCTATGGAATGGTGATAATAAAACAGAATGAATATTATATTTTTCAAGATCTGCTGGTAAAGATTTACCAAACTTGGCAATTAGAATAACTCTTGACTTATTCTTATCTAATTTTTCAGATATAGGCTTGAATTCATCTAATAAGTTGTGATGAACAAAAATTATGGTGAAAACTTCTTTGGAATCAAAAAATTCCGAACTTGTACTGATTTCAGCTACTTTTAACCCATATGACTCTAAAAGTTCTTTTAATGCAATTTTTCCTAATGAATGATTATCCAAAATTAAAGCCTTGTTACTAAATCCTAATTTGGTTGCTTCTTCTTCGTCAAATTCAACTTCCGGTTCCTTCCTTAAATTTACATCAGCACTAGATATGAAATGAAAGGTACTTCCTTCACCTTCTTTACTCTCAAATGTTAAACTACCATTCATAATATCAGCTAGTTTTTTAGAAATAGCCAATCCCAAACCTGATCCTCCATACACTCTAATGGATGAGGCATCAACCTGTGAAAATGCACCAAAAACTTTAGATTTAGCATCATCCGGTATACCAATACCAGTATCCCTTACCGAAACTCGAATTTGATAACGATTTTCTGCTATCTGAGTGGCCACAGATTCAACCATAATATAACCTTGTGCGGTAAACTTAACAGAATTACCAACTAAGTTAATGATAATTTGTCTAAATCTAGTAACATCTCCGATAATAGTGTCAATGAATTGACATCTATTGAAATACACTAATTCTATATCATTTGCAGCAGCTTGTTCACCGGCTAATTGAATAGCACTCTCAACGCATTCATTCAATGAAAATGGGGCACTATCCAAAGTAAACGAGCCATGTTCGATTTTAGAAAAAGCCAAAATACCATCGATAATACTCAAAGTAACCATTGCAGAACTTTTGATTGTCTCAACATATTCCCTTTGAGTTCTTGTTAGCTCAGTATCTAATAAGAAAAGAGAACATGATAATAAAGAATTGAAAGGAGTACGGATTTCGTGGGACATGTTTGCAAGGAAACTAGCCTTTTCGGCGGTAGCATCTTCAGCAGCACGTTTAGCAACTTCCATTTGTGAATATAAGATGGCTTTATCTAAAGAAACAGCAGCTTGTGAACATAACAAATCAAGCAAATCTTTCTTTCTGCTATTGAAAAATGGTAAAGAAGCATTGGATGTGTTCATTTGATTTTCCAAATAAACAGCTCCAAAAATACCAGACTGTGTTCTCAATGGAATACATATCATTGCAAAACACTTATTATGGGTATAATAGTCATCTTTACCAAACCTGTTATCAAAATATACTGGGTCCTCATCTTTACTAGTTATTTCACCAGTATGTAGACTATGGATTATTAATGAAAACGGACATAAATCAGTTCTTGAGCTAAGTGGTTCATTTTCCAATTTATACACATTATTAGGCGACCCTATGGCTTGGATAGTCGGTTCATTATTGGAATTTATGATCACGACCCCGTAATCAACCTCTGAGAATAAAATTGTACTTTCTAGTAAACTTAAAACAATCGTTTCGTTGTTAGAACACTCAGAAATTGTTAAACAAGCTTTTATAGCTTTTGTCAAGTCATTCATTACATTTTCTCGAGGGTCGTCTTCCGTATCCACTTCATAAGAATCTGCAGATTTTTGTTTATTTACTTCATCAGTTTTGTTTTCATGTACCTTCGTACGATTTGACGACGAAATAGATCCTAATAATCTACTTCTTCTGCTTAGTTTTCCAGGAAATTCTTCGTTTATGTCATCACCAAAGAAGTTTTTAAGAATACTTCTGAGAGGAGCAGGGCCAGCCCCTTGACTTGGAGTGGGTGGAAAGTCGTTTGTTCTAATTGCTTCCACGCCTGCCCAATTGTAATCCTCGAAGAACTCACCACATTGCTTGTTGATCCTCGCAACCATGACCTCCGCATCAAGCCTTTTATACAAATGAAGAGCATTTTTAGCATGGAACTGAGCCCTATTGTTACTCTGATTAGTACTTATTAACCAAGTGGCACAGAGTAAGTGAGCATGAGCAACGTCATGCCAGTAGTTATATTCCCTAGCTCTTTCAATAGCTTCTTCATATAGATCTAGAGTATCAAGTGGAGAAACTGATCTGTTAATGGTATTTAAAGAAGCTTTGATGATCAAGTTCTTAGCATGAAAGTTTGCAGGGGAAAATTCGTCCCATAACTGAAATTTTTTTGCAATTTCTTTTGCAACTTCAAAACCAGCTTGACGCATAGTTCCATGATTTCTAGTCAATGCAATTGCACACTGGTAATAAAACTCAAAATGCATAATGGTTATGGGAAGCTTATTCAGTGTTGGATATGCTTTTTCTAAAATTACTTTAGTAGCTTCATCATACAAACCATGTGCACAGTACCAATAAACGATACCAACTAAATAACAAAACTCAAAATCTCTACTGGAATTTCTGAATTTGGAATGCTTAGCTTTATAATCTTCTAACGTAAGCGATCCATGTGCTAATCTAAACACATCCCATTGTAGCTTATGACCCCCTTCTTTATCAGGACCAATGATTTGATAAGATCCTTGTTTCAACATGACATTATATGGTTGACCAGTCCAGAACAATAAATGGAGTTTCGAGCAATCAAGAACAGTTGACATTGAACTAAAATCAACTCTGCCAGCAGCTTTAGAGCTGGAAAGGAAAACAGTGTAATACCTTAAAATATCCGACATAGGTTCAGTGAATGCAGCCATCGAAGCAACATAAACTTCATAAACATTTTGAGAAACTGTAGAAGACACACCCAGATCATTATCAACTAAAGATAAAGCTAACTTACATAATTCCATTGATTTCATCATACCTGCTTCTGTATCGGAATCGAGGAAAATGTTGGCAAATTCAATTAACCCCATTGTGCAATATGATGAAACACCATAAGTGTGCATTAAAATGGTCATTTGAGTAACCAATGCTTTTCTCAAACTATCCATATGGCACATATAAGAGGGTGCTATGATATCAGATATCAATTCATAGATCATTAAAATCTTGGGGTTAGTAGTTTTGGGCAAGTATTTCATCTTTCGAATTTCCGGAACCGACAATGGAAGTCTATGAAGTAAACGGTCCGAGATAACCTTACACTTTTCAGGATTAGTATGAACATCGACTCCTAGTTTTCTCAAACCCCTAATTGCGTATTTCAAACCTTGTTTAAATCTTTTTAATTGAAATAAACAGCGAACTCTGGTAATTAAAAACATTGTTTCATCAAAACCAAACTTTTTCTCAGCCTGTGAAATCATTCTTAAGCATTCGTCGAAATTCTTCAAATAGAAATTAATTTGACAAATGGTTAGAGTGCTCTTCAACTTGCCTTTTCTATCGGATTCTGGTATAAGATTTTCAGCTCCTTTGAAAAAGTTCAAAGAACTCTCTAAATTGTATGTAGATGCAGCATATCTTGCGGCATCTATAAGGGCTTCCACATAAGTTTCGTGTTCATCCTTTTTCGCAATCGATAGCGATTTGAGAAGATGAGTGGCCATAATCAAGAACTTTGAAACACTTGTATGAGGTTGTTTCTTTATTCTTCCGTACAATCCTAAACCACACAAGCGATGGTATTCATGTAGATCATTATCATCGGCCATTTCTTTTAGTAATTGCAGCTGAATCGACCCATGGTAAAATCGATAACGAGTTTCTGAGGCCAATTCCCAAATCAAAGAATCAGTTATATCAAAAGGAAATTCACTAGTTGAAATGATATGAAATGGCAACTTGTAATATGTGCTATTAGGAACAATTATTTTAGTTTCCATACATAAGTTAAGTAATTCATAAATTTTTCTCATGGGAAGCTTTGTAACAATCATTAAATCTGATAAGGTAAAATGATCACCGACATACACCAAAGCAGCAAATTTTAATAGCCACCTTGCTTCTTCAGACAAAGCTTTGGTGAGGTAAAAATTGATAGCGTCTTCTTTGTTGACTCGTTCTAAACTTTTTGTTTTGATGAGTTTATAAAATACATTATTTCCGTTTACCCTATTAACATAAACCAATTCACCAGATAAATAATAACCACGTATTAAGTATTTTAAATTGAGAACACTCCCTCCGCAATCTTCATACAAGTTGGGAGTCAAGGCTTCGATTTCTTCATCTTTAATATTATTCGAGAAATCATTTGCAACATGACGACCGATAAAAGGTATCTCGTTAACGGAATCTTTTACAATCATTGAGCCCATACTAGTTTTATCAATATCTGATTCAGGAGCCAGACTGAAAGTAAAGCATGTCTGTATATAATTTGATAATTCCTCTTTATTGAGAGGGTCCAAAGTATATTCATAAAGTGGAATATTATTTCGTTTAAGCGAGTCTTTAATATCTTGTATATCGGTAACAGTATTTTCTTCAAAATTACCATTAACATCATATCCATAAACAGCGATAAATTTCAATGAAAGTTTTAGCTCGTTTACTTTGAAGAACTCCATGATCTCATTCAACATACCCCATTCTTTTTCAGAGCACCATTGAATATCATCCCAAAGAACAGTCAATCCTTGAGAACAAACCAAACCATAAAAAGCTTTCAAGATGTATCTAAACTTAATTTCTAAATTGATTAATTGATCATCGACACCAGCTGAGCCACCATAATACAATTCAACTTCAGCTTTTTGGTCTTCATTCAATTCCAAATCGATTTTTTTCAAATTTTTCGCTATTTCATCATCTTTAACTTTTTCCAAATCAATGACGCCTGCCTGATCTTCGATTTCTTGATGATTTTCAGAAGTATTTCTCCTCTCCCTTCTATTTTGATGAATGCTAGTATATTTTGGACCCAATAAAACTTTTAATTCGGGAATTGTTTTGAATAAAATACTCAAGTCCAATTTAATTTTAGAAGTTAAGATATCTCTCCATTTTGCAATATTTTCAATAGATGAGGATAAAATTTGCTTAATAATATCTCTCATACCATTCAAGAAACAAGAATAAAGAGAAACGTTTTGATCGTCACCTGAAAACTTCCACAAGACATAGAAATCATATTTCGAAATAGCGCTAGATTTTAAATCTTCCAAGACTGTTGATTTACCAACACCAACGTTCCCATCAATCATCAACCAACTCATACCTTGGCTCATTGATTCATAAGTTTTCAAAAAATCACGATAGATATGTGTTCTACCAAAAATAGTATTTGGAGTTATAAAAGTTGGCGGCAACCCAATTTTTTCAGGGAAATGAAGAGTTTCTTTGATTAAGAATTTAGCCAAGGGTTCAATTTTTGAAATTTGATCATTAGCTTTCAAAGATAAATCAACATAATCATTTTTTATCTTGATTAAATCATTAATTAGGGTGTAACAATCCCAATATCTATTATGTGGATCTTTTTCTAATAATTTCATAATTACATCACTTAGTTTTTCCGACACCCAACCACTACCTATTAAAGAAGGTGATATTGGTTTTTGTAGTAAATGCATTCTTATTAATTTTGAAGGATTATCTGATTGGAAAGGTAAGCAACCAAGAATCAATTCATATAAAACCACCCCCATTGAATAAAAATCTGATCTATAATCTACTGAAGAAGAAATTTCTCCAGTTACTTCGGGAGATATATAAGGCAATAGTTCTGGGATATCAGTTAAATGACGTTTTCTATAACCATTTGAGCAATCTTCTTGTTGTAGAGTGAAAGCAAAATCCCAACCAGTTAAAACGATATTATTGAGCGCCAAATTAACATCGGTAGATCTCAATATGCTATGGCTGGTAATACCATTATGAACAATACCCAATTCATGGATTGTAGCCAACGTTTTCAAGATTGAAATGATATCAGATAAGATATCAACAATTTTCAAAGGAGATTTTGACGGCTGTTTTAAACGATTTGAGAATTCATCGTAGGTTTGATTTCTTGAACCAGATCCGGCACCACTGAAAGAACCAGTACCAGCGGCACTTTGAGCATTTGCCGAAACATTAGGGGAATTGGTTACATTATTTGCAATCACGCTTAAACGATCCCCGGGGATTGGATGAGCGTTAATATTACTATTGAAACTAGAATTGGAACGAATGGAGGGAGCGGTACCAAACCCGGTATTGCCAGAACTGATTGAAGCAGTGTCATTATTTGAAGAATAAACTGGAGCTGATTGGTTAGATGGAAAGGGGTTATTTGAATTTGAACCAAAATCAAAATTTTCTGAATGATAATCTTTTATAGTTTTATAATCATAATCGGGGAAGACCAACCCCATTCTTTTTTGGGGGAAATTAGCGACTTCATGATCGATATTTAATATTTTCATGGGGTATAAAACCCCTGATAAATTTTGCGGTAGGGTAATTGGTTGAACAAGTTGAGGGCTAAATTTATCAAAGTGAACATTATCTTCTGCTGGAATGAATTCATTGGCTAGAGTTGAGTTTGAATATAATCGATGCGAAACTGGGGGGTTAAACCCACTTAATAAATACCATTCATTTAAGAATCTTGATATTGATGCGGTTTCCATATAATTGGGAGACATTCGTATCACCACTTTTTCACCCGAATCGTCATCAATTGCATGATAAATAAGATTGGGTAATTGGAAAGTTGAAGTTAACTGAGAAATCAAAGTATAACCATCGATTAAACTAGGAGCAATTGCTAAATAATCGGCGTATTGATCATTTTCAGCATCATGAGGACTAATCACTGGGAGTTGAACTGATTCATTTTCCAAGTAACCCTTTTGATCTCTAGTATAATTAATATCATTAAGAAACGATTTATAAGCCAAAATTTGATTCTTGGTTAACACTCTCCCCAGTCTCTCCGCGCCAACCGTCGACAGAGCAGGAGAAGCCGTGGAAGAAGAATTAGTTGATTGTCTAACTTTCAGAGAATGTCTTTGTTTTGAATTAAGAGAAGGATTAGAACTATCATTACTCGAGTGATTTGTCCAATTGAAATTTTCTAAAATATTTTGATTTAAAGCACTCCCGCTATTAGTTGAACTGGAATTCAAAGTCAGACTATTAAATCCACTTTGTTGGGAATTCAAGCTATTCGATTGACTATTTGAAGAATTACTTTGTAGTAAATGACTACTAATTGATTTATTTTTATAAGTCTCCGCTATATCTGGATTCAAATCAATCTCACTGTTATTATCAACCGATTTAAACGAACTTGAATCCGATGGTACACTAACTGAAGCATTTGATAATGAATTAAAATCAATACTCAGATAATTGTTATTCAGAGAATTACTGGGACTCATGTTAGTATCCACCGAACTAGCTTCTTCTTCTTCATCGTATCGACGACTTCCTCTCGAAGTATCATATGATTGTCTTCCAATATGAGGTATTAAATGATGAGATGAAGTAGAGGAGGTACTCAACGATGGTAAATTAAAATAACTTAAACTCCCGTCTGATTTATACGGAGTTTGAGCTGGTGGGGACACCAACGATGGGGGGGTCTTATTACTAGACTCAGACTCTGCCATGCTTTCTGAGGAAGAAGAAGTTGAAAAATAAATTTTATTCCTACAATTTTAAGTAATAAACTAATTTAATAAAGTAATAATTACAGAATCAAAGTCAACCGCCTTTGTTTACCTATTGAAGCTTTCTGTTGCTTAATTTTATTCCTTTTATGTAAAAGAAGATTCCAACAATTGGGAAATTTGCAAGGTGTAGCAATCTATTGATTTTTTTTTTTTATTATTTATTTAATTCCGCCCACTGTTTTTTTTTTTGTTTTGTTAGTGTTTCCCTCCGTTTTTTTTGTTTTGTTAGTGTTTCACTCCGTTTTTTTTGTTTTATTAGTGTTTCACTCCGTTTTTTTTGTTTTTTTTTTCGTTTTTTTTTCGTTTTATTGGTGGTTTATTAGTGTTCGGTTTTTGTAATTCTGAGACAAAATGTTTGACTATCCGCCTGTCTGCTCCCACGGTTAGCACCTGCTGCTGCTGTTCCTCTGGCACCAGTTCATGTTCTTGTCGATGTTGCTGCCGGTGGTGGTGGTGCCGGTTATGTCAAGCCCAACGCACATGTATGTCGATGTACCAACGTTTATTATTTTACCCTGATTTATGATTAAACGGAATCCCATGGTTCCTGATTTACATTTCTGGAGGAGGAACACCGGTACACCAAAAAATACGAAATAGGCACGTACACCACGTTAAAATGTGCCTGGTGTTCACACACCTAGTCTCTTTCTATTCGGTTAATACACTACACTAGAATTAGTAGTAGGATTATTATTATTAGTATACTGTTTTATTGGAACCTTTTATATCTTTCTTATATATACCTATCGAAACTTATAGTCAATTTAATTATTATCTTATTAGAATATATTTTGCTTATATTTAAGTATTTATAAAAAAACTCATCCTTGTCAAGATCGATAGTAAACTATTTATCATACCTACTAGATTATTAAGTAGTGAAAGTATACCTTATACAAAAAAGGTTACTAGTGATAATTCTACGCGTACTTACCGATAATAAAAAATACGAAATCGAAATAGGCCCGTGCACCAGGTTAGGCCCATGCACCCAGGTTTCCGGAATGGGTTTTGGTCGGTTTTCGCCCCCTTTCTTTCCGGGGCCGCTAATGAAGGCTTCAACGAAAGTAGGTTTTATCTCCCGTTTTGCAATTTAAGGTTAGTTGTATCGATGTCTTACATGGATGCGGCATTCGTCCGATTTTCTTTGGGAAGAGTGTGGTCGTTTAAGCTATACGTTGAGTAAGAATATCAATTAAAACAATATAAAAGATAAATTAAAATGTAGTTAACGATTAAATAAAAAAAATGTATTGAAAGATGTTTTTTCAAGCTTGAAAAAATAGTTAAAATAGTATAAAACCATAAATATTCAAGAATCAGATTCAAGAAGTCAATGAATTGAATAAGTAGTATTGGTTAAGTAACAAAGTAAATGACGAATTAAAAAAATAACAGAATTATGGTAATATTAATATATCAGATTAATATATGGTAATATTAATATAAAATTAATATATTATAAAATATTACATTTTTTTGATTTCTTAATAACTGGAGGTTCTAAAGCAGCTACAATGGCTTCATCGAATACGGTTTTTAACCCTCTTTGAGTTAATGCAGAACATTCAACGTATTTAACTGCTCTTAATTCTTTTGCTAATTTTTCTCCCATATCATTTGAAATTGGATTCAATTTTTGTCTATGTAATTTGGTTAAAATCATATCATCACTTCTTAAATCGGTTTGAGTTCCAACAATTAAACATGGCACTCCTGGACAATGATGATGAACTTCGGGGAACCATTTTTCTTTAACATTTTCAAATGATGCTGGAGCAATAACCGAAAAACAAACTAAAAATACATCGGTCGATGGATAACTTAATGGTCTTAATCGATCATAATCTTCTTGACCAGCAGTATCAAATAATCCTAAAGTAAATGGCTCATCTCCAATCATAACCGTAACAGCATAATTATCAAAAACTGTTGGAACATAATCAGCTGGAAATTTAGACGTAGTATATGAAATCAACAAACAGGTTTTTCCAACGGCACCATCACCGACAACAACACATTTTATCGTTTGCATCTTGATCAAATTATGCTATATATTCCTGGAACTAGTGGTCAAAAAAAAAAAAAAAAGAGAGATCGTTAACAAATTAAGGCGAGAACAAAAAAAAAGTGTCTGGACAATCAATGATCAACTACTCCTGGGTTTTAGTGTAGCTTCACAAAGAGGTATGGAAAGTGGTTTGACAGTGAGGATATTCAATTGGATCACTTCAATCACTTAACGGTAAGCCTTAAAAATGAGTTTAGTAGTGTTTTTTTAACCAGTTGTTGTTGTTTTCATGAAAAAAAAAAAAAAAAAAAAAAAAAAAAACTCGCTCGTTTTTTTTTTTTTTTGATTCATTCACGCTTTGCTCCATGCACACGACCTTCCCGATAACGAGATTAGCTATTCATATATATTCCTATAATTATATTATACACTATTTGATATTCATAAACCCACTATCCCCTTGCATTACGTCAAGGTTGGAAGTAATATCACTGGGTAAGTTATTTGTATCGATGAGCTTATTGGTAAGCACGCCACTAGGATCAAAATTGCCAATTTCTTCGTCGATTTCATGATCATCGATTATGGACGGACCACCACCTAAAAAGTCCAACATCATATGCATCCCACCAGCACCACCAGCGTACTCTTCTACATCCACTGGTAACACTTGAGAAACCCCTTCCAAGAACCAAACTTTGTCTTTCATTTCTGTAGTAAAAGATCTTAATAATTTATAATAGGATCTCATGATTCTCATGGCTTTTATATCCCCAGTCATTAACAACAGTAGGAAATTCTTATCTAAAAGGGCCGGGAAGGCAAATATTCTAAGTATAAAATCGGACTTATACCTTTCCTTATGTAACTTATTTAAATAGGCCAAGGTAATTAAATAAGGACTTTCAATTTCAACCGGGAATAAATCAGCAATATCACTATCATGACATTCTAAATCAGTGAAATATTTAATGTCATTAGGATTCAGTTTATCCTTCAGCTCCCTTTGTTGATTAGGTATATCTCCTAAATCTCCTAAATCAACAGAAATAAACTTATAAAATCGACTTTGTTCAGTCAATGGCCAAACCGCAGTTAATATGGTGGCAGCTCCTTTAACATGGAAAATCCATGCAGATGCCGGTAAGGATTTGGGACTAGTGCTCGATGGGAAGGACGCGTTGGCTAATGAATCCATAATCAAGATTAACGCAGAAGCTACTAAGGCATCGGTATTATCGTTATTTATGTCAAGTACCGCTTCTCTCAATAATCTTAAGGCGTCTCCTCGATGACAGGTTACGCATTGATCCAATCCCTTTTCGGTTCTTGATAAATGGGTGGCACTGAACGCTAGAATTGAATGCATTAAAAATGGATAGTTAAAGGCCAACATTGGTATATCGTGATTCCAAATATTAGTATCACTTATTCCGGCTCCCGTTATGGTATTTGACACTTGCGACGTGTAATGAAACATGAGTCTTAGGTCCAACATGTTGAGTGACGATCCATTGGGTATTCCCGCCATTGGGTGGTTCAATGGTGAGTTTCCTAATGGCGGCGGGTTGCTGGTGTTGACATTGGGTGATATGCTTGGTTGAGTATCTTGCCCCTGGGCGTGTGTTTTTGCTTGTGCTTGAGGTTGTTGCTGATTCTGTTGTTGATTCTGCTGCTGTTGCTGTTGCTGTTGTTGAGCTTGTTGGTCCTGCTGTTGAGCTTGTTGATTCTGTTGTTGTTGCTGGTGCTGGCGTTGTGGACGTGCTTGGGTGGTGTTGGTGGACAGTCCCTGGGACTTCATAAACTGGCTGAAATCATTGGACCCGGCTGCAAAAAGGTTGCCCAAATTCATCAAAGGATTCGAGTTCATTGCAGCAGCGGCAACTTGTGCTTGCACCGATGCTTGTTGCAGTTGTTGGGGTTGTTGCTGCTGCTGCTGCTGCAGTTGAGATTGGGGTTGTTGTTGAGGTTGTGGAGTCAATTGAGGACTATTGCCCCCTAAACTACTCAAATCAATCGGTAATTGTGCTAGAGTAGCTAAATTTCCTAAACTTGTTAAACTTCCCAAATTACTCAAATCCCCTAATCCACTTAAATTATTCACCAAATGGCTCAAATTAAGATTATTCAAATTACCAGCATTCAATAAATTATGATAAAACGGTTTGGCCTTTTGCGGTTGTGGTGGTTGTGGATCTTGTTGCGATTGCAGCTGTTGGTCGGTATAACTGGGACTTGGGGTAATCGCCGGGGTAGCCTGCTGTGTTTGGGAATCACTGGAAGATACCGAACTGGACCGGGAATTGCCAATTGAATCAGATAATCCATCTTCTTCCTTGACTCTTCTCTTCTTGGCCATTGGTTCACTCTTCTTGTTAGCGAACGGCAAGGAACCGTCTTTTGGTGGAGTCTGGTCTTCGAGAGTGTATCCACATACTAGATCCATATGCTGGCACTTCTTACAAGTGGGCCTGGTCTCATCACATTTGACTCTTCTCTTCTTACAAGTAGAACAGCCTAGCCTCGATTTTTGATGATATTTTCTTTTCCCAGTAGATTTCTGTTTAGAATGATCAGTTGAAGATGTTGAATTTTCTGACATATTGGAATAAAGGGTTGAATCCTTGATTACTTGCTAAAGAACACAACCTAGTACTTTCGTAGGATCCACTAGTACTGATATCTAGTTATAAGTCTCGTATAGCTCGTATAGAAAAAATACAAACAAATAAAACCAAAACCAAAAAAAAAAAAAAAATCAGTTGTTAAACGATGAGACTATGTACAGTCTTTTCTATTCGTACTCACTAACTAAGACCCAGGTCTGATCTATGGCCATTGTAAGGGGGCGTAGTATTAAGCTATTTGATTCAATAGGGGTGCCATTGGCTTATGCTAATGTTAGAATTATGAAGATTGGTAAGGTAGGCTGTTTTGTCCTGGTGTACCGGTCTTTTTTTCCCATCATCGAAAGATAATACCCAGTAGGAAAAAAATGAAAAATCAGGTTAGGGGCAGTTTGGTGGTCAGGCAAAGGAATAGTTAACATGTCGAGTATTCCATTACAACAACGGGTCTGGTACAGGTGGGCGCGTGTTTACTTTACCGGGTCATGTATTATTGGGTTTGGGGTGTTATGTTTTAAGTACACTGTGCCAACCGACGAGGAGTTGATTGCTAGATTTTCACCAGAAGTCAGGGCTGATTACGAAAGAAATAAAGAATTAAGACATAAGGAACAAGAAGAATTGATGAAGATCGTTAAGCAGACGTCTGCCAGTAGTGATCCTATTTGGAAAACAGGGTATATCAAGTCACCATTTGAAAAAGAGGGAAGAGGAGTTGATCCCAAATTGGTTAATATTGAAGAATTCAACCGAGCAAAAGCCAATGAGTTCAAATTAAAAGAATTGGAAATGGCTAGTCAAGAATTGGAAGAACAACAAGCATTGGCCAAACAAAAGAAAAAGCACTGGTGGTCTTGGTCCTAAGATCCTCTTATTTATTTATTCTTTAATTCTCATATTTATTGTATATAGTTATTTTATAAGTTTAATTTCACTTAATTTTTGTAAAAATTAGAGCATATTGCAAAAAATCCAACCAGAATTAATTGATCATATACTGTTATTAGATACTTTGTTGAACTGTTATTAGATACTTTGTTGAACTGTTATTAGATACTTTGTTGAACTGTTATTAGATACTTTGTTGAACTGTTATCATTATATTATTATCGTTATACTGTTATCATAAGAATGTAACCGTTCTACAGTTTGTTGCAAATCGCACTTATACTAATTATCGTAATCGTAATATACACCTATCTCCATCTACCTATCTTGTCCTTTGTCATCGATGATAACCACCCTCCATTATTGACCCCGGCCTGTTTTTGGCTATTGGCGTTATCAACAGCAGCCACAATTCTTCGGATATTTGTATCGATCACCATCCCCCCTTGAACAATCTCTTCCAGAACAGTTTGCAAAACCTGCCAACCAAATACCAAATCCAACTCACACACATTGGTAAAGCATTTATCCAAACATTCAACAAACACTTGAATCAAATCTAATATACCCAATTCTGATTCTTGGTCATCCACAATGAAAACAAAATATAACGTGGCATAATGTCTATATATCACCTTGATATCGTCCAAGTCCTCTAAAAGACTCGGAGGTGTTATGAAAGAACACTCTTGTGATGTCCGTACACTTATCAATTGATGTACTTGCTGTAATAGTAATCTTTGAGTTGATATATCAACTGGAGTATAGAATTTCATTAATCGTGGTAATCCGTCATTATTGACTAAGAGAGTTAGTACTAGTCTTCCAGCATAAATTGCTCATACATACATATCAATATCGAATGAATCATGTTCGCTGATTAGTTAGTGGTTGATTATTTTATTTTGATGTTCAATTAAATTTTTAGATTTTTTTTTTTTTTTTTGTTCACTTGTTCTCTCTTTTCATCAACGACAATGTCATACCAACAATTAGATAAAGAGTTTCCGACTTATAAAGAGTTATTTGAGATCCCAACCCATAAGTCTTTAGGGGTGTCAGAAGCCAAAGATGACTCGATTTATTTTTGTGGGAATTCACTTGGGTTAATGCCTAAAAAGACCAGAGAATCAATTAATAATGAATTAGATGCATGGTCTGCTAGAGCAGTTGAATCGCATTTTAACCATCCTAATGCTACCCCTTGGATGGATATAGACTTGCCGTTGGTTCCGTTATTGGCCCCAATTGTGGGTGCCAAAGAAACTGAAGTTGCCATTATGGGATCACTCACGAGTAATTTAAACGCATTACTTATCAGTATGTATAAACCAAAAGGACAGAAAACAAAGATTTTATTCGAAAAACAAGCGTTTCCAAGTGATTATTATGCTTTCTTGAACTTGGTTAAATTATTCGGTTATGATGAACTGCACTTGATCCAATTAAGTCCCAAAGATGGAGAAACTTATTTAAATACCAAAGATATTTTGAACGTAATTGATGAAAATCACCAAGATTTAGCATTGGTCGTATTCCCTGGAATTCAATACTACACTGGTCAATTCTTTGAAATTGGTAAAATCACTAATCATGCTAAAAAATATGACTTGATAGTAGGATGGGATTTAGCTCATGCCGTGGGTAACGTTGAATTAAGTTTACATGATTGGAATGTAGACTTTGCTGCATGGTGTTCTTACAAGTACTTGAATTCAGGTCCTGGTGCAATTGCCGGGATATTTGTTAACGAACGTTATACTAAAGAGAATTCTAAGCAAAGTTTCCCGGCAAGATTAGCTGGATGGTGGGGGAACAATTCTCAAGAGAGGTTTAAGATGGTGGAAGAGTTTGATCCGATCCAATCGGCGCTTTCTTATAGACAATCCAATCCTTCAGTGATTGACGTTGTGTCGTTGAAAACATCATTAGAAATATTTGACCAAATTGGAATAAAAAATTTAAGAAAGAAGAGTTTAAAATTAACTAAATTTTTAGAAGATCGATTGATTAGCTCGCCATTTTACCAAACTAATGAATCTAATGGATTTGGGTTTAAGATCTTAACTCCTCTCAACCAAGAAGAAAGAGGATGCCAATTATCATTACTTTTCCAACCTCATGACGATATTAAAGAACATAATGTTATGGAAAGAGTAAATGAATATTTGCACGAACAAGGTATTATTTGTGATGAAAGAAGACCCGATGTTATCAGAATAGCACCAGTTCCTTTATACAACACTTTTGAAGAAGTTCATATTGTTACTGAACAAATTTTTGAAATATTAAATAGAATCAAAAAAGATTATATATAAACAATTTTAATACAGGTGAACGGGTTTACAGAAATGATATTTTATTTTTACGTATACATTAGAAAATGACTGCGAAATTTGAAAACCAGGAATTCTCAAATTAGCAGAAAGTCATTAAAGAACTTATAAAGAGTGAGATTTGTGGAAATCTTTACCGGCGTAGATAGCTTTATCACCTAATTCTTCTTCAATTCTTAAGATTTGGTTTAATTTAGCTAATCTTTCGGATCTGGCTGGAGCACCGGTTTTGATTTGACCGGATCTTAAACCAACGGCTAAATCAGCAATGGTGGTATCTTCAGTTTCACCAGATCTGTGGGAAACCATGACACCCCAACCAGCGTTATAAGAGTCGTTAGCAGCGTTAATGGATTCAGATAAAGTACCGATTTGGTTAACTTTTAATAAAAGAGCATTAGCACATTTCTTTTCAATGGCGGTTTTAATTCTTAATGGGTTAGTAACGGTTAAATCATCACCAACAATTTGGATTTTACTAGCAGCTTTAGCGTAGAAAAGAGACCAAGCTTCCCAATCATCTTCAGCAAATGGATCTTCAATAGAAACAATTGGATATTCAGCAATCAATTTTTCGTATAAGTTAGCTAATTCTTCACCAGATAACCATTTAGATTTATCAGAGTTTGGATTTTTGAAATCTAAATCGTATTTACCATCTTTGTAAAATTCAGAAGAAGCAACATCTAAAGCAATACCAACTTGACCAGTGTAACCGGCTTTTTCAATGGCAGCAACAATCAAGTCGAGAGCTTCTTTTGGAGTAGAAATATCTGGAGCAACACCACCTTCATCACCAACATTACCGGCGGATTGACCGTATTGTTTTTTAGCTAAAGATTTCAAGTTGTGGTAAACTTCAGAACCAATTCTTAAACCTTCAGAGAAAGTTGGGGCTTGAGTTGGAACAATCATAAATTCTTGGAAAGCTAAAGCACCACCAGCGTGAGAACCACCGTTCAAGACATTTTGGAATGGAACTGGTAAAACAAATTTATCTTGTTTAGAACCAGAAAGATCAGCAAAATGTTGGTATAATGGAACATTTTTTTCAGCAGCAGCAGCTTTAGCAGCAGCTAAAGAAACACCTAAAATAGCATTAGCACCTAATTTAGATTTGTTTGGAGTACCATCTAATTTATTTAAGAAAGCATCAACGGCAACTTGGTCAGTAACATCAACGTTTTCTTTAACTAAAGCTGGAGCAATGATTTCATTAACGTTAGCAACGGCTTTAAGAACACCTTTACCTAACCATCTTGATTTGTCACCATCTCTCAATTCTAAAGCTTCGTGAACACCAGTAGAAGCACCAGATGGAACAATGGCTCTGAATAATCCTTTACCAGTGTGTAAATCAACTTCAACAGTTGGATTACCACGAGAATCGTAGATTGAACGAGCAAAAACTTTAGTGATAGCCATTTTTTATTTGTTTATTATATATATATGTGTAATTCAATTGAATTAATAAAGAATAAAACTAAAACTAAATTGAAACTTAAGGAGAAATTCAATTGTATTTATAAACGGAGAAACCACCAAATGCTGAAAAAAAAAATTTTTTTTTTCTTTTGGTGGTTTCCTTAAACAGAACAATACTATACCTTCGGACTAATTAGCACCAAAAAACTCGGAATAAAATGACTCAATCCCTCAATCACTTGTTCCAGGATCTGGTGGTGTCTACATCATAACGTGCTATCCACACCTACTGACAATTGGGTCTTTGGGTGGTGTGGTGATAGCTGAAGAATGGCGTGGACCACTCACTCCCGATCCACCGACGTTGAAATAACAGGTGAGGATTTGTTCTCTTTGTACTTTAATTTAAGCGCATCACCAGATTCATCAACCAGTGGTTTCCCCTGTTGTCAGAACGTCTACACATGGCACTCTGAGGGGGTTCCCACCGAGTTGCGTTGCCCCTAGACCATGCTCCGGATGGGCACGGGCTGTAGGTGCTGTTTTGTTCATTTGGTTGGATTCGTCGACCCTTTTGGTTATTTTTGTCTCGGAGTCGGAGTTCCCATTACACAAAATTTGGCACGCTAGCCCGGCAGCCATTGGTGTTGGAGAGAGACAGATGTAGAAGAGTAAATGGGATATAACCATGGTAAGTAGAATCGTAGTAGAATAGTAAAGTTAATGTTTGGAGGAACCGACCGGGTTGGTTGCAATTCCGCGTCACGTGACACCTAAACCTCCGTGCATACAAGTCGCACCCATACACCACGTTACCCACCCGTAAACCAGAAATTAAAAAAACAAACCCATCAACGGTCTGTACTTGACGGCGGCTCAATACCCTCAGTCCCATACACACAATCAATAGGATATCAGGATGTCTGTCAAGGATTCAAAGGAGAAAGAGGCCAAGACAGAAGGACAATCGCCGAAAAAAACGGAACCCGTGCCCAAATCACCCAAACCAAAGTCCTCAAGCAAACTCAAATCGCCCAGTAAGAATGAAAAACAACAAACCCCATCTATTGAACAGTATAACGAGTTGAAGAACCAGCTTACCCAGCAGATCTTGAAGAAACAGGAGTTGGATTCCCAGTTGGGCACCTTGGAGTCCACAATATACGATAAGGAAACCGAATACTTTAATGAAAGTATCTATGGTAATATCGTGAGAGGATTTGAAAATTTTTCAAAGAATTCAGGTGGTGGGAGTGCTGGTTCAATGGGTTCAAATAAAAGAAGGTTGGCGTATACTGATGATGATCATATCTTCAGTTTAAGTTCAATTAATTTCGTTAAAACTTTGATGAAAAGACAAGGATTAAGTATAAATGATTCTTATCAATATACCGATTCTCCATCTTCCAATTCAAATAATCCTACTAAAGATGATTTTGACGATTATGAGGACTCGGTTGATCCAAACATTGGTAAAGACCCTAAATCAAATGGGGTTTCGACTGAGTCTCCAGCCACTACACCAGGAACTCCAACTTCTTCGGGAATTCCCCCAAGAAAAAGAAAAGCAAGAGCTTTAGATGATTAAGTTTATTATTCTTCTATTTACATTATATACAGTTGTTTATTCTTGTTTGGCTGGCGCGTAATTATACACCCAAGGTTTGGTTGGTGGATAATCGGTTGGAAGTCTCATTTCTAATGGATATTTGGGTAATTCTTGTTGATTGGCTATTTCAAATAATTCTGGACTTAATTTTTTCAATTCTTCCATTGCATTATATATACTTTCATACTGTTGGTCTAATTGTTGTTGTTTCTTATCCATTTGTTGACGCTTGTAAACATTCCATGCATTGCTAATGGTCTTATGCTTTATTAAATCTTCTTTACATAACTTGATTAATTTAGGCTGCTTACGACTGGCTGATAATGCTGATAATTGTCCAACAACTTTTTGTGTGGATGCATTAAGTACACTGTCGGTTTTCTTGGTACGGACGAATGTCTTCAGTATGCCTGAAACAGCCTTTTGGTATGACTTAAACATGGAGGGATATAGTTATTTGATCTGTTATACATTAATCCTAGTCTGACTTTTTTTTCATTGATTTTTTTCTTCATCAAAACTTTTCGGTTGTGCGATGCACAAAAAAATCACCCAAATAAATCCGTACACTCACCTGTATACAAAAGCAATCATTAGAATTTCAGTTATCAGCCATTGAGTCCCTAGAGTTTGTATTACTTGATTTTTCGTCAATTAAGAATGGGGAAGATTAGTGAATTCATACATGGTGACAAGAACCAGGCCCAGCCAGGGGATGCACCACCTTCATACGATGAAATTGACCATAATGTAAACCAATCTCCAGATTATCAAAATCAAGCTGGCAACCAACAAGTTCCAGATTATAATGAAAGTTCCCAGCAAGGTTATACACCAAATGGATATCCCGATGAGAAAAAGCAGCCACAATCCCTGGGGGACCAAGGACAATTCCAAGGACAGGGACAATTCCAAGGACAGGGACAATTCCAAGGACAGGGACAATTCCAAGGACAGGGACAATTCCAAGGACAAGGACCATCATATGATCCAATGAATGATCCAAACGTCTATAAAGTACCTCCTCAAATGGTAAACATTACCCAGGCCAACCCCCAGCACTTGAATCCTCAATATCAAGAATATTTACAGAGAGACCAGGAACGAGTTAAGTATGGGGATTTCCCCAAACCCCATGATTATTATGGAAGACAAGGAGCTCCATTAAATCCCAGTAAGAAAGATGCTCTGAATAAAACTGGAGGGAAAGCATTCCCCGGTAAGAGTGGAGTAACTTACCATGGGGCAGCCAATCGTTAATAGAATTTGATACTTTGATTTTCATAAATGTGAATTCTGTAAATTCTTTATTCGTAATATATACAATATAAAATGTTTAAATGAAAAAGCCAAAAAAAAAAAAAAAGAGAAGCTAACTTTTAATCGATTAGGATAAAAGATTATCACCGTTATAAGTCCAACCACCAAATTGTTTTTGAACTGACTCACTTAAGAAATCATCAACCACACTATCTTGGGGTTTTTCATTAGTAAAATCTTGATCAAAATTCGAAGTATCTAATAAGTTTTCAACATTTGGCTTAAAAGGAGGTAAATAATTTTTATGTAATAATTTATTCCAATCAATATCTTTGAAAAAATTATGATTTTTAATTTCAATTGCATCATTTAATCTTTTAGAAGGATCTTTTTGTAATAATTTAATTAATAAATCCTGAACATCAGTATTCTCTAAAAATGAAGGAAATTTTAATGGATTTTGTAAAATTTTTCTATACATTGTTGAAACATCATCATCATAAAATGGAGGTAAACCAGTTAACATTTCATATAATAAGGTACCTAAAGTCCACCAATCAACACATCTAGTATAACCTTGATTTAATAATAATTCAGGAGCCAAATATTCAGGAGTACCACAGAAAGTATTTGTTTTATCATTATTTGACATATTTAATTTACATAAACCAAAATCGCAAAGAGCAATATGACCTTGATAATCCAATAAGATGTTTTCTGGTTTTAAGTCACGATAAATGACATTTAACTCATGTAAACTTTCTAAAGCAGTTAATAATTCAGCAATATAAAATCTTGATCTATCCATTGAAAATTTCCCTTCTTTTTGTAAATGCCAAAATAATTCACCACCATTAATAAAAGATAAAACCAAATAAAGTTTTTCTGGAGATTGAAATGAAAATTTCAAAGGAACAATAAAAGGATTTGTAATTCTAGCTAAAACAGTTCTTTCAGCTAAAGTATGAGTGACTTCCATCCTTGATATAATATGTTGTTTTCTTAAAGTTTTTAAAGCATAAATCTGTTTTGTATCCTTTTTAATAACTTGCATAACTTTACCAAAAGAACCTTTACCAATAACTTTTAATAAATCAAAATCATCAATTGATAAATGGGGTTTAATTAAAGGCTTGAAATCAATAGTTAACATGATTTCACCGTAATCATCTTTCAAATTCAAATTATAATTATTAAATTTTAAAAAATCATGATTCATTAATCTAATTGGATTTGAAATATTTTTTAAATTGATTGGTAATTTAATTGAACCAATTAATAAATCACCAATATTTGATCCATTATTTGTAAAAGACTTTTTATTATTTAATTTTTCCAGTTGTGGTATTAATAAATTTGGTAATCTGATAAATAAATTTAAATTTAAAAAATTTGAATTATTAACCCCGATTTTTTTAGTTACATCAAAAGAAACAACTTGATTCCAAGTTGATTGATGTACTGTACCTCTTTGTGGTTCGATAATCAATACATTATTATCAAATTCAACAGTTAAATAAAGTAATGATTTAATTAAATTTTCTCCATTTGGTATAGTTATATTTGCTGGTAAGTAATTGGTTGATATTGATCCTGGAATTAAATCTTCATCATCTAATTTAGTTAATGAATTATTTAGTTGTTGTTGAGTTGATTCATTTGTTGCATTATTTGCCAATGCATTTAAGATTTGTTTATTATTATTAATTTGAATTGGTAATTTAATATTATTTGAATTATAAATCTTAATAGTTAATAATCCTGGGTTTGATATAATCTCCTGTACTGCTGGTTCTTCAATTTGTTGCTGTTGTTGTTCTTCAACTTGTTCAGCTTCTTCATCTTTAATATTCAAATTGCCAACATTTTCAGATAAATTATTAACTGATATAGTTTTCCTACTATCAGTTGAGTTTCTTGGAGACAGGCTTTGACTATTTTCCGGGGATTTATCAATATTAGAAGATCCAAACTTAAATTTATTCTTAAATTTCAACATTTTAATAATTATTTAGTATTCGATAAAATTCTAATTGAAATACTTAACTATATATATACTCTAATATAGCATACCACGATTTGGAAACGATAGTAGTCTAGTGTGTCGTTTAATTTTTGGGTCAACAAGATGAAAAACCAATATTTCTTTCAAATCTTTATCAATGACCTGTTATTTATAAGAATACGATAACAAAAGATGATCATTAATGTTTATGTGGTTTTGTTATTACTGAGTTTCAGATGGTTTACGGGTGGGAAAGTCCAACGGCCGGATGTAACTCCCAAGAATGAATAAACAACCGGCTGACACGGAGTTTGGAGAATACCTGGTGCACGGGTGTAATCTACCTCTACTTCCATTTCCACTAAATTACTACTATTTCGTTAAGTCCTTATCATTCGCTGAGTATCTGTTTGGCTTAGCTTAGTCTGGCTTCGCTTAGTCTGGCTTAGCTTAGTCTGGCTTAGATTAGTCTGACTTAACTTACTTTGACTTAGCTTACTTTGACTTAGATTACTTTGACTTAGCTTAGTATGTTCATTAAGATAAACTAAGGTACTTAGTCCCTCTATACTCGTACACTGTTTCTTTTCGTTAAGTTCATACTTCCACATCGCTCATACTTTACTTCTATACTCAATTAGCTATCATTATGTTATACCTTTTCGTCTTAGTTTAGTTTGCAACAATTGTTGTACTCAGATTTACTTACAGCGTGATATCCGGTGGTCGCCCGTTTTGCTCGGAACTGAGAATAACCGACTTAGAACCGACACAGAACCGACCGACCGGTAGAAAATGTCGCGTTTCGAATGTCAACATTACACAAAACAAAAGGAGTTATACATCCGTGCACCAATTACTCAAGTAGATGTACGGGTGTACCTTTTCGAAACAAATAAACAAACACGAAACCGCCCGGTTACTTCTCCCAGTGTTTACAACGCGATTTAATCGACAAGCTGACAACTAGACGTAGTATTGTTACATAAAGACCCCCTTCTAAGTAAGATTCCTTCGATAGTGGGTTTCCGTTGGCGTAAGGTGTTTATTTGTTTATGCTAATAGGTTTGTGGAACTTGCAAGACCATAGGCATTGAAAATACTGGAATTGGAATCTATATCAACAAATTGAAAGAGAAATCCTTTCATTCATTTTAATAAATCTACTACACACTAGAAGTAGCTTAGGTTACTGGAATCACCAACTATATTCACTCTTTCAAAATGTCAACTATAACTGAAAATGAAGTTAATGTTGATAAAGTAGTTCAATCAGTTACCAACGCTACCAAAAGATTATCCCAGATATCAACCAATACTAATAATAGTAATACTAAACGGAAAACTCAGAATCGAATAGGGCCCTGGAAGTTAGGTAGAACTTTAGGTAGAGGATCAACTGGTAGGGTTAGATTAGCTAAAAACATTAATACTAATAAATTAGCCGCTGTTAAAATTGTTCCAAAATCCAATTTCAAAAAACTTGAAAATCCAAAATATAGAAGAAATGATGATCAAGATGTTGATAGATTACCTTATGGGATTGAAAGAGAAATAGTTATCATGAAATTAATAAGTCACCCTAATATAATGGGACTTTATGATGTTTGGGAAAATAAAAATGACTTATACTTAATCTTAGAATACATCGAGGGAGGAGAATTATTTGATTATTTAATTAAAAGAGGTAAATTACAAGAATTTGAAGCAATTAACTATTTCAAACAGATAATCAATGGTATAAATTACTTACACCAATTCAATATTTGTCATCGAGATTTAAAACCAGAAAATTTACTATTAGATTTTAATAAAAATATCAAAATTGCTGATTTTGGTATGGCAGCTTTAGAAGTTAAAGAAAAATTATTAGAAACAAGTTGTGGTAGTCCTCATTATGCCTCCCCCGAAATTGTTGCTGGTAAAAATTATCATGGTGCTCCTTCGGATATTTGGTCTTGTGGGATTATTCTCTTTGCTTTATTAACTGGTCATTTACCTTTTGATGATGAAAATATAAGAAAATTATTATTAAAAGTTCAAAATGGTAAATTTATTATGCCAGCTAATTTATCTTGGGAAGCAAAAGATTTAATCAATAAAATGTTACAAGTTAATCCAAATGACCGTATTACTATTGATTCAATTTTAAAACACCCCTTATTAACTAAATATCCTGAACCAGTTTTGCATAATGTAACCTCAACAACTACTTTGGATTTTAAAAATTCGAATATTAAACCAATTCAATCAGTTGATAAAATTGATAAAGAAATTTTGAAAAATTTATCAGTTCTTTTTCATAATTGTGATGAAGCTTCAATTATTAATAAATTAATTTCTCCTCTGAAAAATCCTGAAAAAATGTTTTATTACTTACTAATGAAATATCGTAATGAACATCATTCCAATTTGAACTATCAAGATGATGATGGTCAACCTTTTCAAAACTCAAATCTTCCAAGATCAAATTCAATCATTAATCCTTCAACTGGTGAAATTAAAATCTTGAAAAATACTAAAAATTTTACTGCATCCACTTCCTTCACTAAGAAAAAATCAAATATAAGTCAAACCTCCTCTACAAAATCAATTAAAAAATTGATTCAACCTCCAAAAAGAAAATTGACCGGGCCAATTAACTTGGCTGATCTTTCTGCCCAGCTTGAAAATACCTCTGCCAATGATTCTTTCAAAAAGGAACCCGTTGAAACTCCAAAAAGACAATCACCGAAAAGACAATCGCCCAAGAGACAATCTCCTAAAAGGCATTCTCCAATGAAACCATCTCCTAAGCGACAATCTCCTAAACGACAATCTCCTAAAAGGCAAGCTTCTAAAAATCAAAATAATAAATCAATCATAAATTTTGAAAAGATCTGTCAAGATGTTTTCAATGGTGAAATAGATGATAGCTTATTTGATAATAGTACTGAAAATAAATCAATCAAAGTTGAAAATGATGATCTCAAACCTGAGCCTTCTGTTATTAAAAATAAAAATATGTCAAATTATTTGAAAATTGAAGAAAAATCAGATTTCTCTCCGGCTAAATCCAATAAATCCACCAAATCCAATAAATCAAACATTCAAGCCGAAAGAGATTTGAAATTAAAAGCAATTGCTCAAAGGGAACAACAGAAAAACCATGTTAAGAAATTAAAAGAAAATGTTAATTTAACTACTTCGACAGCAAAAGATTTTTACCAACAAGACAAATTGAAAACTGAAAAAGATGATAAAGTGAAATCAGAAGATGGGAAATTGAACGATGAGCGTAAGAGACAAAGTGTCTTGATGAAACAAAAACAATTGGAAGCTCAAAAACAATTAAAAGAAGAAGTTGAATTACCATCCTTACCCCCTTTACCCAACAAAAGATATAGTTCAACTCCAGCTCCTTCTAGTTTGGATCCTAGGGTTAACTCATTATTAAGAGCAAGATCTTTAGCTACCCCTTCAAGCTATGCATCTTTGAGAGGTAGAGGTTTGAATGATAAAAATATTAAAGTTTTGAAAAAATTAGGTATTGATGTATTACCTCCTTCCCCTAAAAAATTAAATCATAACTTGAAAACTTCAAGTTCAAGAAATTTGAATACTTACATTGACAATGTCGACAATGACAAAGAAAATAGTAACGAAACTTCAATTGGCCAATTCAATAAAAAAGAATCGACTTTTCAAAATAGTCCCTCTTCGGTTTTGAAACCAACTTTTGGCAATAATTTATCAAATCGCCAATCAAATCAGTCTCAAAAATCTTTAAAATCTCAAACTAATTATAAATCGATGTTAAATAATATCAATGAAAACGGTTTGAGTACAGTTATTGACAATTCTCCAATGACCGTTAAAAATATCATGATTAAAGAAGAACCATTGCCAAATCCAAGATTTTCAAAATTTTCGTTCAATGGTTTAATGAATGATTATAATAATGCTGGTGATCAAACTATTTTGAATAGTACATTAACAACCGGAGGAACTGTTATCAAAAGAAGTAAAGGTGATAAAACTTCATTGAAAACTAACCCAGGTAAAGGTTTAATTGAAAAATCTACCTTTAAACATGATCCAAAGGATTCCAAAAAATCTTCAAATAATTTAGTTGGTTTAGGAATTGATGTCACTAACAATAAACATGATAATACTGGGTTTTTATCGGTTAATATATCTGATACTGATGAATTTGATCTGAATCAATCTTTTGATAGAAATTCAATCACCAATGATGATCATCAAACTCAGTCAGAAAGTACTATCATTGAAGATGATTATAATTTATCTGATGCATTAATAAATATGAATCAAACTGGTCCATTGGTTGAAAATTCGGTTTTAGAAACTGATTTTTCAAATTTTTCAATCATAAGTTCTAGAACTGCTGATATTGGTCAATTAAATAAAACTAGACCAAGTATTGTTGAGCATCTGGATAACTCAAAAGATACTTTGATAATGCATGACGATCAGCAAAATCAAGATTACAAATCTTTATATAATAATTATCAAAAACTATATAATCCTAAGAAAGAACTGGTCCATTCATCTAAATTGAGCTTTAGTGCTGGGGGTAATTCAAATATTCACATTTTAGATTCAAGCTCAATTAATGAACATACAAGAGATAATGATGAACAAGATATTGGATTTGAATTTAATGATAGCTATGATGATACGGATATCATTATAAATGATGATGACATCAATGATTTGAAATTTGAAGAACAAAGACAGAATAGTACTTTAAAAAAATCAAGAGCTTCAACAGAAATTTTTTCAACAATGACTGTACCTAAATCAAGTAATACTAAGACTGTCAGTATTGATTCTAAACCAACAATGAAGATTAATGAATATGAACCTACAAATACAAATAATAAAAAAAAATCAGAAAATTATAATCCAATCGATACCGATAGTGAAAACTATGGTAGCGGTGATAATGAATCATTCGATCCTACTCAATTATTAGATAAAAGAGAATCAATTTTCAGAAGATTAAGTTTAAAACCAAAGAGAGACGCACCAAAACCTCCTCCATTAAGTTCTTGGGATTATACTGAAAATAGAGGGATTCATGATAGATTTTCTCGTATATCAGCTAAAAGTGGATTAGGGTTTAACTCAACTCCTAAACAATCTGGCTGTGAATCGCCAACTATAACTGGATGGTTTAAGAAATTCTTCAGTAATTTAACTTCAAACACCAAGGGTCCAAATGGTGAAAAAAGAAAAAGCTTAGTTAAAAAATCACCTGCATTAAATGAAAATGGAAACAAAGATGTTTGCATTATTGACTCGAATTTATTAAGTGTTGAATTGACTAGAATCATCAAAAATCAATTAGAGTTGAAAAAAATTGAAGGTTCAATAAGTAAAATCGATATTGACGAAGAGTTTGGATTAATTAACGGTGTCATACCAGCGAAATTTTCAAATGGTAGAAAACTTAAATTCAAAATTGAAATTATCGATTTAACAAACACTAGTTCATTGCATCTTATTAGATTGAAAGGTAGTGATAAAGGCTTCAGTAACTTAATCAATATCGTTGAATTCATCATTAAACAAGAGGAAGAAAATCAGGATTTCAGAAAGTCAATTGGTAAGAGTTAAACGAATTGATGGAATACCTCAATGTTTGTACAATAGATACTTTTACTTCTTTATAGATATTATTAATAAATATTTAAATTAACTATAGATGTAAAAATATATCTTTATCTTTACACTGCGATTTTTCAGTTGTTTTTTTATCAACAAAAAACAGGCAAAAAAAATACTCGAATTAGAAACTTCAACTGCTCCACGATAAACTGCCAAATTGCCTATAACATTCATAATATATAAGGACAAACTATGAGTGGGACGATTGTTAGAGCCCACAATTGGGACTTTGGATGGGAACAAAGGTTTTTGGCCGTCGACCCACTAGGTGAAAAAGTTATGCTCTATCAAACCAATCATCAAGATCCAGGAATTGGTTATAACGAAATGACAAAAATCAGTAGCAGGGGAGGGTTTGATAACATTCAATGCTCAGCTTATTCTTACAATAGTCCGGGTTTATGTGGGGTTGGTACAATCAATGGTACCGTTCATTTATTTGATATGTTAACAACCAATTCGACAATTTTAAAACTAAGACCGAAACAGAATCGTCCTTGTAATTCAATAAGTTTCAATAACAGTGGTTGGATATCGGTCTGTTTTGATAAGGGAAGACAAGATAACAGTTTACAATTATGGAACATTGAACATTATTCTAGAACTAGTGATAATGATCATATCAAGAGGCCCACATATTCTTACTTACCTAACGAAGCAGTATTATCTACATCATTTATTCCTAATAGCGACAACGATTTATTGGCCGGTAGTTATAAATTATTAAGGCAATTTGATGTGAGACAAGAATCACCGGCATTTCAAATTGCTACAAAGTGTACTTTAGGTATCACATTTGACCCTTTTCAACCAGATATCTATTTTTCAACTTATAGTGAAGACGGATCAGTGGCTATATGGGATAGGAGAAGGTTGACCAATAATAATAAGAAGAATTTCAATATGAATAACAACGTTTTAACGGAATCACCAGTTTTACAGTTCAATAAATTATTAAATGATTCTTCAAGAAAGAACCATAATCCATGCTTTAGATATTCAAGTATTAGGAAGGGTGAGTTCTCATCTGTTTTCAATGGTGACTTGATAAGAAGATGGCATACTGGTACAGTGCCTTCGATGGAGTCTCGACATCAAGGAATGAGTCGAGATGTATCGAATTATACAAAAGATTCTTCACAAAGTTCTTTATCCGATAACAATCCTAATATTTTGTCCAGTTTGAAAAATCAATCGTCACAATTATATAAACCAAACGAAGACTCATTATTTGTTTCATTAGTGCTTGACGTTAAAACTGATTATTATAATAAGGTGATAACCTTTGACTATTCACCTGATATTAATAGCTCGACTTCCACCAATTTTGTATGCATGAGACAGAGTGGGTCAGTATTTAGAATGAAAGCTATTGAATGCATAGAGTCATTAGATTTTAATTCATATAACGAATTTTCCATGTCGGGGCCAGAAGCTAATCTGACGCATTTTTTAAATGATCAAATATTGAATGATATATCTAAATTTGATAAAAACGAAGAAAACCTTAAACAAAATAATAAAGACGATGGTCAACCTTTCGATGATTATGACGATTTCAGACGTGCTAGTGAAGCAGAATATTCTGAAGATATTAATTCAACAGTTGGTGAGGAGGAAAGTTTAGCTGGGAAATATAACAATGAAGATAAATCAGTAAACCAACAAAGCCAGTTGAATAAACAACAAGATTTCTATGATGATTTGGTATCATTGAAAGATGTTTTTGACGTATCCAAAATTACTTCAGCTGATATTTGTTATGTGATTAGAAAAAGAGCATTATCGGGATATGGAATTGATTGTGAAGGAAATATTCAAGTATTGGAGAAATTAGGTAATCTTCATAATAAATTATTTTTGAGAAATACTTGGAAATGGGTTGCATTAGCACAAAAATCTTTGAAAAAGGGAACAATGATATCCCAAGGGTTGGATTTAGGATTTCAAGGAGTGTTGGGGATTTGGAAAGGAGTGGAAGAAATTGCTGGTGAAAAAAGATATAATGGAGATGTCAGCGCTCAATTATATTTCAAAGCAGTGAAGGATATAGTATCAAGAAAAGGGAAAAAAACAGCCAGTATAAATATTCCGAGTAATAGCGAGTTCAAAGCTCAAAGAAAGTTATGTTTAATAGTAAGTGGGTGGTATTTCACCGATGATGAATTTGAAGAACGCTTAAATTTATTAATCTCGTTAGGATTTATTGAAAAAGCAGCTGGATGGGCCGTTTTTCACGGAGACGTTGATCGTGCCATCAAGATCTTAGCATCTTCCAAAAAGGAAAAACTCAATTTAATATCAACCGCCGTAGCTGGATATATGGCATATAAGAATTCCAACGTGAATAGTCCTTGGAAAGACCAATGTCGTAAAATGGCATCAGATTTAAGTGATCCATATTTACGGGCCATATTTGCATTTATCGCCGATAACGATTGGTGGGATGTATTAGATGAACACTCTTTACCATTAAGAGAAAGACTAGGAATCGCCATTCGATTTTTATCAGATAAAGATTTATCGGTATACCTTAATCGCGTAGCAGATACCGTGGTGGTGAAGGGAGAATTGGAAGGACTTATCTTAACCGGGATCACCCTGAGAGGAATCGATCTACTCCAGTCGTATGTTGATAGGACCAGCGATGTTCAAACCGCTTCACTTATCACTGCCTATGCAGTTCCAAGATATTTCCAAGATACAAGAGTAAAGCATTGGGTTGACTGCTATAGAAACCTATTGAACAGTTGGGGGCTTTTCAGTATAAGAGCCAAGTTCGATGTTTCAAGAACAAAACTATCCAAAACCAGTCAGGGTAAATTAACTATCCAACCCCAACCAAAACAAGTTTATCTTCAATGTATTCGTTGCAACAAAAACATCTCTGATACAAACAAGGACTCGGACATCCAATCCCCAAATCAAATGATATCGGCCGAAAATAACGATAATCCTTCAATCCTCATTAAACAATTCAATAAGTTTCATATGAAATCTTCTGGTTACAACCAAGATTTAAAGGCCTGTACTCACTGCGGGGCCCCTTTGCCCAGATGCTCCATCTGTCTTCTTACCCTCGGAACCTCTATTCCAACAGAGTCCTCCCAGTCCAACGTTAGTACTCTCAAGGGAAGAATCGAAAATAACTTCAGACAAAGATTCAGCTTTTGCTTGAGCTGCAATCACGGCGCCCATGCCTACCACGCTGAAGAATGGTTTTCCAAGCACTACATCTGCCCCGTCCCGGACTGTAACTGCCGTTGTAACAGCAGATAAACCCAACTAAACCACACCTACAACCAAAAGATCATCAAAAGTACATCTACAATCAAAAGTATATAAGTAAATATATTTTGCACCCTGTAAAACCCGTACATGCCCGTGCTCACCTATTTATTCAAAGCCCCACGCACAAAATCAACAGATTTTTTTTTTTTTTTTTTTTTTTGGGGGAAAGTCGAATCAGATTTTGAATCAGGGCGGTTAATTTTCAACCACTTCTTCTTCTTCTTATTCAAAGCTGCTTTGTCTTTCCGATCTGGAGATAGAACTAGACCCCTGTTACTGATCGAAGACCACCGCCCACCGAGAAGAAGAAAGACCGCCTGCGCTAGAATTGTCCTTGATTGATTGATTACAAAAAGATCTACACCTAGCACCTTGCAATCCACCCCGTGACTTCACCTTGATCGTACAACACTCCTGGCCATCGCAAGTTCGATCCAATTGATTTGATAGCGTTGATTAATCCAATCACAGCCCGCCTGTATACAATATACCTGATCTAAGCTCGTTGAATAGATAAGTTTAACTTGCTTTAAGGTTATTATCTAGATCAATTGAAAGCGGTTTTAGCTAGGTTCCATTAATAGTGCCCCGCCGGTGCCCCTGAATGCCCCTTGTTGCAATTCCAGGTACTTTTGTTTGTTTCCCAGTTATAATTAGTTTTTAGTTGTTTGGTTTGAAGGGCTTCTCGGATTTTATTTTTAGCTGTTTAAGTTTTTACTTTTTACAGAAATCATAGGAAGCTCATACGGAAAAAAAAAGTTTACAAAAAAGAACTACCAAAAAACAGAAAACAAAAAACGATCAAGCCAAAAAAAAATACGTTTAGGTTTTTTTTTTTTGAGAGAAAGTTTATCGATCTAATTGTTTAGTTACTTTATTCTGAGTTCTAGACTGATTGATACTCGTTGCCCAATAAAAATACATCAAATCTTGCCTCAACCCGCATATTGACAGTCTGTGAGGGTGTGTGATTCGATTCCATTTACATATTTTTTTTTTCTCTCTTTTAGTCCTGAAAGAGAAAAATCCTTCGCCTGCGTCGAATTTTTTTTTTTTTTTGGTTTCTACCTTCTGTCATCCTTTTAAAGATCATTGATTATAAAGATCAATCAGAAGATACAAATCAGTTTTCGAAAAATAACAATAAGATAGGTCAAGCATTTATCCGTCATCAATGTCACAGCCTCAGGGTAACCAAGTCTTGGAAGACATTCGAAATAAAATTGATCGTGAATCAAAACTTATACAAGGTTTTCAAAGTGTTAAAAGAAGTACCAATAATGCTGATGTTATCCAAAAATGTAATAACAACATAAGAGAAACTCAATCGAATATCGATTATCTTATGGAGACTTTGAATAAATTATCTCTTCAAAATCAACCTCAAAATAATTCAAAACTTGCATCTCCCGAAAAGCCAAGAGTTGTTTCTGTAAATGGGACCGTTAGACCAATATATTCAAGATTTGATTTGATCAAATATGATTGTCCTTCTTTGGGTCATAAAATTCAATATATGCTACAACAACTTCAATTTAAACTACAAGTTGAAAATCAATATCGTGAAGCAAATGAAAAAATCTCTCACCTTTATCTTATGGATGGTGATAGATCAAGTTCAAATGCCGCAGAGGGTGGTAGAGTTGAAAGTGATCAAAGAATTCAATTATTAAATAAATCTTTGAAACGTTATCAGGATATGCATATTGATGTTGAAGATGTTACTAGAGATATGGAAATTATGAATACTCCCAAATATGCTAGAAAAGCTTTAACTGGTAAGTTAAACATTTCAATCACTTGTATCAGAGATATTGATCATATTGCTTCTCCAATGTTATCTAAAAGACCAGAATCATTAGTTTCAATTAAGGTTGACGATGTTGAACAAGCAAGAACCAGAGGTTCCCGTGATGGTAAATGGTCAGAAGAATTCACTATTGATGTTGATAAAGCTAATGAAATTGAATTTTCTGTTTATGATAGATCTGGTACTGCTCTAGTACCAGTGGCTGTTACTTGGGCTTTACTTTCAGATATTGCAGAAGAAATTCGTAAGAAAAAAGTAGCTAATCACGACCTTGGTAAAGAAGATTGGGTTTCTGCTTCAAATTTAGCTGGTACGGTTAATAAATCAACTAATGAAAATATAAGTTATGGTCAATCTCCATCTAGAAATAATCAACAAAATAATCCATTTAATAATTCAAATTCTATTCAATCCCATGATGGATTAGGATCAGTCCCTACTACATTGGAAAATGCTTCCAAAAATATTGAAATTACTAGTTGGATAAGTTTAGAACCAGTTGGTCAAATGTTAGTAACTTTAAGTTTCGACAAAACAAATCAATCTGGTAATAAACAATTCATGGGTGCTTTAGGTCGTCATGGTGCTATCCGTCAAAAGAAAGAAGAAGTTTTCGAGCAACACGGTCACCAGTTTGTTCAAAAACAATTTTATAATATTATGTGTTGTGCTCTTTGTGGTGAATTTTTACGTTACACTGGTTTTCAATGTCAAGATTGTAAATTTTTGTGTCATAAAAAATGTTATCAAAAAGTTGTTACTAAATGTATTTCAAAATCAAGTACTGAACTTGATCCCGATGAAGCTAAATTAAATCATCGTATTCCTCATAGATTTGATCCAATCTTTAATCGTGGTACTAAATGGTGTTGTCATTGTGGTTATATATTACCTTGGGGACGTAAAAATGTTAGAAAATGTACCGAATGTGGAGTCATGTGTCACGCCCATTGTACTCATTTGGTTCCAGATTTTTGCGGTATGTCAATGGAAATGGCTAATAAAATTCTTACCACAATTAAATCAACTAAAGTTCCAACCAAAGCCCCATCTGCCAAGATTCGTCAATCACCTCAAAAAATTATTCCTTCTCCAAAAGGTACTGCTTCTTTCAAAGATAATGAATCAACCTCGGATTCTAAATCTTTAAATAATATTTCAGATGACGAAAATGAAAAAGATTTCCATACTGTATTACCAACTGCTACTACCAACCAACAACAACAACAAATTGATTCACCATACGCCAAAACTAACAGACGTCCTCCACCTCCAGATAATAGAAGATCTGAAAACCTCTCCGAACTTCCAACACCATATCAATATCAACAACAATATCAACATAATCCACAAGATCTTACTCCTCAACAAGAGTACTATCTTCAACAACAAAGACAACAGCAACAGCAACATCAACAACAACAACAATATTATCAACAACAACAAGCCTACCAACAGCAACATCAACAACTACAACAACAACAACAGCAACAACAGCAGCAAGAACAAGAAGCTTATCGAAAACAAGCTGCCCAATATGAAGCTGATCAACATCAACAACAATATGCTGAACATGACTATACATTTTCCTCTCATAAATCAGATACTTTACATAATGATACCACAACCGATGATAAATCTGGAAATGATTTCACTGATTTCGATTATGGTAATAATAATACTCAACATATCATTCCACTGGATGTTATTGAAAATCCAGACACTCAAAAACCTGAACCTATTGATGTTGATCAACCAGACTCACACTTACAACAATCTGTACAACCACAACTGAAACCCCATCAACGTTCACCTCATAAACAAAAACGTCGTCGCAGAAAGGTTGGTTTGGATGATTTCCAATTTCTTGCAGTTTTGGGTAAAGGTAATTTTGGTAAAGTAATGTTGGCAGAATCAAGACACACGTCTAATTTATGTGCCATTAAAGTTTTAAAGAAAGATTTTATTGTTGAAAATGATGAAGCTGATAGTGTGAAATCCGAAAAGAGAGTTTTCCTTACTGCTAATAGGGAAATGCATCCATTCTTATTAAATTTACATTGCTGTTTCCAAACTGAGAATAGAATTTATTTTGTAATGGAATATATATCTGGTGGTGATTTGATGTGGCATATTCAGAAATCAAGATTTTCAGCTAAAAGAGCTAAATTTTATGCTTGTGAAGTTTTATTAGCTTTAAAATATTTCCATGATAATGGAATTGTTTATCGTGATTTGAAATTAGATAATATTCTTTTAACTACTAAAGGTCATATTAAAATTGCTGATTATGGTTTATGTAAAGAAAACATGCATTATCAAAAAACTACTGGCACTTTTTGTGGTACACCTGAATTTATGGCTCCAGAAATTATTGCTGGTAAACAATATGATAGAAGTGTGGATTGGTGGGCATTTGGTGTTTTACTATTTCAAATGTTATTATGTCAATCACCTTTCAAAGGGGATGATGAAGATGAAATATTCAATGCCATTGAACACGATGATGTTAAATATCCAATCAGTATGCCTCGTCAAACCGTTTTGGTTTTACAAGCTTTGTTGACAAAAGATCCATCCCAACGTCTTGGTAGCAGTGGTCGAGACGCGGAAGAAATCATGGAACATCCATACTTCCAAGATGTTAATTTCGATGACGTATTCAATTGTCGTATTCAAGCTCCTTATTTACCTGAAATCACTAGTGAACACGACTATTCTAATTTCGATCAAGAGTTCACCTCGGAAACTCCAAGATTAACCCCAGTCGATACTGTCCTTACTTCCGAAATGCAAGAACAATTTCGCGGTTTTTCGCATATCGCAGAAGGTGCCGCCATTTAATGTCTACTTCCCCAAGCTTGATCAGTATTTTTATTTGTATTGATACTTTCCTTCACGTTTATCTTTAAATCGATCTTTTCAAAAAAAATAAAAAATAAAAAAAAAAAAAGATTTTTCGTTTTTCTTTTTTTCACGTCTGTTTTGATTCCAAATTTATTAATATCTTAATAATTAATTTTAGTCTTTTTCTAATTCGTCTTAATTCTATACAACTAATACATTCCTGTCTCATTAGAGAAATGGTCCTTTTTGGATTCCGGTAACTTTACCCGTATATGTAGCTTAAACTCGGCCACCTGAGGATCGAGCATCGTACATCAGCATCTGTACGCCATCAATAGGCCGTTTTTAACTCACAAAATATGAAAAAGCTTAATTATGCAGACCTCTATTGTTCCTGTTGAACAAGAAGAATAGACCGTTGGTTTGAAGAAAAGTGTAATTGTGCATTCCAAAATCACTATGGGAAATGCTCTTCTTTTTGTTGAACATCAACGATTACAAACAAACGAATTACAAAAATTAAATTAATAATGAAAATATTAGATATTAGGAAGAGAAAATGAACAAAAAACAATGCTAAATGAGATTCAGTCTATAAAATCGTTAATCGTGAAAAAGTGACTATATGAGAAAAGAAAAGACAATAATATTGGATAAATGCATGCTAAAGTACAATCAAGAGATGACACAACATCCCGATTTTTCTTTTGTGCTTTCGTTATGGTGGGACTCAGTCTTGAGAGAATTTTTTGATACTTTACGACTTTGAAGAGACTTATTTGAAGGTAAATCATTAGGAGGAGGATCAATTATAGATTCATTCAAGTTCTCATCGGTGGAATTATTTAGGTTATCATTTGAAGTATTCTTTAAATGATTTTTAAATGGAGAAGATTGTCTATTTTGATTCATTTGTAGATCAGGGAGTTGATCTTTGCTAACTGATTGAATTGATTCATCGAGGGTCAAGGCATCATTTGGAGGAGAGATTAAATTCAGTTTTGGAGAAGTACGATCATCTTTAACAGATTTAAGAGAACCCATTTCATTTTTCAACTGATTTGATTTAAGAGATTTATAGTCAATGATTCTAGTAACCAAAGGTTTGAAAATATCATCAATCCCGCTATTTTCTTTAGCACTAGCTTCAGCGAAATTTAAAGCACCCAAAGAATAAGCCAACAGTTTAGCTTCTTCGTAACTAACTTGTCTTTCAAATTCTAAATCTGATTTTAAACCAGCTAATGCAAAAGGAGGGAGCTCACCAGTGATATTCTTAATTCTTTCTAAATTTTCTTCAACAGCAAGAAAACTATTACGATCAGTGATATCATAAACGAATAAAACAACTGAGGTGTTGAACAACTGCTTTTTCCTGGTGGAAGTATAATTATCTTGATTACTAGAAGTATCTAAAATTGAAATTTCGTTATAGCTAGTACCTTTACGGAATACTTTGACATAAAGTTCTTCCACTGCTGAGTCTAACTCTTCAACAAACTTATGATGAACGTACTGTAAAATGAGAGAAGTTTTACCAGTTTGTAATTCTCCAATCACGCAAATATCATATTCATTATTTAATGAGGTTAAGCTATTTTCAAACTTACTCATTTTACTTACTATTAAAGAAAAAGTATTAAAAGAAATCTTTAGGAAATCCAGAAGAGGAAATCACCCCCATTTATATATATGTATACGTATTGTCAAAGTCTTATTTATTTCTTTTTCTGCATTCATATTTAAAAAACGATTTGCGTTTTCCACCTATAAGTATGTAAAACTACTTAGTTGAAAGTACCCCAAAAAGAACCAAGAACAATGCAATGGCTTAGTATGTCAATACACCTTCAAGCGAAACGCAGCCCGTCGCCCAGCTGTCCTGAGAGGTAAATAGACCTACTACAAGTGTCTGAAAACTTTTAGCACTGTACCCAGTTCGCTCATCACTATTTATGATAAGAAGAATTTCAGAAGAACATTTCCTGGGAAACAAAATCCCCCCCCAAAACACAGAAGAACTTTAAGCAAACTGTCTAACATCACCGAGTACACAAAAGCCTCAACCTACCCAGTTCCATTTTGTTCTTTTCTTCTTAGAGGGAATGTCACTTGCGGGAGTCGATGTCTTCTTCGGGACTTATTGAGATCATTTTTCTACAGATTGCTAATCCAGATGATCATGGTGTTGTATGCCTTGCACGGAGCAACTGTTTGTACCCAACTCTTCCAACCCACCCCTCCAGGGAAAACTACTCTGGTTTCCCGAATTACTCAGGATTGTGTTCTGGGCGATTGGATACGTCCTACCAATAGGGGTTCATTTCAGGTTTCCTCGTTTAAGTATACTCATTCTTCGTGCTACCCTTTCCCATATCGTTGTGGTCTTTTTGACACCTGTGCACTGCCCCATGGTTTCTCCGGTTATCTCTCTTCAGCATTCCCTAGCTGATTTTCCATTTGCAAAAAGAATTTGAAAATCTTTCCACTTTGCCAAAAGAAATAGAAACAAAGCATCGAACAAAAAAAGAAACGTCAAAGGTAAAAATAAAACCGTTTTTAATGCTGCTGTCCTGCACGCAGCTCGGTTTTTTGGTTGCTTTTTCTTTCTTTTTTTTTTTATTTTTTTTCTTTTTGCTTATTTGCAAAAAGGTTTGTGTCATATGCACCAAAACCGTTTTTTGTTGGTTATATTCTTTTTTGGTTTAAGTTTTACAATATTTTTTTGGTGTTTTTACAATATTTTTTTGGTGTTTTTTTTTTGGCGTTCCCTATAATCTTCTGATTTGTCCTTTATCGAGATCCGGAAAATTGCCATTTCCTACAGTCAGGGTACGTGCTTGAGACAGGAGAATCGTGTAAAGGAAATAGTATTTATTTATGGTACAATTATATAATTAAGTATAATCTTCGTCTTCGGAATCCAAGTATTGAGCATAGTCTTCGGTGGATGCAAAAACCGGTAAGCTCTTTAATTTGGCCTTCTTAGATTTCGGTTTGGATTTAGTGTCTTCAGTTTGTTTTCTAGAACGTTTTTTAGACTTTGTAGAAACTTCTTCAGCGTCTTGATCTGATTCTTCTTCTTGTTGATTTTGAACAAAGTCAGCTTCATCTCCGATCATTCCCGGCATTTCGTCACTGTCATATTCATCTTCGTCTTTTGCAGCAAACATGCTGGCTTCTTCTTCATCAAAGTCACCCTCATCTTCGCCAGCTTCGTCTTCGTCTTCACCAGCTTGTTCTTCTTGTTCTTTGTCATTTTCTTCATCGTCACTCAAATCGGAAAAGTCTTCCTCATCAAAGTCAGACATTTCTAAATCGTCATCTTCTTCTCCGTCATCTTCAACTTCTGGTCTAGATTTGACCAATGCTTGCCAAACTTCATCGTCATCCATACCTTCTCCTTCTTCGTCTTCGTCTTCGTCTTCGTCTTTAGCTTTCTTTTGAGCATTCTTATTCCTTATTTTATCACTCTTGGTAGTGAAATATTGGAAGAAAAATTGTTCATCTGGTTTAACTTCTTCAACCTTCTTGGTGAGCCAATTTTCAGTGTTGACTGGTACGTCTTTATTCAAAACATTGGTAGCCTTAACTAATAAAGATCCGGTATGGGCACCTCCTAATGGTTGCATGATACTTTGACCTTTAGTTGCTGGTGCTTGTTTGGAATTTTTATACACAAATCTATCCAAAAAGTGAGATAAACTAAACAACCCTAAATCAGGTTTTGGTTGAGATTTACCTTCTAAAAATGATGATGCATAAATTGATACAGTTGGATGGTAATGACTTAAAAATTGACCTAACTCCCATAATGATGAATTATCTGCATTAGCAAAACTTGGATCACGTTTACGTGAATCATATTCACCTTCACTTTCTTTCTTCTCAACGTTACCTTCAATTATATCTGGTCTAGCCATTGGTTCAACCATTAATTCTTGAATTTGGGGATAGGTTTTACTTAATTCCATTAATAAGTATAACATACCGGCAATAGCACCAACGTTTAACCAATGACAACATATTTGTAAAATTCTTTTAACAAATGCTAAAACTCTTGGAATATTGGCAACATCATTCTTCAATGATTTGAATAATAAGTTAAGATAAATACCTTGTTTTGAAGAATTAACTAATCTAGGATCTAATAAGGATTCATATAACGTACGATAATAACGATCGTTATTTAATTTTTGTTCAGTAATAATATGATTAATCAAAACTAAAGATTGAATCGAAGTATTAAAATTGGTTGAATGAGTAATTTTGAACAAAGTATCCAAATGTTTTTGATAAATATCATTTGATAAATTAGAGAATGGGAATGCACGATTAAGACCAGTTAATAAAGCAGAGAATAATCTTGAATTTTTTTCATCAATTATTTCATTTTCACTTTTTTCTTGAGGTTTTACTGAAATACCACCTTTCTTACCCTTTTTAGCATTCTTACGATTGTTTTTACGACCCTTTTCAGATTTTCCTAATTCCTTATTATTGGTCTTATCTTCTTTGTTGAAAGAGTCACTTTCAACTAAAGTTTTTTCGAAAAGAGCAAAATAAGTCTTGATTAAACTGTTTGCTAAATCTTCTTCACTTCTAGTTAGAATGGTTTGATTCAATGCTAAAATTGAATAATATTTGGCATGATAATCACTCTTTGTTTGGAAAACAATATCTATAACTGCATCAACAATAACTTTTTTCATTGCTGGATGAGCTTGTTCTAATTGTAAAATAAGATATGATGCCTTTGATGCAACTTTATTATCAATGTCACCTAATTTGTTAACACCTAATCTTAATAAGTTAACTTCTTGTTCAGGCTTTGCTTTGATTAAGTCAAATAAATGATTTAAAACATTCATTCTAACGTGTAAAACTGGATCATGACTTAAAACTTCTAAAATACTAATTAATTTGAAATAGGCTTTTTTCAAATAATCTTCAAAATAATAAAGAGCCAAATGAGTGTTTGTTAAATCTTTTCTTAAAGCTTGTTTGTTGAAAGTTAATAATTTACGATCTGGTAATACTCCATTTAATAATAAATCTTTTAATGCATTGATTGCTTGTAATGCAGCAGTTCTTGATTTTTTTTCACAAAATCCCAATAAAGTATCTAGAGCCTTTAAATTATGTAAAGGAGCTTCTTGAATTAATAAAGTTAAAGCAGAAATTTTATCATTTAAAGTACCATCACTTAAAATTTGAGATAAAAACTTCTTTTGACTGTTGTTTGAAGTGAATTCGGTTAAGTAAGTCTTATTTTCTTTTTCAACAATTTCTTTAGCTCTATCAAATAACCTTTCAACCCCAAATCTATCCAATTTTTCCGGTTCTTGTACTGGATCGTATTCAACGTTATACCAATCCGTACGACCAGGAATTGATAATTTTGCGCTATCGACAGATGCTAAGTTAGTAACTTTATTTGAATCTGGTTTCTTGATTTCCTTCTTATTCAATTCAGCTTCTTCCACTTGATCATCTTCATCAGATTCTTCTTCTTCAGATGACTTATCTTCTTCTTCGGAAGATTTATCTTCTTGCTCGTCGTCTTCAGAACTTTCAACTTCTTTTTCTTCAACAACAGCGTCATCTTCTTTTTCTTCAACCAAATCAGGGATTTCTTCTTCTTCTTCAACAACTTCAACATCTCCGTTACCAAGACCAATACCTTGCATGAATTTGGCAAGATCAGAATTAAAACTTTTATCATCAGTAGTACCTTCGTCGTTGAATTCTTCTTCACTATCGTCACCTTCTTTAACTCCTTTGAGCAAAGCCAAGTCTTCTTCAGTGGCACCTAAGGCCAATGCTTCACGACGTAAAATGTCATCTTCTGATTCACTTTTTGGGGCACTTTCTTCCTTTTTCGACTTGGATTTTGTCTTTTTAGACTTCTCTTTGGGTTTGTTTTGCAACTTGCTTGATATCTTATCTTTCAAAGATGTCAAATTAAGTTTCCCGGAATCCATCTTGGTCTATATACCGAGTAAAAGTTGCAAATGAAGTTACTTTATGAAAAATCAAGTCTTCTCATCTATTTTTTTTTTTTTTTTCAGTATCCTCATCTCTAATTTTTTTTTGTTTTTTTTTTTTTGTTTTGTATGGCGCTAGATTGACTCTCACACGTCTTTTGTGAAGGTATAACCGGATATTCTTATAGATTTGCAGCTTTGTATAGTGAAGAATGGACCTTAGAGCAGTGTTAGCAGATCGCATATGCTGGGGGCAAGTGAAGACAGAGTAATTGTTGTATAAGAAAGATATAAAAATTGGCCGTTGCATCTTTTTGACCCATGCAAGAACCGAATAACTGGTGCTGATATCCAAACTGTTCCGTGTTAATCAGTGTCAAGTATCCTTATTTGACCATGATGTAAAATCTTTGGTTAAACAGTAAGGATAATTGACAAACGATACATTTTGTGGAAGCATTGGACCATGACTCCAAGTTAAGGGGTTTGCTTGTTACTCATCTACAGTTTACATATGCTTCGTAGTGATCCTCCTCAGAAGGTACTTGGAGCCATTCGACCTGGCAACCGTTAGTGAATAGTCGACATCACCCAACGAGTCTATGAACACCCTAGCTCTCAGTAGATTAACACGAATTCAGTAACCCAGCAGCCCAGCATGTACCAGTAACTATGAACAATTATGAAGTAGTAGCTATGATCTAGTACGAACCAGTATATCCAGTATGAACTAGTAGGATCCAGTATGAACTAGTAGGATCCAGTATGAACTAGTAGGATCCAGTATGAACTAGTAGGATCCAGTATGAACTAGTAGGATCCAGTATGATCCAGTACAAACCAGTAATCAGTTAAGTCCCTAGCTTAGCTCAACCGGCCAACCCAATATCCCCTTTTATCAATGCCGTCTACCCCAAACCATTGTTGGCTCCATCCCAGTGGAGGAACCTCGTAGTTCATCCGCCTGTGCCCCTCGAAAGGCCCCGGTTGTCCTGCCAGAGATGATCCGGGGCAAAGTGGAAAACGCATGATTTTGTCATGGATCTCACCGTTTTCTGGGGGCTTCTCCGGCCAAATGTTTTTCCGGGGGTCGGAAGTTTGTTTTTCCCATTGCCTTACGGATCAATAAGAGCAATTAAGTCAGGTGAGAATAATATATATAAAAGCTGGATGTTCTGCCCCGAGCGTGGTATAGCTTATTCTTTTGGAGATTATGACTTCTGCTATAGACGAGGGCCAAGTATGGCCGTCGAAGGAATCCACAAATATCCAGCAATACTCGAACTTTACGTACGATAGACCTTGCAATTATATTTTATCTAAGACGAAACTAGGAGACGGTTCGTATTCCAGTGTTTTTGAATGCAAGAATAAGATCACCGGGATGCATTATGCTGCCAAACAGTATAAGAAAAGACTAGTGTTTGGATTGGAGACCATGCTACAAAATGAGTTTCAGGTTTTAAAACAAGTATCTAATGCCCATCCAAACGTATTAACCTTGATTGATTACTTTGAAACGTGTGATTCATTATATCTAGTGACGGATTTGGCTTCAGGAGGGGAGTTATTTGATAGAATAGTTAATCACCCGGACTCAAAATTACCCGAAGAACAAGCCATTAGCATAACAAAGATTTTGGTTTCCACCATCCGGTATCTTCATTCAAATAAGATTGTCCACCGGGATTTGAAGGCAGAAAACTTGCTCTTCCAACTGAAAAACTCAAAAAATACTTCAATCTTGGTGGCTGATTTTGGTTGTGCTAGAATCTTACAAAATAATAATGATACCCTTAAAGATATCTGTGGTACTCTCAGCTATCTAGCCCCAGAAATGTTATCTTCGCAGGCAAAATCTGCCGGTCATAGTTTCCCAGTTGATATGTGGGCTTTAGGAGTAATTGTCTATTTCATGCTTTGTGGTTATATGCCCTTTGATTGTGAAACTGATGATGAAACCAAACAAGCCATCTTAAACGGCGATTACCTGTTTGAGCCTCCAGAATACTGGAATCACATATCCCAAGATGCTAAAGACTTCATCAATCGTTGCTTGGTGGTTGATCCAAAGAGAAGATTGACTGCTGACGCAGCAGAACTTCATCCTTTCATCAATGATCTTCCCTCTTTGGAAGTTTCTTCCCCAATAAATCATCTGCTTTCAAGCTCAAGCTTGAAAAAAACCGGGTCAAGTAATTTGAGCTTGACTTCCAAGTTAAAAGAATCAGTGTCTAAACTCCAACAGCAACAATTACAACAACAATTGCATAAGGATAACCAATCATTCTTACAACCCACTCCGCTTCTTTCACCAAGAAATGCAAACCATAATCGCTCATTACTGCCAAATAGAAATGATTTTTATAATAATAACCTTTCTTCATTGCTAGAAAAATCCCGGGCCAAATCCGTATCCGAAGACTGTACTTTAGAAGGTGATCGTTGTGTTTCTCCAGACTTATGCTCCCGTTTCACCACTCCTACTAGCTCAACTACAGTTTCTAGACAACATCTGTTTAATGACATGTTAGACTTAAATCCTAAAAAATCAACTCTAAAAACTAATAGTAACGCTAACTTAACAGAATTCTTCTTATAAAGACTTTTGTTCAATTCACTTCTATGTATTAATATAATTCTTTTCTATTTATTAATATAATTCATTTTGTCTTCTTAATAACAATCTCAGTATTTTCATTTACTTCACTGATATTTTCTTCAACCAATTTACTAACATCCTTCATCCCTTGCTCAGTATCGCTCAAGTAATACAAGAATATTGATACCCCAACTAAGATCAAGTTAGGCAAAAATGGGAATCGGTCATTGTTAGTACGATCTTGAATGGCTGCGTTCACCAATGAACCAATCCAGCCAGTAGCCACTCCCAACATCACTTCCAAACCAAAATACTGAGCCTCTTCTCCCTCGGGTAATAAGGTACTATACAAAGTTCTATTCAATGACCTCTGCGCAGAACTGGTGGCAGAATATAATACTTCAAAAACCCAAAACTCCCATCGATGCTTAAATCCAACTTTGGTTTTGGAATTTATGCCTAAACACCCCCAGAAATTAGTAAATAACGAAAATCCTAAAAATCCATAACCCCAGGTTTTCATCTTTATTTGTGTTCTGGGATATAAAAACATCCAGGTAAGTGAACCTAATGAAGCAGTAATATATGAAATAAATGTATATACAGTGTACTCACTATCAGAAGAGCCTAGCCCTAAAGTCGACCTGAATAGTAAAACAAACACACTCATGAAGTTGGTAAAAGTTACATTCCAAATTACCCAGGAAACACAATATAAAAATGCATTAGGATACTTTTTCATATTCTTCAACAATTGGAAAAACCGTTTCACCGTTAAAAAGACTAAATTTTCAGATTTGGGTCTAGGTTTATTCTCAACGCTTGGAATGAAATACCCACTTACTATGGAGAATACAACCGTTATACAACCTGCAATCGTTATGGCTAATAAAAAATTATGGTAACCATCTTCCATTGGACCCCCTCTACCGTATGATATGATTATTCCAATCAATAAAGCAGTGAGCCCTCCTAAGTTACCCAAGAAAAGACCCATGACACTTACTGTAGAGCCTCTTTTTAAAACCATCTCACGGCGTACCTCTTCAGCATACTCACCTGGTGGAGCCGAAGCTCTCATGAATAGTGGTATGTAAGAGCCTTCCAAAATTTGATAAATAGAATCATCTATGTTAAGTAAAGCATACAATGCACTCAAACCTTTCAAAGTCGAATAATCCTTATTGGTTAATCCTGCGAATGGTAATGCAAATACACCGTAAGCAGCAATCGAACCAATTAAAAGCCATTTTCTATAGTTAGCGTAGTCAGCAACTCCCATCATGAAGAAAGCTAATAACCCTTCTAACGCAGTATAAATGGCTCTTAAATATAAAACATAGGATGTATAATGAACCTTACCAACACCAAATTTAACGTAACAGTCGTTTCCTCTAATATCACACCTTCCGCCGCTTGAACTCTTACCTACGAGTCTGGCAACAGATTGTATTGCAGCAGGAACATAAGTCCTGGACATGGAAGCAACCGGACCTGTTGTATAGCAAAGCAAAAGCCAGGAGCGATATATACTAGCTTTATTCCACACTGATTCTGCTTCAACTGTCTCTGCTTCTAAGCTTTCGACATCATTGCTTAAAGTGGAATGATAGCTGTTTGTGTTGTTTGCTTTCATCTGGGGGCCCTCCTGGTTATTTCCAGTATCTTTTGAAATATTCGACATGATTGACTATAATGATTGAAGGTGGGTATTCTGGCTTGGGATTGAAGAGTATATATACAAGACTAATTTAAAGATTAACTCTTAACGAAAGGAAGAACATTAATTGATTTTCCTTCAAATAAATCATACGTGAACACTCCTTCAATGAGAGCATTTTTCAAACACATATTTAGTATTCTTTTATGCCTATCGAATGGTTTCTTACAGTGAGCAATTTTTCGCAGTATTTATCTTTTTTTTTGCAACCTCGAAATTAAACTATCTATTGTTATTTACATGCATAAGTAATTAGGTTTTGAGTGCAATTCGCTTATTCATCCACTTTGGTTGGAATAATAGCTCATACCCTTGTCAAATTAGACTCTCTTTTGCGTCTCCAGGCTTCCCCCCGACATAAAATTAGAATGGTTAGTCCGACACAAAGTAAATCCACAATTGCCAATCCCGTAAAACACCAACCAAATCCCATTTTCTTAATTAATCTTTCGATAATGGCAGATGAAATTGCAGCAGCGGCATTTCTCATAAGGTTCCCAACTGCAACATAAGTAGCTGGCTGACCCGCTGAACACTCGGTCAAATAGGTGGTGTTACTTACGAAGACCCATGTCATACCAAAACCAATCAAAAAAGTGAATACAAATACAGCGACAACATGAACTTTATGATCAACGCACCAACCATAACCTAAAATACCAGCCATGGATAAAGCGATTCCAAAAGCTTGCAAAGACAACCTTGACTCTGGCAAATACGAGTCAGGGTTTTTCTTTTTTAAATATTGTCTCAAGTTATCGGAGATTCGACCTCCACTAAGTGAGCCGCAAACCAAAGAGATACCAGGACAGATATACGATAAACTTGCTTGCAAAGAAGTAAAGTGATACTGATTTTGTAAAACTCTGGAAAAGGTTATACTTTGGGCATAGAAAGAAGAAAACAATAAGCCACCCATCATGGAACAAAGTAAAACAGGAAAATACGAAACGACATTCCAGTAAGTTTTGAAACTGGGCTTAGGTGGACGGGGAAACTTGGGGCTCTCTTCAATAACCTTCTTTTGAACTAATCGAGGAATAACAAAATATCCTTGACTATATATTTGGCCATCACCAACCAAATACCTTAATGTCTCTGGTAAACAAAAGAGTATGAGAAAGAAAACAATTGCACCAAGGATAGCAAGAAATCCAAAAATCCATCTCCAGTCACCGTTAGAACTAATAAGACTTAAAATGGGACCGAGGATTGGTCCCAACTGAGGACCAAGCATAAAGTAAGAAATAGCTTTGGCCCTATTCTTGGGTTCAACAACATCGGCAACGGTCCCAGCACCTACTGACATAACACTTGACACCCCGAACGCCTGTAAGATTCTTAAGAAGAAAAGAGCACCAATGTTAGCAGGAACTGCAGCTAATAAAATGTTTGCGACAATATAAATAATTAAAGATACCAAATACAATGTCTTTCTGCCCCCAAAATCTGCCCATGAAGCCCAAAATATTGGAGCCAAAGCAAAAACGGCCATGAAAACTGAGACTGTTGCATTTATTGTCGTTGCAGAAACTTTGAAAGCCGCTTGTAGCTGAGGTAAAATTGGAATATAGATATTTCCAGAAACTGGACCCAAAAAACCAGCAATTGTTACCAAAAATAAAATGAATTTCACTCTATTTGGTGTGAATGCAGTATACTTAGGTACTGATTCCGATACCGCAACTGGGTCCCCTGAGTCGAGGCTCGAATACTTTTCACTTCCATTGGCCAGTTTAGTTAATTGTTTCTCTTGCTGGGACATCTTGAGCTGTTTGTGTTTCCCAGAAAGAAGTTAATGCCATCAAGTTGAAACACATGCCTTTTATACCAATTCTACTTGTTTCATTCTCAAAATTAACTACATTAGAGTATGCCGTACTATCATTGTTTATTACAAAGTTTTTCACGTTTGTTTATTGATTCGAATATGAGCAAATTCTAATACTTAAGCAGACTAAGTTTTAGAGCCTTCGCATGAGCATAATAAAATTCCAAATCTGTTTTTTTTTTGCAGCTAATTGTGCACAATAAAAAAGTTTATTCTCGTAAACTTTTGAACTTCAAGCTTAGCAGCAATGGGCATATGGGGCCAGCTGGAGTTAACTGTTCTTTCCAAGACTTATCCAATGATACTTCGAAACAATCGACAATCTTAGCAAGAGCAATTTTTGTTTCTAGTAAGGCAAACTTTTCCCCAATACATGCTCTGCTCCGTCCATGGAAAGCAGGCAATTTACTGGTTCTCTTAGCTTGGGAAAAATTACTTTGAATGTCTTCTAAAGTAATTCCCCATCTGCCTGGCTTAAATTCATTGGCATCAGGACCCCATACCAGTATGTCTCTCCCTGTGCCAAAGTTATTGTACCCAACGTATGTGCCTCTTGGAATGTTTATACTATCCCCCATTGTTGTCCTGGAAGTAGTACATCTATTTATTATTTGACCCAAGGGTGGATAAAGCCTCAAAGTCTCGTACATAATTGAGTTCAAAATCGGTAAGTCTTGGAAAGCAGACCAATGTGACTTGTCCCCCAAGGATTGAACCTCTTCACGTAGCTTCGTTTGGTACACTGGATATTTTGCAATAACATACAAAAGCGAAGTTAAAAGCAACTGTGGGTTTTCGTGGCCTGCTACCATTGTGATGATAACATTATCGGTGAATTGTTTTGCCGTGATTTCGCCGGTTTCAAAGGCCCTTTGTAACTTGTGGCCAGCAAAGGTATGAGAGTCTTCATTCTTGTTTCGTTTGACTAGCTCACAAAAATATTTCCTGAAAGCATGAACCTCTTTACGAGCATCTAATCTGCTTGGGATTGGAAGTCTGTCTAAAATAGGAAAGTTTAGGTAAATAGGATTGAAAATTTGTTTCTTCACAAATTTTATGCGTTCATGAAGTTCTCCAGCCTCGGAAGCAATTGCATCAGGTTTAATGCCTAACACACACTCACAAATGTTTTCTAAGCAGAATCTTTGAATCTTGTCACTAACATTCAAAGCTTTGTCTTTGTTGCCCACTTCCTTCCTAATTGATTCAGTAAACTTCTCAGTGTTTTTCAAAACCGGCTCAAGTTGTGGAAATTGAATGCTCTGCGTCATTATCGACCTATACAATTTCCATTCTTTTCCATGAGAACTAATTACATTGTCACCAGTATAATCTGCCAAAACAGAATAAGGTGTTTTCTTTTGGTTACCACTTTTGGCAAACAATTCTTCGTTTTTGAAAATTGTTTGCAAATATTCGGGTCTTGTCACTAAAATGTTCCATCTCGAGGCAAAATAAAGCTTAACCGCACCATATTTCTCGAGCTTTTCTCTTAAATACTTGTTATATATTTCCTCTTGGTCGACGGAAGTCAATACTGGGAGAAGGGAAACGTAAAACGGCACTGTGGGAATACTTCTAGGGAAATTCAAAGGTGGGAAAACCGTCGTAAGCACAAAATACCCAATAGTTGCGAATAATAAAACCAAAATAATTTCAAACAGCAACATTATGACTATGGCAGATTTGGCCAATTCCTTTTGACTACTCTGACATGGAAGAGTACCTATATATCTGTGTTTTCATCGGAAGGTATTACGAAACAAAACCGCTATTTTTATGTTACTCTGCATGAAGTTGCAAAATTCCAGGCACAAATTCTGGCATACAAAAAATTTCAAAAGGAAGTTTTTGTAAGTTTATAGTTTCAAGCTTTGTAAATTTTGATCCGTTTATATGCTTTCCGGAAAATTAGCTCATTTCTGTTTTAAAATAAACTACCAACGGTGGCTAGTTAAGACTTGTAGTTCAGCTAATGAACAGGAGCTTCTCTTCTGAGAAACCTACCTGAGAGTAATAGGTATATATATATATATGTGAATCATATATTCCATTCACTTTTCTAGTAGTTTTGTTCGAGTAGTTATTTCGTTAGCAAATTCATCTAATATGACCACTTCTGATCTTGAAAACCACCATAAAACAATATTTGAGAAAATCCATTGCTTGTATGCCAGGAATAAGGATAACGTGTTATCCAAGAGAACCTTCAAGAAGGAATATTCTTTGGAGGAAATTATAAAATTAGTCAACGAGTTGGAACTAGATGAACAAGACGGTTTACTCTTTAGAGTGAACAATGAAGAATCGATTGTGTGGGAAATGGAGTTGAAGAACCAAGATGTTTTTGTAGGGGTAATCACTGACAATGACATGGGAGAATATCTCGAAGTTTGGTTCATCCGTTTGATACTTGACAACAGTAAGATTTTCCTCTCGCCTGTTGTTAGGGGTGATGTTGAGAATCTCAAAGAATTGATTGCAACAACTTTTGAAGAGCACTTGAAATACTCGACAATTGGCGAAAAGTGGAATGAAGGGGGGAAAGATTTATTCAAAGAGAATGTCGGTTTCTTTGTTTCCAAAAACTTGCCCATTGAGGCTGTTTTGCCTGCTTTTCCTTGTAAATCATCTAACAAGGATAAAGTTGCCGGTTGGAAGCCTGATAAAGGGGAAGAGTTGAGTTTAAAGAAGATTATTAGTTTTGCCCAAACTATCAAGAAAGTGTATGAGCCTGGTATCATTGTTTGGATTGTGAGTGATGGACATGTGTTCAGTGACTGCATTAATGTCGATGATAACGTTGTGGATGAATACGGAGAGGAATTAAAGAAGCTTTATACTGCTAATAAGCCACATGATCTTGATTGCATCAAGTTTGCTGCTTTAAAGGATATTTTCAAAAGTAATACTCTAGAAACGGTGGAAAGATTTTTACACGGGTTTGAAATTCTTTATCACCTTGATACCAAGATTGATAGAACAACTGAAATTTACAGAAAACTTTTGATCAAAACTTGTGATGTTGAATCCAGAAAGCTTCAAAATGATATCAAAACTCCAAATCACCCCCGTTTAAAACTTTATAGAGGCTTTATGAAGTTTATGGAAACCGATCTTAATAATACTGGTTTAGTCCAGCAAGTTTCAAGAAAGAAGTTCAAGAAGATTGTATCTCAAGTTGCGTTTGAAATGATTAAAAGAAACGACGCTTATTCCAACTTGGTTGAACTATTTTTCCCTTTCCATGTTCGTTTTTCGATTCATGCCCATAATAACTCGGGTCCGAAGTTTGCTGTCTCTTTGTTACCTAAAAGTTCTTGTAAAACCCTTGAATCTTTAGACATTGATAAGAACAATGTTCTTGTCGTTAAAAAGATGGATGATTATTTACACATTCCCACCCCCTGGCACAACTCTGTCTTACAGGTTGAGGGAATTGAAGGATATATCATCGACCAAGCTGGCTCGATTCGTAGTCTTATAGCAAGCAGTGGTCTTCAAGGTTCATGGAACGAAGCTGAAAGCTGCTATCAATTGTCTAATACTGCTGTCAATAGGTTTTAATCAACTGTTGTTTTGAAGGTTATTTTCGCAACATTTGGTTGCAAATTTCCAGAAAAAAAAGGAGTTTTAGTAGAGCCAATAAACCACAAAATATGTCTACAACACACACTGTTTGATTGTATATAAGTCGTTAAATTTATCATAATATATATGTATATGCAAGTTAACCAAAGAAATCCACGCTTAAGGGGCTTTCTTTATAAACTAACCAATTAAGATAAACTGAAACTGGTTTACCATTGAAAACTTGCTGCGAGGAGCCATCCTTTTTCAATACTAGTAAATCATTAGCATTAATATGAACTCTTGTATCAGTATTAGCAAGGAAAACATTTTCAATCTTGTTGATCTTGGTGCATCTCACTTTTGCACAAACAAGGTATTTCCCAAGAGAAGTAGCTTTCTCAACAATATGTGTAGGATAGTTTTTTGATTCAATGGGACGATGTTTAGCTTGCATTTCCAAGATACCGGAAGGTGCAGCAAAATATGGATTGGCATACGACTCAGGTGCCTGAGACAAGTGCTGATGGGTCTTAAGTACCATTTCGTTGATGTTTTCTTGAACTACAACAAAATTATACTTATTGGCCTTGTACCATTCAATGAACGTCCTAATGAAGTTACTCGCTTGATCAGTTATCTTTGTCCCAATTGTGATGTTTTGATAAGATACTCTGTTTAGAATATCTCTTGTAATTTCAAAGTAGCCGTTATTCTTGCCAACAGCGGCGACCAGAGCATTTTGAGCCGGCGAGCTTTTAATCACACTAGAAAGGGTCGATATCTTCACTCCCATGCTACTGCTTGAGACATCGTTTTGAGCAGAACGCGGAAGTGGTTGTTTGTGAAACTCCATAATTTGGTTCTTTAAAACTGACTTCATTGGATTGCTCTTTAAGGAAGAGTCGAGGGATTGGGGTGGTACCAGCTTCGTGATCTTGTGGATTTTGGATATCGGTAGTTTTGGCCTTGAGTGGCTTAGCGCCAAGTTTGACTTGTCAGCAAGAGGCACTCTTTTCTGGGGTCTTTGAGTACTTTCAGCACGTTTGTTAACTATGTTTCCATTTCTTATAAAGTTAACTCTATTCCTTTGGTTTCGACGTCGCTGTATATCTAGGCGCTGGAAGTCATCTAGTTTCTCCTCCCTCTGTCTTCCCGAAAGCTGAGAGTACAAGTCAGGTCGTGACTTATCGTGAGCTTCTCCAATCATTTTGAAAATCTTTCGAATACTTGATCTTGTTGATGTTTTTCAACCATTCACAAACACAAGTCTTCTTCCACTTAAAGTTATGTAAATTTTTACTTCAGCAATGCCAAAAAACAGGTATATAACCAAGGCTAGTCGACCAGTTGCGATCCTCTTGGGGAACTGTATTCACAGCAGTTGTTTATAATTTGAAGTAGTTGATACTTTGAATATGTGCAGGTGCACTATCATCACTTTTTCATCGAAACTTTTCAGAAAAGCAAAGCAGATAAGCTTGCTTTTATAATATACTAAACTAATTTGGATCATTGTATGATAATCAAGTTTATTGTCTTGTTATCATTAATAAATCTACTACTTTTTGTTGATAAGCCATCAATTTGTCAATTTTTTCGAGTTAATATGTCTAGCTGGGACCAAGTCAAGATTGCTTTCAATCCAAGATCAAAAGGATGTTACTTGGTAACAAATGAAGTGGTGGATAAGGTACCACAAATTAAGGATTATGAAATTGGTCAATTGAACTTGTTTTTACAACATACTAGTGCAGCCTTGACCTTGAATGAAAATTGTGATCCTGATGTCAGAGAAGATATGGTTACTTCGCTCGATAGAATAGCCCCAGAAGGAGATTTCTATATCCATGCTGATGAAGGTCCAGATGATATGCCTGGTCACGTTAAGAGTGCTACTGTCGGGGTAAGTCTTACAATTCCAATTTCTAATGGTAGATTAGCCACCGGTACTTGGCAAGGTATTTATTTATGTGAATTTAGACATGCAAGACATCAAAGAAGAGCTGTTGCCACTATTAACGGTGTTAAGAGAAAGTAAAATCTCTTTTAATTAAATTATTTATTTATTTTTCCCTTCGTAAACTTGAATACTATATTCCTTAAGAATCAAAGACTTTTCATTTTCTAAGGACTCCAATTTTGTAGAAAGTTCTGTAGTGTGTTTGAATAATTCATCATTGACTAAATTCCACCATCCATTATGCTTGGAGCATTTTCTTCTATCCTTGATACATAATTGTCCATTAAAGGAATCACCGTCCTTATTTTGTTCGTAGTAGGCTATTATATCATCTATTTCCTGCTTAAAGTCTTGGTATATATCTTGCGAGTCAATTAGCGGTAGATATTTCGAGGAATCGTTCAGTTCTAGCGTTTGTGATAACTGTTTATCATAATAACACAAGTCTATTTTCTTTGCTTTGGATTTTTTCGATTTCTTATTAGTGGTTTCAGATGCGTCTTCTCCTTGCACTTGAGATAGCTTATCGTTTATGATCTTAATTCGCTCTTTTAGCCTTAACAAGTATCGACTCTTGATTTGACACAAGCTAAGCTTTTGATTAATTTTTTCAACTCGTTCATTCTTCTCTGATAAGTCTTTTTTGATATATTCAGGGAATTGGCCAGACTCCTTGTTTGACTTGAACTCAATTACTTCCGGTAATTCGGGGAAACTCGAGCCTAACTTGTCTAACTTTTCAAGGTCGCCATCAATAAACACCAAAGTTGATTTTATTTCTTCGCTTTTAATATCCCCAATGGTCTTATCACAATCTAGTAACTTTGTCTTTAAAAAGATTATTCCATGCTCTTCACAACAGTATTTGGACTTGGAATCAGCTCTAGCCGGCTCCCAACACCAATCAAGTCGGCATTTCCTTTTCCATTGGGTATATCCGATAGATTTCCATTCACAGAATTTACAATAAAATCTAGCTACCAATTTAGAATATTGCTTATTAAGTTTCATACACTTAAAGTGAAACCATTCTTCACATCCATCGCAAAGAACCATTAACTCCCCTCCGTAGTCTGGTCTTCGACACACACAAAATACTTCTTCACTATTCAAGTTGAATTTGGATGCACCGGAAAACTTTTTGTATTGCTTTGCGATGTCCTCAGAGCCATCTTCATTATCTTCTTGATGTTTGGCTTTCTTCACGTAGTTTATGCTAGGGGATTTACTCTTTCTTTTCTTCACTAAGTCCTGCTCGAGTAGGTAGTCGGGACTAGACCCTTTAGAGTGTTGTAGCAGGTCGGTCTCTTCTTTTAGATCTTTAGTTGAGGGTGCCATTAGACCTTGCAATGTCTTTAGTATGGGTTTATTTAGTTGTTGATGATTTTTCAATCGCACCTACTTATTTTTTTTTTTTGTCAAAAGAATATTAGAAAAACTTTATCAATATATTACAAAACTTTTAGCTTAAAACAGAGTAGAATTATACAAGAGAAAGAGAGGCGAAGAGCAGCTTAATCTTTCATTTCAACATCTTCGTTCTTTTCATCTTCGGCGTTGCCATTTTGATTCCCACTGGTAGAGTCATCTTTGGTGTTCTTTTCAGCTTCTTCATCATCTTTTTGTTCATTATCGGCATCTTCTTGGTCTCTAGATTCTTCTTCTTCTTCCTCTTGGTCATCATCTTCGACGATAATCGTTTTTGGTTTCCATATTTCCAATAAATGATCATCACCAGCAGTAATGAAGACATTTTTCAATTTTGGATGAATGTCGATATCATTTATTCTATTAGTGTGTCCACCATGAACGAATTTTAAACAAGGATCTTCTGCTTGTTTTGCCTTTCTTCTAGAGTTTGTTTCGTTAGAATCATTGGTAGGATAAGTAAAAGGTTCATCTAATTGGTTTAGATCCCATATGATAACTCGATTATCCAACCCCCAAGAGATTAAACTACTTGGATCGTAAATGTTATCCCATTTGATACCAACAACACTATCGACATGGCCGAAAAACTTACGAACCGGTTCATTAGTATTTCTCAAATCATATAATGATACAATATTATCTTTACCACCAGTGGCAACTAATGTAGGAATATCAGGATGGAACAGTATAGAATTTTGATGATGAGAATATCTAATTTGAATAGCAGGTTCATCTTCTAAACTAGAACGAGTATCTTGGATTTGGGCAGTATAATCATTAGCGACCGACCCAAATATACTAGTAGCATTTGCATTATGTGATAAATCATTAATTATTCCATTATGTGATTTGAATAATTGTATTGGAGTTGATGGCTTGGATACGTCCCATAATGCAATTTGAGAATCATGGGCACCGGACAAGAATTGAGATTCTTGGACCCATTCTAAAGCATACCCTTCCTTTTTATGATACTGAAAGTCAACCAGTGGTTCTTCTTTATTAATATCATAAAGATGTATAATCCCCTTATTATCAAAGGTAATTACGTTTTGAGAATTTGGGGATACCTTCAATTGATTAATTTCTCCAGAATGACTCCATGATTTTAATTCCTTAACTGTACTCAGTGGGGCTTCGGAATTTGAAAGGGGGATAGGTATACTATCACTATTTGGTGAAAATTTACTGAAGTCAGGCGCTAAGGTACTTGGTAAGTCAATCGAGCCCAACTTTAAGTAATTGGGTCCCTTTTTGCTAGTTGCATTGGAATTAGTTCCGTATAAAAACCTCACATTCACTTGGTTCTTGTTATCGGAAACTGTATAGTCAGGTAACCATTGCACTGATAAAGATGGTGATTCAAGGGCATGAGAGTAAATGGTATCATATAATAATGGCACCGTTTTCTTCCAAATCTTGAACTCTTCATTAATCACCTTTTCTTTCAATTGGTGTTCTTGAACGATTTCACGTTCCGCAAACTTTAAACTATCTGTATCCAGCACCATATCAACCTTGTCTTCAATAAAATTATAAAGAAAACTAGCTGGGTTTGTTGAAACTTTTCTTCCCATATAATTTTTCTGCTTCGGTCTCGTTTTTACTTTACTTTTGTTCCTTTTCGGTGAGAATTCGGTCTACGATTTACGCTACAGCAGTACTAATGCAAGGGCAAAATTGTTATATCTATTGGTACATACTACTTAATCTATATTAATGGCTAAGATAAGTAAGTGGATGGGCTTGAGATACTAGCTCTCAGAGTGAATGCAAGAAAAGAAATATGTAGATTAGATAACTCCTCCTCCAAGATCATCAACTTCATTAGAATCCTCCGACTCGTCGAAATACAGGCTGAAGGTATACACCGTACCGTAGATCAAAGAACCGCCAATGATGGTCAATACCATTGCTGTCTTGGTTAATATAAGTGAGTGGTGTAGCAATATGGGTAAGTAAAAACCCGATACTAGAAGAAATGCCAGTAAAAACTGACCAATCTCCTTGATAACGTCACCTTGAGAGGACGAGGCAGGATCAAAATTGAAATCGTAGTCCAGCGAGCTGGACACTGCTTTGGTTATGGCCGCAGGCAAATGGGCAATTGCAAATATAATCCCATTTATTATAGGAAACCAGTTCCCATAGATACCGGCCAACACCACCAATAAAAATCCCATGGATAACACTATCGAAAGCCCAATGATCTTATTGAGCGGGTTGCCCTTGAAGGACGTCGTTGAGTTCATTTTCTCTGTATCTGTTTATTCCAATTGTATTCAATTGTTCAGCTGTGAACACTAGTTCTGCTAATCAAGTTGGAAACTGTCACTTTTCACTGCCTTTTCCCAATTTTCCTTTGCTTTCAAAGATCACGACCCGTACACCACGCTAAAACTACTTCCAAAATCCAAATTTGAATTTGATAAAACACCAAAGAAACAGCTACAACACAATCATAAGCAAGGATGAGCCAGTTCCAGGAGATATTGAGGCCCTCGGTGATACCGGCCAAGTCTGTCAAAGTGAGTGGACCTCCAGGATTCGATAGAGAAAACGTACAGAAGAAGAATGCTTCGGTGACGGTTCAAAAACCAGATGAAGAAACCTTGAACGAGTTGAAAGTCAAGAAAGCATGGGAGGTGGCATTGGCCCCGGCCAAGCAGATCCCCATGAACTTGATCATGAGTTATATGACTGGGAATTCCCTACAAGTGATTCCAATCATGATGACCTTGATGTTATTATGGAAACCATTACAAAGCATATTTACCGAAACCAACTCTATGTTTAAGCAATTCAAGACCGAAGGGAACGAGTCAGATATTCTTCTTACCAAGGCCGTGTTTGTTTTATGTCAACTCGGCTCGATGGGGGTTGGAGTTTGGAAATTGAATAAAATGGGGTTGATTCCTAATAGTGAGTCAGATTGGCTAGCCTGGCAAAACATTGTCCAGGTGAAAGAATCGGTGTCTATAATTTGAATTAATATACAACTATATATACAGATATGTAAACTATTCTTTCTTTGCGTTTGCGTCTTCCTTTTGCTCTTCTTTGGAGTCTTTTTCTTCTTTCTTAACTCTTGATAAATCATCTTCTCCCATGTTCTTTTCGAAAATTTGTTGCAAATTGTATTTTTCAAACTTTTCATAATTCGATGCAACACCCATCCCGATATTGGTCTTGAAACATTCCACCAAAATAAGCTTGTCGTATTTCTTCAAATCAACCGAATGCCCGTGTTCTCTACCAACACATTCTGCAATGGTTTTGATGATATCTCCTCTTTCTAAAGTATTGAAATTTCTCTTACTCACCTGAATTGCAAACTTCACTGGCTCTTGTCCTTCAGGCTTATGGAAGTGTGGTGCTAACACTTTGGCTGCTAACTTTTTAACCTCTTCAATTGTTGGTGATACAGAATAGGTGATTGGAGTCAACTTCAGAGTATAACGGGTTGTTTTCTCCTTAGATTCCACACAATCTTTACATATCTTCTCCACTAACTCCTCTGGTTGCACCGGCTTACGAGTCTTGATGAATACAACACACTCACATCCTATTTCGATTGGCTTTAAGAATTCCTTCTTGGATTCGTTGGTTTGTTTCATATCGTTCAACTCCTTTTTGATTTGATCCTCAATAGAAAGCTCCTTATCTTCCTCGTCAGACTGCTCATCTTTGTACTGGTCAAGATCGTAGAGCTGTTCGATCTTATCAGAGAATATGTTCATCAACTCTTTACGACACTGCTGCTCTTTCCCTCTGGCACAAGTTGCATATATCCCACTGGTATTTGGATCAAGAAATCCTCCTGCTTTAAACTTCTTATTCTTGTTGCCTCCTTTATCAGAACTCTTTCTTTTTCCCATTCTGTCGGTTGTCCTGCTTGTTAAGTTCTCTGTTGGTTCATCGAGAAGGACATTTTTCATAGAAAGAAAAAAAAAAAAAAACAGTAGAACACTCATTAAGCAGAATCACAAATAGCTGACTTCACCATTGATCAGATTCTCTTCCATGGAGAAAGCATGCTAGAGGTCCCCGAAAACGTTTGGAACAACATCTTCCAACATGTTGAACCTAAGGATATTTACGCTATGGCATTGACTCTGAAGCTGAATTATGAACAATTAACTTCAAATGGGATTTGGGGAGAAGTTGTCTGGCGTAACTGGCTCAGTACTTTAGACGATTATGAATTACTAAACTCACCGTATCCGCAGGCGGACTATTATCGAATGTTTTGTGAGTTTAGTAAGATCCAAGCCGATTTAGAAGAATACATAAGACTATGCAGACCTTATGAACCTAAGTATAATATTGAAAATATTTTTGAAAGATTTGGTAAGAGGGAGTCTAATGTGGCTGTTGCTTACAATGTTCTTCGAAGATTGAGAGAGAAGCAGTTTGAAGACTATAAGAACATGGAGTCTTATGTTTTCAGAATTGGCTTATTAGAAAGTTTGATGAATTACTTGAACTGTTCCATTTTTTTAAGGAAACTTCTACAAAATATGGATAAAATGACTTCAGCCGATCCCAGAGATTTTGAAAAGTTTTATTTTGATTTGAGTCTTTATGATAAGTCTTTCCATCATCTTGTGAAGAATAGGTCCCAGTGTCATCGAAAAGTTGAGCAAGCTTTGAAAAAGTTCACAGACAATATCGTATATAATGGTTACAAGGGAGTCCGTTTAAATATAGACGATGCCTTCCATCGTATTTTTGTTTTTGAAGATACTGAATGCTATTTCAAGTTCATCCAAACGTTGATCCGAAAGATTCTTTATGTTTCAAAACCTACCGACCAGATAGTAAAGATGTCCTGGGGTTTCAGATACAGAGAAGGCATTTTTCTTCTGAGATACTATAGTGGGTTATGCAAAGGAAACGGTAACTTACTTCTTGCTATTGTTAGTAAATATCTATATAATTTTTTCACAAAGACAAAGATTCATATCATTACCGAAAGTCCAGAACCGTATAATCCTGAGATCATATTGTATGATCCTTTTATTAAAGTTGGAAATGGACATTTATTTTTGATAAACGTTGATCACCCAGACTCTCACGATGTGCCTTTCGTTGAATATACTACTCAAAATAGCTTATCTCAAGCGCTTTCTCTGGGGTGGCATGTTAATTTTTTAAAAGAGCCAAACACTCTTGAATGGGTCATAACATGCTTTTTGCGTGAAACCGCCCTTTGCTACAGTAGTATTATAATGCAATTAAATTATAAAGAATACAATCTATCTCAAGCAAGACTGAATAATATCAAAAAAGTTTTCACTCATCAAGACGATGATACTTATTACCGTATACTTATTGATATTGCTGACTGGCTTGATATCGAAAGATCAGAGTTTGATAAACATGACTTCACCAGGCTTTTCAGGTGTTATCCGTGGGATTTGGATGTCTACATTATAATGAAATGTATAGCCACTATTGGAATCGACCCTTACTTGATAAGCCAGTTGGAAGACATCAAGAAAACGTGTAACTGGTCTCCGGTTGAAGATGGATTCACGTCATGTTTTTCGTTAGATAACATGCGTTGTTCCCTCCTACGCATTGAACCAGAAGAGGAGGTCCTTGAAAATGGTCCTCTTGAAAATGGTACCCTTGTATTCAATCATAAATGGGGTTACAGTGGCATGGTTGTACGTTCCAAAAAACCAGATTATTATTTCGTCTTCACGGAAAAGAACCAAATGTGTGTTTACAATTCAAATTCTCTTTCCAAGATTGGACTAGACCCATGGAGCTTGAACTTGCGTAAAATTTTCTACAACTCGGTCGACATGGGGAAACTAGGTATCCTTTTCAATGATATATTTATATAAGTAGACTTCTATAGACTTAAATTTTGCAATCATTGTAAAACACCCGTACATTTTTGCTACTTAAAACAAATGACAAACAAAAAAAAACTTGCAAATTGGTTCATCTTATAAGTTAAGCTTAATTTGCCATTCAGGGTATACCTTTCAGAGCTCCCACTGAGTCAATATACGCATTGAAAAGCTCCTTGAGACTAACCAATTTATGAGTTGAAAATGTTGGGCAGATCTTTAATTCAATTGAGAAGATCTATCAATCCTCATAGGATAAATACATGCAGAAGATTACACCATCAAGTCATTGGGATTGACTTGGGAACCACGAACTCTGCAGTTGCAGTTGTGGAAGGGAAAGATGCAAGAATCTTGGAAAATGAAGAAGGGGGTAGAACTACACCTTCTATAGTTGCATTTCCGAAAAGCTTACAATCTGGTGATGTCAATGACAATGAAATCTTAGTTGGTCTACAAGCTAAAAGACAGGCAGTCGTGAATCCTTATAATACGTTTTTCGCTACTAAGAGATTGATAGGGAGAAAGTTTGTTGATGAGGAGGTTCAAAGAGACTTGGATAACACCCCTTATCGAATTGTACCTAATGAAAATGGTGATGCTTGGGTTTCTACTCAATCTGGCAAAACATTATCACCTTCCCAGATAAGTGCACATATATTGACCAAAATGAAGTCTATTGCTGAGTCTCACTTTACTGGAGAAAACCAAAAGGTCGAACATGCAGTTGTTACTGTTCCAGCTTATTTTAATGATTCTCAAAGACAGGCAACTAAAAGTGCAGGTCAATTAGCCGGATTGAACGTTTTGAGAGTTATTAATGAACCAACCGCGGCTGCTTTGGCTTATGGTATTGATAAGAAACAGAAGGATGGTATTGTGGCTGTTTTTGATTTCGGAGGTGGTACTTTTGACATTTCCATTTTAGATATCGAAGACGGTGTTTTCGAAGTTAGAGCAACCAATGGTAATACTCATTTGGGTGGTGAAGACTTCGATATCCTTTTATTGAACTACATTATCAATGATTTCAAAGAAAAGACCGGTTTTGATATACTGAAAGACAGATTAGCAGTTCAAAGAGTTAGAGAAGCCGCTGAAAGAGCTAAAATTGAATTATCCCACGTTAAGGAAACAGAAATAAGTATTCCTTTTATAGTTGAGGATAAACACGTTCAAGTTAAATTAACCGAAGACCAGCTCGATGAAATGTCTTTACATTTACTCAACAAAACAATCGACCCAGTAAAGAGATGTGTTCGTGATGCTGATTTGAAACTTAAAGATATCGACGAGGTTATTCTTGTTGGAGGTATGACAAGAATGCCAAAACTTAGAAAAATCGTGGAATCTCTCTTTGGTAAGAAACCAAGTACGGCCGTTAATCCTGATGAAGCTGTGGCATTAGGTGCCGCTATTCAAGGTGCTGTTTTGTCAGGTCAAATTAAGAATGTTGTGTTATTGGATGTTACGCCGTTGTCCTTGGGAATCGAAACCTACGGTGGTATTTTCAGTCCTTTGATTCCAAGAAACTCGGCCGTACCTGTCAAAAAGGAAGCTGTCTTTTCAACTGCAGTTGATGGTCAAACTGGTGTTGAAATCAAAGTTTTCCAAGGGGAAAGAACTTTAGTCAAAGATAACAAATTGATTGGTAATTTCAAATTGTCAAATATCCCTGTCAGCCCTAAAGGAACACCACAAATTTCAGTTTCTTTCGAAATTGATGCGGATGGTATCATAAATGTTTCTGCTACCGATAAGACACCTTATCCCGAAGATTCTCCTCATTATGGTAAACCAAATTCTGTATCCATTCAAGTTTCTAGCGAAACAGGATTATCAGAAGAGGAAATTAAACAATTGATAGAAGATAGTAGCAAAAATTCGAAGACCGATGCAGAGATTAAGAAACATGTTGAAAATGCTACAAGGGCAGATATAATATGTTCTGATACCGAGAATGCTTTACTACAATTTGGTGATTTCATGGAACCAGAAGAGAAAGAGTTGATTTCTCAAAAGGTATCTGATTTAAGGGTCAAAATCAATGATATAAGGGAATACAGAGAATTCCATGATCCTAAGATTATAACCGATGAAGTAAACGACATCCAACAAGTTTGTCTTGAAGCCATCAAAAAAGTTGCCATAAAACAACAGCAAGCTGAAGCAGCTAAGAAGAATCAAAGTTAATGAAATTATGTATATGCACCAGTATAGTTATGTAAATAGATCAACGTATATCTACAATTATTTATTCATGTCGAATTATATTTATTCAGACGAATTTATCTAATGGTACACAATTTTTTATATAACACTATATTAGAGTTATTCATCAGTTTCCATTCTATCTTCATTATTATTGGAGTCTCCACCTTCTTGTTGTTGATCTTGCTGGTTATCTTGTTGCTCGTTATCAGCATTTTCGTCGTCGTCGTCGTCATCTCTATTTCTAGCATTGGAAACTGAGTCTAATTTATCTAACCATTGTTGGACGTCTTCGTCATCGTATATGGTGTATTTAGTTTCCTTCCCAACAATACTAACAGAAGTATTTCTATAAGTCAATTCAACATCTTGAGGTAAAGTATCTCTTAAAGCATTTAAACCATGAACAATCAATTCTTCTGGGGATTCAGTTTCACGAATAGTTTCTAAATTTCTTTCCAAATATGTTCTTGCTGCTTGTGATCTGGCACCAATTGCAGCACCAAAGTATTCCAATACAGAACCAGATGGTTGAAATTCATATAAATGAGCACCAGATTCATCATAACCTGCAACCAAAAGACCAACCCCATAAGGTCTGGAACCATAGGATTGTGTATTTTCTTGCGCTTTATCGGCAATAGAATACACTGCTTTAGAGGTCAGCAATGGTCTATTGAAAATCATTTTGGAGTTCATAGCTTGTTTTCTTAAAAAATTAGATAAAACTCTAGCATCTGGGGCCAAACCTGCTAATGCAATCCCCATATGATCATCAACCTTAATAAGTTTCTTTTGATATGATCCCAATTCTTCGGCATTTCTTTTCAATGCAACCAAAACAACATCTTTCTTCGACACAAGCCCAACAGCGGCACTACCTTGTTTGATGGCCTCTAAAGCATACTCCACTTGGAATAATCTACCAGTAGGTGAGTATGTGACTGAATCGTTATCATAATTATTTCTAAACATCGTCCGCTTCTTCGATCTGTTACAATGTTTTCGTTATTATACGTGGAATACTGATAAATATGACTGGGCGTCTATGCAATTGAGTGCTATTCGGTTATGGAAAAGTTAACAGTTGAAAAGGTTTAAAGAACGCCACCAAATTGAAATCTTTTGATTTTTTTTCTTTTGATGTTTCGAAGAAAACACCCGTACATTTAGTGAAAATCAACTTGAAAAAAAAAAAAAAAAAAATCCCATTACTTGAAAAGAACATTAGCTATTTGAATAAACCAGTTTGAAAAAGAAGAGAACATGTTTGGACAAGGGATAATACGGAGAGCTTGTGGGATGGTACCCAAGGCTGGCAGATTTTCCAGATCAATGACAACCGTGAAACTCCTAGAGCCAGAGGTTAAGGAAGTCAAACCCAAATTAAGTCAGTTCAAAAACCCATTATACCATACTTTCTTAGTTGCGTCATCTGCTTATATCTTTCTTCATACAATGTGGTTTGCTTTGGAGTATGAAGAAGAGAAAAAAAGGCTCGAAGCCAAATCAGAGGCGCTTGAAAAGGAAATACATGGGTTGGTAGAAGAGAAAAAGATGGAACTTGAGTCCAAGAATAGGAGCTGGATTCCAAGGCTTTGGAAATAAAGGACGGGTTACTAAAATTACAATATATTTCGTGTCTAAATACTCGTTAAGGGATACTATATATCAAGGGATGAGATGGTGGATTTAGTAATCAGTATTCTTTTTGAATTTACTACTGAATTTAGCAAATTTAGAAGCAGTGGCTCCAGATAACATGGATTGATTTGTCAGTTCAATGCTATGAACTGAAGAATTAAAAGTATCATCGTGGCCTGAAATATTCATGGCAGCTTCTTCTTCTTCAGTAGGTTGCATTTTAGCAATTAACTTCAAACCGTCTTCAAGCTTAACTCTATCGAACTTTCTCATTCTGAAAGTTGGATTCTTTATGTATTCTTCATAGTTGTCAAGTAATAGTAAATCAATGCATTGTCTTAATTCAGTGAATGTAGATTGTAATGCAACATTACCTCCTCCGGATTGACTATCTTGTTGGGTAGAATGTAAATTACTCATTGATTCCTCCAAATGTTTGATATCTAAATTGAAATTTTCGATAGCAATACGATTACAAACTTCAACATCTTTTAACGTTAATAAGAAATGCTCTGCAACAAAATCATAACTTCTGAATAAACCCAAAGTTCTGAAAGACAGGGGTAAATTTGAAAAAATTGAAGTAAACAAATTTTCTAAGAAAAGTGCAAAATCCTTAATTGAATAATTTGGTTCTTGATTCCGTATTTCAGGTAACCAATCATCGTATTCAACCATATCCAATAATTCTCTAATTTTTTGATCAACCATGTTGAAAATTGCATCCTCTGAGAATTTTCTTACTTGAGTAAACAAATCAATTGCTTTCAAAGTAAATGTACCATTTACGTCAATATTATGGATACCAATCCCATTGCATGCTCTTAAACGACGATTGATTAATTTACCAATTTCATATAAACTGAATAAATAGTATTCCAAGTTTGTATAACTTTGAGCAATGATTTCCTTATTATTTGAGTTTCTTTGAATAAACTCTTTAATATCGCTGCTAATACCGATTCCAGCACGATCACCAAGAACTTTTTCAAAAATGTCATTCACAATAATATTATTTAACTCACTTAAATCAGTATTATAATGCTGACTTATAAAATCCAAGATGTCTTCTAGTAAAGATCTTATACCCAAACAATAATGCACATAATCCTCACTGAAAGGGAAACTAATCGGTACTGATTTAACATTTTGAGGGGCAAATGAAGCATCATCCTTATACCAGCAAATTTTCATAACGTTATCATAATCTTGCTTATCGTTGACCACGAGCGGCATATAATGATCGGATTGAATGGACTCGTTAAAATCAAGACGGAATTGTTGGATTAGCTCAGGACCAAAATAATCTCTAAAGATAATAACCAAAATTTCATATAATTCAATTGTCTTATAATGATGATTTTCCATAATTTGTAAGAAATTCCCAATGAGGTCTTTATAATCCGTTAATTCGTCTAAATTGAAGTTATTTGCATGCAAGTGATTTAGTAAGACCGGTTTTAATTTAATAATATAGGATTCCCATAAATCATTAGATGCATGATTATTTCTTATTTGAAATTTAGTGGCTAGATTAATTTGCTTATCGGCCACAAAGAATGCTGAGATCTTCTTTAAATATTCAGCCAAACTTTCTGTTGATGGGAACGAAGCAATCGTCTCGCTATACTTATGATCATTGCTAACTGACGAAGTGATTGGATAAATAACTCTATTGTATCTTTTCAACCATTCTTTATGATAAAGCTGAGATAGTAAATTGAGCTCATTTAAAGTTTGATAAACTAAAATAGCATCGTACAATTCTGTCAAATCAACTCCCATTTCTTCATCTTCAGTCAAATCATAATTAAACATTGGATCTCTCATTGCTAATTCTGTAGGAGAGTTCAATCTATGAGCTAGAAAAGTGGTATTATCTTTATTTTTACGAATCTTATCCCAATTCTCTTGCAAATCTTGTAAATTAGCAAATAAAACTGGTCCAAGATCACGTATTTTTTTCTCCAGTAATATTGAAAGCCATCGACATAAACTTTCAAATGATTCATCTTTTATCATTTTAGTTAAATGAGGAATTGAATCATAAATCTTGATTGCAAAACTGAAGTTTTCCACTTTTGGTAAATGAATATTTGTTAATTCATCAATTAATTTTAATGCGCTGAAATACTTATGTTGTTTAATCAATTCATGAATCTTATTAGTGATTTCCAAGACTTGAATACATAAACTAAGAACAACGTTTGTTTCGTTGATCTTACTAGTAGTTTCTTTTGACTTGATTAAACTTTTCTTTCTTGACATCAATTCATAAACTGATTTATTAAGTATACTACTGACCTGAACCAAGTTTTTATTCAAATCAGTCGATTCGAAATTCACTCGATCAATGGAATCAATACAAGAATTGATATTATTAGTTGAATTCAATGACAAATCATTCAATTCTTCATCTTTATCCTTAACAATATCATTCAACTTATGAATCAATTCTGCCAACCCATTCACTTTCAAGGCACCTTTTATTATTGGTGCTAAACTTTCAAGATAATCTTCGGAATTCAACGACGTCTGGAAAATATCCTCATCCCTTAGCAATAAGTTTTCTAATTGGATAGTATCAATACCTGAATCACCAGTGTGTTTTGGGCCATTAACTGATCCATTACCAACGGTATCACTAGTGACACCATTCCCATTTGCTGAAGGAGCCATACCAAAAAGAAAAGAAAAAAAAGTATACCGTGCTTTACCTGGTCAATCAAGTGTATTGCCTTTATTCAGTCAACCTCCTTCCCAATTAATACGAATAACACTCTCTTGTGATGGCCACTAGTAGGTTATTTGTTTAGTTTGAATGGATTTCGGGAAAAGACGTGCGGGTTTCAAATATCAAGTTGTCAAAATGAAAAAAAAAAAAAATGAAAATCAAAGGAATTTTGCAACAGTTGTTCTTCAATAGCCCATGTTACCCAGCAATGTGTTGATACTTGGGGCTCCGGGCACTGGGAAGATCAGGATATGCCAGCACGTCACCAAGGATTACAAGGCTGACACCATAAGCAGCGACAGCCATAGTGGGGTGCTTTACGATGGTGAATTCAGTACCAAATACTACAAGATCAATTTGAACTTATTGGTTGAAGAATACCCTGATTCCCGAGACTTGGTGCATGACGAGGACGAGAAGGCAAGGAAGTTGGGCGAGTGGTACGAAGAATTCAGAAACCAGGAGTATAAGGAATTGCGAGATGTATTAAATGGGTTCATCTTCACTTTTGACCTTGCCAAAGACTCAATAGAGTATTTGAAAGAATGTTTGAGGGTGGTGGACCAGATACGGAGCCAGCTCGTGGACGAGTCTGGCGAGGATGAATGGAAGGGTTTTATTGTGATTGCTGGGGTTAATAGTGCCGAAAATGGGAAAACTGAAGCGATTGAGGATGAAGTTCTTCTGTTAGGATTAGAGTTTGTGAATATATCAGAAAAGGGCATGAATGAATACCACGAGAGAATCGGTATAGATCGGTTATACGAGATTTTTGAATCGCACGAGTGGGAACACATGGACACTGATGTGAAGAAGGGAGAGTATGAACAAAGTAAGAGGAACAAATTGGATGAGATGACAAAGGGGCTACTAGAAGTAAGCGACGAGGAAGCGGAAGTGGAAGATCCTCGCCCGGCAATGGATCTCGAAGAGGTGTTCCAACGATTACAAATTGCCAAAGACTCTGTGAAAGATATGAATGAAAGTCAACGAAAAGAATACGCCAATAAGGTTATTGAAGAGATGCTTGATTTTATATAAGTATATAATAAATAATGAACTTAATGAATTATAATTTACTAAGACCCAACTCGGAATGTTCGTATTGAACGGCGTAGCCAGGATCAAAATAGCATTCTTGACAGTCTTCATCAGCAACGCCATTTTCGTGAATAAACACTGCAAAATCAATATGGGCTACCTGCTCATCAATAACCACCATTGGAGCGTGCCAAATCCCCGCCCCGTAGGTTATTGATTGGTTACCTTTGCAAATGAAGGCCTTCACCAGGGTAGGATCCGGTAACTTATTGGCAGAGCTTTCATCCGTCTTGGCCACAATCACAATGTACGACCTCAAATGAGAGTTCTGACCCATGGGTACAAAAGTTTGGGTTGAAAATGGGTGTCTTTCAAGCACTTTCGAGGTATAAACTTTATTTTGGGAATTAGTACTGGTGATTAAATGCTTTGGAGCTGAACAACGAAAGATGTTCCAGTTAGCACTAGCACTCTTGCCACTTGCACAGCTGGCGTAATTGTTGACTATAGGAGCCACTTTATGTATCTTGGTGGCAGTTCCATAGTTTGCAGCTGAGGATTTGGCATTCTTTATTTGGTGGTCTGCACTGATCACACCGCCGTACGGAGCAAAATTCTCAGGGGTCAATGGTTGTGCAACCACTGGCTGTGCTTGGGAAGTGTCAAACGTCTTCAAAGGCATCGTTACTGCTTGGTAAACGAAGATAAGGTGGTGACCATTTGTTGATTTCCATTTTTCAAAAAGTTTTTTTTTTTTTGTTCACTCAATTGATCTTATCGGAAATCAGCGATAGTGTTTTTTGATGCAAAATTCATCTTTGGTGGTGGTTCGCTCATGGGAGGTATAACCGAACGAGATACCGCATCGACTGACGAACTACAGGTGGGGCGTGAGACTCGAGTCAAAGTGTCTGGAGAGCGTATCAATTGTTACAAGCTTTACTTGAATAGCCGAATGGGAAATGTTAGTTGAAAAGGGTTTGAATAATGAAACTCTGGAATTGACAACTGCAGAAAACTCTAAGGCGTATATTCATTGATATCCCACTCCGCTGGCACCAATGCTGGTGCTCACACAATGTCGAAGTAAACTAGTGACACGGAAGTTAAGCTACTAGCACAAGTTTGTGCCCATTTAAATGTTTCTCAAAGACAACTTTAGTGGATCATAACTACAGCTAGTCAACAAAGGCAGATTGCCTGATTCGTCCCCAGTTTTTCTTTCATGGAAAGAAAGAACTCGGGTTGGTCAGCGGATTACAAGTGGGTGAACTCTTTGTCAAAATGTTTTCTGTTGAAATTTTGAAGAAAAAGCCCATTCTATAACAATAGTATTATTGTAGCCATTATTTCCGATTAGCAAAACAATACAGTTTAAATTATCTGATGGGGTACTCCATTTCAGCATACAATTGTCACCGGACAGAGGTGCCTGGATAGAGTACCGGATCAAATTCGTTAACGGAACTCTGTAGCCAAATCAGAATTAAAGTCGTAAGGAACAACATGATGAAGTGCCTTTTCTAATCACAGGTTGTTCAAAACCATCTAAGTATACTCTTTTCCGTTTTAGTGTAGTGATCTGACCGGGTCTCCGTAAATAAAGTATTGTCTGGAAGGAAAAGGAAGAATCGATGGGCTGCACTTTTTTAAGTAGTCTATACGATGAATTAACAGTCTTGATTCATTTCACATCTATTGGCATAAGAATATAACAATGCCGGCAACAATGAGTTAAATTTACAAAATCGTTCCAGTTGGTATCGGTTTGGATCGCTTGAATAAGCTTTGCATCAATTTTGATGCTTGATAATAAGGCAATTTCACTAATTATTTTACTAGCTGCTAGCTTTGCAGATTTTGTTTATACGGGAACATTGCCCTAGTACTTAATTTATCCGTAATAAATGAAAATCTTTTCGATTAGCTAGTTTATTTGAAGCTTATTTGCATCAAGGATACGCCGGATTCATAAAATAACAATGGATTGCATACCCATCTTGAAATGTAAAAAATTTTAGCCTAACGAATATTATTTATATATATATTATAACTATAGTCCGAATCCTTAATGAGACCATTAACTTGTAATTAAATCTGAAATGCTGGTCCATTTAGATACCTTGAAGTATATTACTGAGTCATCCCAAAATTTATACGATTTCCAGGATAATGATATCTATAGGATCACTCATTGGTTGCTCAACTTGGAGTCTTTAGCCAGAGTATTCAAAATTGATAACTTGATCGACTATACTATTCCTTTGTTGAAAAATGAATACTTGGCCTGGTCATATTATCAAGAATTTGATAGTTGGGAAACTTTCAAATACGATTTAATAAATAAAATCTTTCCCTTTAGAGTTGAAATCGGGGAACAAATTTCGTACCAGGTCAACCAAATAAAGACCTTAATTGAAAACCACGATATCTCTGTTTTCAAAGTCTTTGATCGTTTCACTACAGTCATGAATGAATTATTCAAAATCATTGCTCCTTTTGAAGATTGGGCAAGTGCAAAATATGAAATCTTGGGAGAAATTGACCCTTTGCATGAACACATCAGAACTTTCAGAGAGGCAAAAATTCTGCTCAATCAGCTCTACTTTAAGAACCTGAATGACTTGACCCCAGAAGAAGAAGAAAGGTTGCTAAATGATGATTCTTCTGACACTTTTTGGCATAGTTTCAAATCTTTTGCTACAAAGTTTTTGAATAGCTCCTTGGCATTTGGTTCTCACATCAATAAGGAAACTAGATCCGTGGATCTCGTCTCCATCAGCTCATTGGCATCTAAAATAATGAATAACTTATAGTTCTATAGTCTTTTAATCAATATCTTAATATAAGCATCTTCAACTGCAAAATAAAAATTATCAAAACATCTTGGTGTACGGGTTGTTTCTTTGTGAATGAGGCAAAAATAAACAATTAGATCAATTTTTTAAATGATCTTCTCCAGTATTAGCCCATTAGTTTAGTTACAAGACAAACACATTATGTCTGAAGACGAGTCTAAGGTAGTAGGTGATGGTGCACATCCAGCTGGTACTCCACATGATGGCAACGGCAAATTAAACAATCAGTTTAGTGCTCTTGAAGATGACGCCACTACGCTTGCCGGCGGGATAGATGAAGAAGATTCCCACCAAACTGGTTTAAACCACTCCCAACCTGCTAGTGTCATGTATGTCCCGGAAGAAGGTGGTTTTGCTGGCGATGCTAACACTTTAGTCGACGGCAAAGAGGGTTTCCGCAATGGGTCATCTTCTAAAGGTCTTTTGAATTCAAAGAATCAAGGTTTAAAAGTTTCTTTACAACAACTCAATTATAATCAAAGTAAGCTTGCTTTGGATAGATCCATCAACCAGACAGTTGAACTATTGTATGAGTTGGTGACTGAAAATAGTGTTCGCCCAATTTTTTATCCAGCATCTGCTGAAGATAGTAATAACGTTTTATTGAATTCAAGAAAGGCACATTTAGCTTTAGTTCGTCAAAATATTAGTATTAATTCAAAGTCTCTTTCTAAGGCTAAGATCGACCCTGAAGCTTTGAAAGAGGATGATGATGAAGACGTTCCTGAATTCAAAATCTTAAAACTCAATCTTAAAGTGGGTAATAATTCTCAAAATACCGATATTGTATCTTCATTGGATAAACAATCTATTGCCCGTTTACTTGAGCAACGTTTGAATCAACAGGTTAAATACCTACTCAACTTGAAGGATCGTGTGGATGATACTTCCTCAAAAGTTTTTGTAACTGGTGATTTGAATGCTGGTAAATCAACTTTTTGTAATGCTTTACTTAGAAGAAAAATTTTACCTGAAGATCAACAGCCTTGTACTTCAGTTTTCTGTGAAATAATTGATGCTAAAAAGGAAAATGCTAGTATAGAAGAAGTTCACGCAATTCGTATTGGTCAAGAATACAATATTCGTGATGAAACTACCTACGAAATTCATCCTTTGAAAAATTTGGAAGATTTGGTTTATGAATGTGATACTTACTCTCTTTTAAAAGTTTATGTCCTTGACAATCGTACTTTCCAAGAAAGCCTTTTGAGAAATGGGGTTATTGATATCAAATTAATCGATGCTCCAGGCTTGAATATGGACCTGTACCAAACCACTCAAGTTTTCTCTCGTCAAGAAGAAATTGACTTGGTGGTTTTTGTTGTTAATGCTGAAAATCATTTTACTTTGTCTGCCAGAGAATTCATTGCTGCAGCTGCTGCTGAGAAAAGATATGTGTTCATTGTTGTTAACAGATTCGATAATATCAGAGATAAGAATAAATGTATAAATAAAATCATGGAACAAGTCAAAGATTTATCACCGGATTCCCACAAAGATGCAAAAGAATTTGTTCACTTTGTCAGCTCAGCAGATGTATTAGATGGCTCTCCTGGTGGTGGAGATGGTCCTGATGATGGTCCTGATGATAACTCCGATAATAATCGTAACCCAAGAGATCCTAACTTTGATCAATTAGAGGCATCATTGAGAAAATTTGTTTTGGAAAAAAGAGCAATCTCGAAATTATTACCTGCAAAAAGCTATATTATAAACCTTTTAAATGATTTGAAGGTTTTATCGACTGTTAATGAAAAAATTTATGCCCAAGAAAAACAAGACAAGCTTGATGAATTAAAGGGGAAAGTTGCACCTAAATATGATGAAATTATGTATAAGAGTGCTGCTATAAGTGATTCCATTACTAAATTGGTTGAAAGAACTTGTAGCGAAGTTTATGATCTTGCCAAAAATGATATTTTGACCACACTCAGTAATTTTGGTGATCACCAAGTTGTCCGTTATCAAGGTTTACAAAACTTATATGAATATGCAAAACAGACCCAAAAAGTAATGATTGATACCATTTTATCATCTGTTCAAAATAGCGAATCATCTGCTAAAACTTTAACAAGTCAGAGAGTTGATGAAATAATAAAATTCGGACAGAATACTTTGGGTGAAGAATTCTTAAACGATAAAGTCTTTAACTCGGACTTGATGTTTACCAGAAGACGTGATACTATCAAAAAAAAATTGGATGACCTGATTGATTTTACTGACTTCTTTGATCCATCTTTTGATTCTATGATGTTATGGCTTGGTATTCCTAAAGATTATATCAGTGGTACAAGACAACAATTAAATTATTATAACCCAGCAACATTATTAACCAGCATTCCTAAAAATACTATGGCATTAAAAGAACAAATTCCTACCCAATTAACATTGCATACCTTGTACTCTTCAACAAAACTTTTAACTACTGGTGCATTGATTCGTAAATTATATTCATTATCTCATTTACTAAAACCCCAAGTCTTGAAACAAATAATCGGTCCAATTTTATTGGGAGTTGGTGGTTTCACTGTTTACTATCTTATTAATGATATTCCAAATGCTTTTCCAAGAAAGCAAGCTCGTAAGATTAAGTCTCAAATTTATGAAATGGACTATGCTCATGTTAATGCCGACAGAATTTCCAAAGAATGCAGGCAAGTCTTGAATTACCCATCTAGGCAAGTTATGAATAATTTCCAAACTTCCATTGACAAGCGCAATGTTGAAAAAGAAAGACTTGAAAAGGAAATTAAAGATGCTGAAATAAGTCATAATTATTTCCTTGGTTTATTAGATAAGATCAATAATCAAAGAGAATTTGTTAATGAGATTGATTTGGAAAATGTCAATACTGTTGATTAGTGTACAACTCCTTTATCCTGCTTGATTTTCACCCAATTATGTTTACGCTTTTCTACCTATGTTATCCACAAACGTTCTTTATCCTTCTGTATATAGTTAGTACCCAAAATAAGTTGTTCACTTTTTTTTACTTTTTTTAAATAATACTTGTGATTAAATTAATCGTATATTGAGATTTCTGATTATTTTGAATATTGTAAATTAACTAAGCTGATGGTGAGGTTTTAATCTTTTTTGATTGTGAATAAATAATTGATAAGCAAATAATCAATGAAGCGATACAAACCATTCCACTAATTTCAAATGCCCCTTTATAACACCCATTCGCTTTATAGCAAATACCAGTTTCGACGTTAGTGTTTCTATCATAAATATTACCGAAAATTTTATTTAAAATATATAGGAATACTAGGGCACTGGTGCAGATTAATCCCCAGGTGGTCGAGAAGGTTTTTGTGCCAAAGTAGTCTGCAATAATAGCCGGATAAGTTCCAAATATGAACCCAAAAGACATGCCGATGATGACTGATGAAAGGTTGAGTAAGTGAATATTATTTTCATTTAAAATCATGGAAACTTGACCGATAGTTAGCGAGATAATTGTGACTGCAATCAAGTTTAGCCTTTGAATATGGTATTTTTTATACAAGTGGTCCGATACAAAACCACCAGATAAACGACCAGCGAAAGAGGTGATGGAAATAATCGAGACCTGGAGTGCTTGTAGAGATGCAGCGGAATCTTCCTGAGTGATCATAGAATTATTTGATGGAATATCTCTCTGGTTTTTATGATAATTATATTGGGCAGTGGCAACAAAGCCAATACAGAATATATACATTTGACTTACTCCAGCAATTGATCCCATCAACATGTAATTAGCCCAAAACAATTTGTTAGTTAAAAGATTTGCAATTATCACCAATGGGTTGTTTGATTTTTTGCGAGGGTTATTATTCAACGGTTTATTTTTCAAAGCAGACGATACATTCAAGCCAGAAGAAGAGGTAGGGGTTCTGTTTAAAGTGCCTGGGCCATCTCTGGAGAATAGCTGTTTGTTGGCTTGATTCGATGTGGAACCTTGAGCTTGTGAATTAGACTCTCTTAAAGATTGAACTGATGGTTGCAAATCGGAAGAAATAGAACTTACTGAAGAGCGAGGGGTTCTATATCCCAATCCCCAAAATGAAAAAGAGCCTCGAAGAGTTCTATCGGTGTTCTGTTTATATATTTCACTGGGTGATTGGGAGGATGATTCCACTGCAGATTCATCATTTGCCGATATTGTTGATATGAAAGAATTCAAAGATGATTTATGACTTAAAAGGGCCGCTTCTTCGCTGGTTCTTGACGATTTCTGAGGAGCGTCTGTGGAACCCAGCTCTAAATCAGAAGGATTTTGTTTATTAGTTTCTTCTTCTTCTCCTTCGTGACCTAAGTAAACATGAACAAACCAGGAACCAATAAACGCAACCAGGCCACAAAAAAGCGATAAGAAATTGAGAAGGCCCCCAGTGTTATTCTTGAAAAACAAGGATGCAATTATAGAAAACACTATTGCCGATAACCCATAAGCACTTACTGGAGCTGCACCAGCGGCACCCCGGTGATTTGGGAAATTCGCTTGGGCAGCTTTTAAGGTTGCAAAATACGAAGTGATGCAACCAAATCCAATGAATACCATTGTGATTGAAATCAACAACAAGTTACTTACGGCATGCTCATATATCTTAAATAAACCAAAGTAACCAAGCATAATGAAGCAAGATCCCATTAAAACAGATAGTTGGGGACCGTAACGATCGATAAAGACTCCCGAGGGTAAACCACCAACTCCGCTTCCCAAATTCGAAGCTAATGCAATCACGGCTGAGTCAGAAGTAGTAAGACCAATTCTCTGAATTAATTGAGGAGCGTAAACTCCATATAAATACGGAGTCCCTGATGCCAATGATATAAACACGGAAGCAACCAAAGCAACCATCCTCCCCTTTATATGAGGGTTGTTCTGCGACTGGGTCTGAGAATTAACTTCTCTTGATCCTGGGGTCATTATTCAATTGTCAATCTCTTTTATACTCTAGTGTCAGGAGTTATTCTAACGTCAGAGAATAAGTTTAGATTTGGCGGAGAATCAACTAAATGCCTTCTGATAAGAACAGCTTACTTCTGGTGTTTGGGTGTTTTTTGTTGAAAAGACCAAAAAAAATTGAAGAAAAATTTCAGAGAAAGGCCTTGACTTGGTCAACTTTGAACGGAAACTGAAAGACATTGAAGATGGGTAGATTGAATAACGCTGAATTCCTTCTGAAGGTGGGTAAGCTTCTCGAAGACAATGACGGGAAATCTTCTGTATACTTGACTCAAAAAAGATTATCGGTACCATTAGAGACCGAAACCACTGGCATCAATGATTTATCATCTAATGTCATTGAACATGAAGCTTCGATACCTTCAAATACTGAAGAATATCCTGTTCTTATTAGATTGGCCATGAATGGAGATAAAAAAGAGAAAAAGGAAAAGGTTAAATTATCGACAGTTGTTGAAACTACTCAGTTGGACCAATTTTGGGTTGAATACGCCCAAGTAATCAAAACTGGATTTACTGGATTGAAGAAGAAGGAGAAGAAAAAGAGTAAGAAATCAGGTAAGGTTACTAAATAAACCTAGCGCATTCTTTGATTCATACCTCATTTACATATTTACTTCACTATTTCTTGTATATTATATCTTAATGATAGTCACTTACGATTCTTTTAATACAAATTTAAAACGTTTAAAATATAAAAATATTATTATCAAGTAGAATCAAAAACTATAGATCTTCCACTATCAATAGCCCGTTGGGATAAATACAATCAATGTCCTTAACCTTGGTTTCCGTGACGAGCAAATCATTCAAGTTTCTCTTTGGAGGTAAAGGAGACAGTAGTTTGAACTTGTAAGTTATTTTGAAAAAATTTAAGTTATATTTTTGTACATCGGAGTCAGTAACGTTGCCGCTAATATTCCCGTCGAGGTATCCACCATTTAATAGTTCAACGTAAGTAAATATTTCTCGTACTGAAGCCTCTGGTGGGAAGTGGAAGGTCACTCTGTTACCATTTTGTAATTTTATTGCAACCCTAGCTGATCCAGCAACTGGATCTGATCTCCAATTTTCAAAATCTTTTGTTTTCCAAATTAGATACTGCTTCTTCACTTTCTCATATTGTTTTTTCTGTTTTTTCAATCTATCCTCAGCTAATGATTTCTGATAATTAAGGTCTTGTTGTCTTAAAATCACTTGACTCATGTATTTATCTCTTAATTCACTTCTTATAAGTGATAATTCATCTTCGTACTTACTAATTCTCTTCTTAAATTTATTTTGAATAATCACACTTGGATTCTGGTCTTCAGGAAATGAGCCTTGTATCTTCAGCACCAATGAAATTTTTGGACTAGTTTTAACTGGTCCTTGAGGAGACATTGTACTAGTTCTTGTTAGGCATAATAATCCTAAAAATGGAAATTTTGTAACATTCAAGCTATTGGCCAATTGGTAAGTCTCCAGATTTGTTAAGTCTCCTCCCCATATAATAATATTTGGATCATTAAACAATGATATGAATTCAGGGTTGGTGATGATTTTATTAAATATGATTGAGGAGTTTTCATTTTGAGGATGGGTTAAATATACAAACAAAAATTTAGCCCTCTGATGTGACATGTATAATGCTTGGGTGTAACTACCTTCAAAAAATGGCGGTAATGAACTAACTGACACTGGCATATGAGATTGTCCATACTGCTGTTGAGGAGTTAAGTTATCCTCTAAAACACGAACAAAATGATTCACCCGGTCAATTGGATCATTTATTAGGGTGCTGCTTGCTGTAGTATTGCTAAAAGATCTTGATCTTGTCCCATGTTTCTCCCTAAAATATATGACATTCAATAATTGGGCAATTATACGAAAGAAAATTACCAACACTATGATGATCGGTTTTATGAATATATAATTTATCCAACCACCTACACTTCTTACCGAATGGCTAACCATCACTGAATTAAAGTAGTTTCTCACTCGTCCAAGACTTCCCTGTTCCTCTGTATCTTCCAGTGGGAAGTAACCTGGCATATGGTTGGGATTGGAAGGGGTGCCGTTTGTACTGGACTGATTGGCACTCACAGGTTGATAAGCTTCATTTTGACTCCGGCTCCCGAAAATACGTCCAAAGAACCCATTCGAGTTATTATCAGACATATTATATGTTATACGATAATAAGTAATCTTTCTCTATGAAATGTTCTTAAGGTATCATCTTTTAATCATTTACGACTTTTTGAAAATAGGTGTGCATCCGTACACCCAGTCTAATCTTACAACGTATACAGAACTATTTTAATACTTTTAATCTAAATAAAAAATAACTAAACTATATTTTACAACAGGGATTCTAAGTTGATTAACAAGCTGTAGGTTTCCCTTGGCATTTTGTATTGGACCATACCAGCGTATATCATGCAATTTTTGGCAACAGCTTTCAAACGGTTTGATTCTTCACGTTCATTACTGGAATTTTGGTAACGTTTTGTAAGGATTGAATAGTTCAATTGAGAAACACTTGTCATAACCATGATTAACAACGATGGAATTGCTTTCACGAGATCGTCATCCATATTTTGAGAAAGTAACTCAACTGCTTTTCTGATCTCTAATAACCCGTCATTTTCATTGATAGGAATCAAGCCTAATTGTTTGATTTGTAACAATGTTTGATGCCAATTTTTATTATAGAAACTATCTCTGATTGAGATAATCGGTAATAATAATTCATTAGTTTGTTTCTTAGAAGAAGAGATTTTATCTAAGATGAAACTATTATTATTGAAAATTTTCATTATATGTTGACTTAACAAGATTATATTATTATCAGTAGTGTCTGCTTGTTTGACTTCTCCATTAATATTTTGATAATTACCATTTTCAATCAAAGGTTTATCTAATTCAGAAGTTGATAAGATTTCACTAAGTAATCTGTTAATTAATGAAACAACAGTATCGAAATCTTGACATAATTGATAAAGTAATAAAGCATCAAAAATCCTACCTTCTTCTTCACATCTAATTGAAGAAGTTTCAATAATTTGATGATAAAATTGAGATAAATCACTTAAACCAATTAATGATCTTTGTTTTTCTAAAATACCTGGAATTTTATCTCCATTATTTTGATTTAATTCACCCAATAATAAAGTAAATTCTCTTGAGATTAAAATCAATTCTCTTAATGCTTCGTGACATTTTGAAAATTCTTCCTTATTATTACCACCTTTTGACATGGCAATTAAAATGAGATATTGACTTGCAACCTTAGGATCACTAATTTTGAAACTTCTAGTATAAGATCCCAATAATCTACTAAAATTAAGTTCATATTCATCATTTGAATTAATAGTTATTAAATCATCCTTATTATTGAAACTTGAGACTCTCAATAAACCATAATAACATAATCCAATAGATAAATGAACCGAGTCACATTCATTGATAGATTCATAAGTATATTGAATTGCTAATTCAAATAAACCAACTAAAATCAAAGATTTTAAGTAAAGTGGATTATTTGATGATGAATTAAATTTTTTAGGTCCCAAGCTAATAATCTTTTGTTGCAAGTTTTCTAAGGAGTAATTTTCATAAATGATAGTTGATGTTGTTTCATTGGTGTATTCATTGATGATACCTAAATGAAACCAGAGCCAATCCTCGATACTTAAATTGATTGATTGGGGTAAACTTTTCTTGGATAAATCACATTTCCCAATAATTTTATATACTGAATACTTATAAGCATCAAAATCATTAGAATCTTCATTAATATACTGAAATTGTTGATTAAATTCGTTACTAATTTTGATTTGTAAATCTGAAGGTAAACCCCAACCATTGTTTTTAACAAATTTCGATAAATAGATTGGGAAATTTTTATCAAATTTTGTAAACGCATCACGATTACTATTAACTAATTGTAATGCATCATTATATAACCCACTTCTGAAAAGATAAAAAATCAAAGCCCAAATTGGGACACCATTAACATTTAAAGTCTTATCGATGAATTCATGATCACTATTTTTAGCAATGATTTTATTAATAAAATAAGAAACTTTATTAATATTATTTGCAGGTAGAAATTCATTTGATTTTTTATCATCTTTAATATAAATTTCATCCATATAATTAAAGAATTGATGTTCTAAATAATTTTTTGAATTTTTAATAATTTTTTTGTTTAAATCATTACGTTCATTAAAACCCAAGCTTTGATAAGATTCAAAGAATTTTTGTTCTTGATTTGTTTTAACTGATTTTTCAAGAGTTAAATCAGACAAGATTTTCCAAGTTTCACTGACTTGTTTTGATTTAAAATCAACATTTGATTTATTTAACTCTTCAAAATTCAAACAAATTGGGAAAAATTTATTTGCTAATCTTGCTTCATTTAATTGATAAATAACTTTTGCGTGATTCTCAAATTTTTCTCGAGTAATTTGTCTTAAACTTGAAGAAGTTTGACCTTTAGTTTTCAAAGGAGTTAAGATATTATAATGACCAGGTAAAGATTTATTATTCCAATTAATTGAATTATTAGATCCAACTTTAGCGCGTTTTGTTTCACTAGTAGCAATAACGCCGAAAGATTTTCTTAATTCATCACGACGGACTTTCCAATCAATAGAAATGTTTTGATTGATGAATTGATCGAAATCATTAAAAGCAGATAATAAAGATTGTTCAATGGCCGACAAGATATTCTCATCCTTTTTAGCATTAAGGTAATTATCGAGATTAGCCAGAGGTAAAACCTGATGATCGGCTTTAAATTTAGATACTTGAGAAGAATCTTGGTTTGAATCATGGGCCACAATCATCTGAGAATCGGTTTCCATATCTGAGCGATGATCATGTTTATGTTGTTGTTCATACTGTTGTTGAACTTGCAGAATATGACGGAAGTGTCCGCGACGAGCTTGTTCTGGATGATTTTCAAACTTATTTATACGAGACTTATGTTGATCAGAAATTGGAATGTTAATAGTGTTCAATTCATTTTCAATTTCTTCCGCTGAAATTCCACTTGAAGCAAGTAAATAGTGTGCTTTGGTAAAATTAGTTGGTTTGTCTGGACTTGACTTTCTAAGTTGTTGTGTCTTCTTATGCAACTCATTAAGGGTCAAATTAATACCCCCCATGTCAGAATTACTGGCTTTTGGCAAGTTATTAGCTGATTCAATCAAGTCTTTCAACAATCTATGAGAAGGTGCATTGTCATCACGAATTCCCTGGGCAATCGGTTGATTCTTGCCTGGGGCAGTTGTGTTAGCAGCTGTGGTGACTCCTGTGGCTGCAGAAGCTGTACCGGGAGCTGTATTAGCGGTACTTGGAGCTGTTGTATTCGATGGAGCTGATCCAGCGGTGCTTGAACCGCCAAAGAGCCCGCCGGTGTTGGCGCCCGCATTGCTGCTGGTCCCAGTGGCTGATCCAAACAATCCCGTGCCTCCAGGGGCTGGCGCACCAGCAGGGGCAGTCGTAGGTTTCTGAAACATCAGGTCAGTACTCAAATCAATGGATCCGTGGAGAGTTAAAGTGAAGTCAACTTCGAGGGCAGACAAGGTTGGTTTAAAAGTTTTTTTGATATCTTGTTTACTTTCGGGGCCCAAAGGGTTACCCGGTCCATCGCAGCGAAAAAAAAAATTGGAGTATAAAAGGACAGAGAAATCCGCCTAAAGGAAAAGCTTTACTCTTCTTTCTTTATTCAAACTTGTCCAAAGTTTACATCCATCACATTAGACAGTGCACCGGTATGGTTGTATAAGACTGCGCGACTAGGACTTCACAGTTTTTGTGGGTTCTGGTCAATTATATGTGGTGATTATACAACGATTCAATCATGTTTGGTGCGATAGCTGATGGAGAGAATAACGATGAATCTTTAAGAACCTGTCTGGATAACGTAACTGAAAGAGAGGTGTCAGTAGATCCATATATTGTAAACTACAAAGTGTAAAGTATGAGCTATATTTTGAAGTGTATTTAAAGTATAAACCAGTGTATTTTAAAGTATAACCGAATGTATTTTAAAGTATAACCAAATGTATAAAAGTATACCAAATGTATTAAAGTATACCAAATGTATAAAAGTACACCAAATGTATCAAAGTATACCAAATGTATTAAAGTATACCAAATGTATTAAAGTACACCAAATGTATTAAAGTACACCAAATGTATTAAAGTATACCAAATGTATT